TCAGAATTACTTGGGTGGTTATAGACAAATTGCAAAGTTCAAGAATATTTTCCCTTTATTTGGTGACCTGGTATACTGATTCCCCTGGCAGGGTCAGAGACCGAGACAAAGACAAGTATTATATTACTTCCTTGGTATGTACAACATATGGGCGACGTATGTCCCATTAATCAGACATATGACACTCAGTGCATATGCTCACAAATGTATGCCGAGTGCACTTTGTGCCAAGCAGATATTTGGGACACTGCCATAACGGTTTAACATGTGTTTACAGTCTCAAGAACCAAACTAAGACGGACTTGGCCTTCAGAACCTACTTGCACTCAACCTACAACCATAGGTATGTGATCCTAGGACATTCACCACAAAACGTGGGGGGGGCAGGCTTCAGCTACAAGATAGCAGTACACACTTATATGTACCTTATGCCTTCCATTCTGTCATCCAGCACCGGGTTTAGGCCATCCTCCCTAACAGTAATCAAACTACTACAGGACTGCCAGGCAAACGTTGGGCACTCAGGTAAGTTATCTCGGTTGCAGCAACCAGTATAAGAAACATCAACATGCCCACTTAAGTAATTCTCCTCCCAGGCACCTTCTGCCATAGGGTTAGAGGTCCCGCGAGGCCAACCTCGATGTAAGAGGTATTAAACCCCCACGGGCCAAATCATAGCTAGACGCCTCGCATGTTGCATAGCTAGGGCGTCATCCGTCATAACCCTCAATTAACGATAAAATCTCCACTGGTAAAACACGTACAACAGATCAACCCCACGCGCCAACCATAGTTAAATCCTACTAGCCACTTGGCATTTAATAGGGACTCACCTGCCACAAGTTTAATGAATTATTTCGCCACTTTGGCACTAGTTAAACATTTTACACTCTCCATAATGAAACTCACGATTACATACGTATATATTTCAGTATGTCCCAAGTTCATGAAGAAGGAGATGAACTATCAATGCCTAGTACACCGACCAGGACTGCCACCCCCACACGCAAAGGGGACATCAGGCAGCCCGTCATCTATTAGATCATGGACCATCCCACGGATCACGGCCGAACTACGCAAACGTAGTATTCCTTATCCAGCTACGGCCCGCAAGGCAGAATTGTACAGGCTTATGCAAGCCAATCAGGACAATTCTGACGCCAGGGAAGGCACTAGTAATTCAAGCAATGCTAATCTGCATACCATGGTCGCCTCACTAGTGTCTTCCATGGGGCAGATAAATGAGAGACTGGAAAGACTGGAAGCTCGTAGCGGTCCAGTTGTGACACCAGAGCCACCTGCTACCGATATCCCAGGGCCATCACAAGCCCAACCTGGTAATCCTAATACCCCCACTATCCTTGGGTCACAAGTGATCAACCCAGCCCATATGGTACCAGCAAACCTTAGAAAAGACATCCTGGAGGGCAAGGATGTAAATCTAGTCTCTCTGCTTATTGCCTCCCAGGATATCACAGAGAACCGCGCATATACGTATGGCGATATTTCTGTGGTCCTCAAGGCCAGAGATCCTAGACTAAGCAAAAACTAGCAATCCCAGACTTCGTTATCACATTCGGCATATACAGGGACGTACTGTGCTCAGTTTACCCACAGAGAAGGGAAGAGTTAGACCTGTACATGCACAAGCTGGTAGACCTGGGCAACAAATACGGTGGGTCATCATTTTACGATTACCACCGTTCTTTTTCAACTAAAGCGGCAACAGCTCTCGCCCAGTACAACGCAAGAATGGATTGGAGCCTAATGGATACAGAGCTGTTCCTCAGGCACTTTGCCGGGCTAAGGTCTCCAGCTTGTGCAATATGTGGGGCTACCACGCACGCTGCAAATCTCTGTCCTGTCTCCACAGACGATGCCCCAAACATTGCCACACCAAGCACTTCCAGGGGGGAGAAACAGGGCAGAGACAAGCTGGGTCGCCCTATCGTGTATTTGGGCAAGTCACAGATCTGTAATAATTTTAATGTTGGGGCTTGCTCCTATAGTGCTTGCCGTCTACTGCATATCTGCTCCCATTGTTTCAGGGCACATGCAAAGGCTATGTGCCCTAATAAAATGCACATTAAACCCTACCTAACTACTGTGAATGTTGATGTTCTGGCAGGGCTTCTCTCCAAGCACCCTTCTACACATCTTGTGGAGTATTTGATTGCAGGGTTTTCTAAAGGGTTTCATACTGGCCTCATTCACATACCAGGGGGTACATGGGAAGCCAACAACCTCCAGTCCGCCCTTTGTGACACAGACGCAGTAGACTACCTACTACAAATTGAACAAGACCAAGGATTTGTCTTAGGTCCATTTATTGACCCGCCGTTCTCTAATTGGAGAACAAATCCCATTGGACTAGTCACTGGGAAAACATCTAACAAACAAAGACTCATTATAGACCTGTCTGCTCCACATGCTTCGGTGATACCCAGCCTCAATTCCCTGATCCCGTCAGAGGCATTCTCTTTACAATACACCACCATAGACGACGCTATATCCACCATCATCTCAGCAGGCATAGGCGCATGGTTGAGCAAAACCGACATAGTTAACGCCTTTAAACTACTCCCCATACACCCGTCGCTGTGGCATTTGCATGGTATCAAATGGAGAGGCCAGTATTACTTCTTCACAAGGCTCACCTTTGGATCCAAGAGCAGTCCTAAAATATTTGACACTTTCGCAGAGACCTTGTGCTGGCTGCTCCTGAATACCAGCAGGTGCCATAGCGTCATTCATTACTTGGATGACTTCCTTTTCATAGAAAATAACGCTACCCCCCCTAACAGTTTACACAAAGCCATGCATTTATTTAACACCATTGGGGTTCCAGTATCTCCCACCAAGACAGAAGGTCCAGATACAATCATTCAGTTTTTGGGGATACAACTGGACTCCATAACTATGGAAGCCAGCCTCCCTAGAGATAAGATTGACAACACCACTCAGACCATTGAGCAGTACTTGTGCATAGGCTCATGCAATAGGAAAGAGCTTCAGTCACTGATTGGCTCGCTAAATTTTGCCATTCGTATTATACCCCAAGGAAGAGCATTCATTTCCAGACTCCTGTGCCTTCTTCCGACACTAACGGACGAACACAAACGTACCACTCTTGATAGGCAAGCCACAGCAGACTTACACATGTGGAACTTGTTCCTGTCAAACTGGAATGGCAGGAGCATGTTCCTCCCCCAAGTCACAGAGGATTCCCCTACCATTTGGACTGACGCAGCAGCCTCCACAGGTTTTGCAGCCATTTTTGGGGACAACTGGCTATGGGGTAGATGGCCGGAAGAAGTTAGGCAAATAGAAGGCTTTTTTAGGAATTCTGCACTCTTTGAAGTGTACCCCATAGTAGCAGCAGCAGTCACATGGGGACAGTCTTGGGCAGGTAGACCAGTTCAATGTTTTTCTGACAACTTGGCGATTTGCCACGTCATAAACAAAGGCCGGTCTACCTCTCTAACCATCATGAGTTTTATCAGACGTCTTACGTGGTTGGCGGCCTGTCATCAGTTTCATCTAGTATGTTACCATGTACCGGGTATCTATAATACAGCTGCTGACCAGCTGTCCCGCTTTCAGTTTCAGGCGTTCAGGGAGTCTCTACCAACAGCGTCACCGGTAGCCACGATCGCTCCCCAACTCCAGGATCTAATCATGGACTAGAGGAATTATTACAACACAGCAAGATACTTACAAAACTCGCTCTCGCAAAAAACACGCATAGCGCATATGATAGAGCTTACTACCTATACAAGAAATTCAGACCATAATCTCACAAATTGGTTTGACAATGTAACATTGGTGGCTTTTGCCACTTTTTGCCACATTAAGTTAAAAATGTCGCATAATACCACAAAACTATACCTCACAGGTATCCAACATCATATGTTCACAGAACATCCTAACAACCAAGGGTTTCTCACCTCCTACCCCATTAAAACCCTCCTTAGGGGTATGCTCAAATCGCAAGGACCTACACCGCAACGTAGGGAGCCTATAGACATTCAACTGTTTAAACGTTTGTCAAACCTACTAGATACCACACCGTTCGAACCCCTTAACACCACTCTTAAAACGGCCATATACTTGGCTTTTTACGGTTTCTTACGACCCAGAGAATTTACCATTACTAGGCAACACGAGTCCAAGCATTGCCTCCGGTATTCTAACTTGTACAAAAAACAGGACCACTACGTATTAAGCTTACCTTCAACTAAGACCAGCCAGATGGGGCACGAGGTTCTTATTCAATACTACCCCACCAACAACGCATGGTGCCCGGTGATGTATATTCGCTTACTATTGACCAGACTCGGCTTAAACGCCGCAAACTATTCTGGGCATTCATTCCGGATAGGGGCAGCCTCCACAGCCTCAGGCCTAGACATCCCGGTTCACATCATAAAAACCTTGGGCCGCTGGAAGTCATCCGCTTACGCTGTTTACATACCACAGCCAACACAAGAATTAAGGCATGCATTTGTGAAAATGTCACCGTAAATATGCTAACTCCATGTCTTGTGGTTTCGTTAATAAATATCTTTGATAACATTATATGGGTATTCCTTTTTGCCCTCTTATTTACAGGCCTACCACACACGTCGGTTTCGGCACACCTCTACCGACTTTTAATTATTATGATAAGTATACTCACTAGCTATTTCATACTATACTGAAATGGCCCCGAATACAAATTGGAAGGCAGGGCCTGAAGTTGTGGAGGGGCTATATCCCTTTAAAAGGGACTCCCCCTCCTACCTCATTCACCGTCTGGTCCAGATGCTCGTTTGACCCACCCTCCTCTCCCTCTATTCAAATACTATTTAAGGTGGGCCCTCTTATTTACAGGCCTACCACACACGTCGGTTTCGGCACACCTCTACCGACTTAATTATTATGATAAGTATACTCACTAGCTATTTCATACTATACTGAAATGGCCCCGAATACAAATATATATATAGATATATTTCTATATATAAATAGATATATTTCTACATATATATTTATATATATACATACATTACACTGCCTAGGTGTATTTTACTATTTAAAAAATATATATATATATATATATATATTTGCCTTAATATCAAATTGCTAATGAGACTGATACTGGATTAAATATATATATATAATTATTGGAGATATATATATATATATATATATATATATATATATTTATATATAATATAAAAAGGAAAAAATGTAAATACGTTAAATAAAAATTAAAAAAAATTAAAAAATAAATAATGTAAATATTTAGATGTGTTGGTTTCGCTCTTAACTGTATTGTGAAATTAAAATATAATATATATATCTATATACATAAATATATACGTATATATCACTATATATATATATATATATATATAGCTATATATAAATAAAAATATTTTTAAAAAATTATATAGATATATACATATATATACACATACGTATATATAAACATATTAATTCTACATATATATTTATGTAATATTTTTACATAATTAGGTATCTTAATTAATTACAATTAGCAGGACCTGCCTGACAACCCATGCCGAAAGTAAAGGGAATTTAATTTGCCAGCACTATATTTAACCCTATAACTTTCCGAGACACCATAAAACCTGTACATGGGGGGTACTGTTCTACTCGGGAGACTTCGCTGAACACAAATATTAGTGTTTCAAACAGTAAAATGTATTACAACGATGATATCGCCAGTAAAAGTGACGTTTTTTGCATTTTTCACGCACAAACAGCATTAAACGGACAATATTATCGCCGTGATACTTTTAATGTTTTGAAAACACAAATATTTGTGTTCAGCTTAAGTCTCCCAGCAATAACAAAACTCTGTATGTGTAATATGCTGTTTTATGGTGTTTTCAAAAGTTACAGCATCAAATATAAGGCTTGCGTTTCATTTTTTTCACATTAAAATTTGCTAGATTGGTTACGTTGCCTTTGAGACCCTATGGTAGCCCAAGAATGAAAATTACCCCTATGATGGCATACCATTTGCAATAGTAGATAACCCAAGGTATTGCAAACAGGGTATGTCCAGTCTTTTTTAGTAGCCACTTAGTCACAAACACTGGCCAAAATTGGCGTTTTTTGCATTTTTCACACACAAACAAATACTAACGCTAACTTTGGCTAGTGTTTGTGACCAAATGGCTACTAAAAAAGACTGGACATACCCCATTTGCAATACCTTGGGTTGTCTACTATTGCAAATGGTATGCCATTATGGGTGTAAATTTCATTCCCGGGCTACTATACAGTCTCAAAGGCAACGTAACCAATCTGGCGAATTTCAATTTCAAATGTAACGTGCTATATTTGACCCTGTAACTTCCCAAAACGCCATAAAACCTGTACATAGGGGGTACTGTCTTACACGTGAGACTTTACTAAATACAAATATGTGTATTTTATTGCAGTAAAAGCAAACAGTATTATGACACTGACCTTTTAAAATGTCATTTAGAACTAAAAAAAATAAACAAAATCATATTTTCTCCCATTTTTTTCATATAAAATTATGTTTCATAGCTAAATATTTGATATTAAATGAAAGCCCTGTTTCCCCTGAATAAAATGATATATAATAAGGGTGGGTGCATTTACTATGAAAGAGGTGAATTACGGTTGGACAGACATATAGCGCAAATGCCAGGTTTTGTTTACATTTTGTTTTGTTCACAACGTGTACATTTGGCTCCGTCCTTAAGGGGTTAAATGCATGCATGTTTTCATTTTAGGTATATTTGACTAAGCAGTGATATTAATTTGTAATTGGGCAGTGATTTTTGCACGCTAAGAAATTTGTGCAAAAAAGTTGCCAGAGCACCTACCTGGTCTCTTCTTGCTGCTACCATAGATTCTATAAAGTAATCCATTCACCATTGCTAGGGGAACGTCTAGTGCATGAATTTATGCAAAATTATCAGGACAGGTCCAGTAAGGTGCATAAGCAAATAACCCTGTGGATTAAATGTTTTGGCTTGCATTGCCAACATGGTATATTTATAAAAATAAATAAATGTAGAGTTGGTGAGTGCCATATTTTATATAGTCTTTTTGGCCAACCTGGTACATGTCATACAATGGGAGTTTGCACCCCTTTAAATTGATTTAGTCTAAAAAAAAAATGGTGCTTAGTCCCAATAAATATAATTGACATGGAGAAAATGCGTGCACACATTAGGCCTTCCCCACAGGAAAGCATTGCCGCAAAGATTGAGGATGTCCAGCATTGTTTCACAGAGTCAAACTAGACACCTACTAGAGGCAGTCTTAGCACTGAAATCTAAACGTTTCTCAATGTTGGTTGCTCTAAAACTACAATATTTTACATAGAAGGACTAAGGGGGGCAATACACCCAGGCCACGTCAGTGAAATGTCCCTTTAATTTTAATTCTTTGTGTGTCTTTTCCTTTAAAGATTTAGCATTTGGCATCACAATCCAGTACATTCCTGGCACATTTCACATTTAAAAGGACCAAAGCACTTTTAAAGTGGTTTGGGTGCATTTCCCCTCTTGTTTTAATCCTGCAATGTAAAACATTGCTGTTTTGTAGAAATGGCAATGTTTTTATTGCAGGTTAACACTCCTCTAGTGGCTGTGATCCTGACAGCGACTAGAGACGCTTTCGCGCCAATAAAGGAGTCAGACTCTGCTTGTCAATCACAGAGGATCTAATTGGTAAATCACTGTGTTTTGCTGTGCTTGCATAATAGCCTTCCAATGCTTCCCTGTGGGGAAGCAATGAGTTGGGTGAGCTCTTTAAGGTTAAAATTTAAGTAGAAAGTTTCTTTTAAAAGCTCGCAAAATGTGTCTGATTTTTTTTTTTTTTTCCACTTCCACATACTGTATTCAGTAACGGAATAGGACAGCGTTTATAACAATAAGTAACAGAGAGTTAAACACAACTATGCTGATTCCGATATTATTTTTTGGCTTTTTTCAGACCTTACAAACACATTTGTTAAATATAGGAGATAAGTAAAATATAAAAAAATAAATAAATCTGTGATTGATTCCCTTTCGTATTGCCCTATGTGTAAGTTGGTAAATGTAATTTCCTTTATTTTACTTTCTGATCCAGTTACTCCGTTACTGACTTTATTGATAACACTATAGGTATATTCTGGTGCTGTTGAATTATTCTGCATTCCAATGTGTCCCTCAGTCCCTGTGAACTCCTCCTCCAGGTCCCCTCTAGTTGTAAAGGGTTTAAAAAAAAAAATCTTTATTCACTTACCTGATTCCAACGCCGAGTTCCCTTGGCGCTGGATCGAGCTCCGCCTCCTCCATCTTATGAAAGGGGGACCTAACGCGTATGAGGGGTGAGCACCACGTGCACAATAGACCTTCCCCATAGAAAAAATGTAAGCAATGCTTACCTATGGGAATTTGCAAGTTGCTGGACGTCCAGCATTGTCTGTGAATCTCCGGAGGCTCCTCTGGTGGCTGTCTGCTAAGCAGCCACTAGAGGCAGTCTTAGTGCTGCAATGTAAATATGGCAGTTTCTATAAAACTGCAGTGTTTTACATTGCAGGACTAAGGAGGACAACAGGGACACTACACACACACACACTAAAATGGTAAGGCCTATAGTGTCCCTTTAATCTAATCGACTTCCTCAGCATGCCAATTTTCACCTGCTTTGTTTGACGTCCTGCTTCCTTGAGTGTGTTTGCCCCGTAAGTCAATGTGCGTCTTCACCACCCCCGGGTTAGCCCCCCCCATATTGAGAATTTTAACAAAAGATTATTCCATTTGTTAGATCTATGTTAGATCAGGTTTGATCAACAATTTTTTTTCGTTAGATCTACTCTAAAATATGCGATATTAACAATCATTGTCAGGGGGGGCTAACCCGTAGCCAGCCCCCCCTCAACAAAAATTTGTAGAAAATGTTGATTATGATAGCTCTACGTTAGATCAGGTTTGATCAGGCAAAATTTTTGTTTAATTACTGAGATATTGCATATATAATTAGGGGGGGCTGGCCCCCCCTCAACTGAAATTTGGACAAAATGTTACTGATTTTTGTAGCTATTCGTTAGATCAGGTTTGATCAACTGTTTTTTTCGTTAGATCTATCACGCAAGAGGCGGTATTCACTACTTAACTTTGTGGGCGTGACTACGGGTTAGCCCCCCCTCAAGTGAAATTTTAAATTTTTTTTTTTTATTGATTTTGGTAGCTATTCGTAAGATCAAGTAAGATCAACTGTTTTTTTCCGTAAGATCTATCACGCAAAAGGCGGTATTCACAATCTTATTTTAATTTTGCACATAGATACCAGTAAATTTTCATATCAAGCCACAGGTGACATCATAATTTAGGAATTTGCTTGGATTTGAAAACACAATGTGTAGATCATTTTCAATATTTTTTTTTATTCTCTACATGCACAGTATTGAGGTGATAAAGTCCTGCATATGCCCAGCCTGAACTTATTAGTGATATTTGAATACAGTTGCAAGAAAAAGTGAGCCCTTTGGAATGATATGGATTCCTGCACAAATTGGTCATAAAATGTGATCTGATCATCATCTAAGTCATAACAATAGACCATCAGTCTGCTTAAACTAATAACACACAAAGAATGAAATGTTGCCATGTTTTTATTGAACACACTGTAACGGATCACATGGCACCCCGACTGGGTACCTCCGTTAAAGGATGCTCCTAGCGCTTCCTGAGGACTCCAAGCACTCTGGCAGACACCACAATCACCGAACCGGAGAAACAAATAAATTCTCTCAAGCATATGAATGCTGTAGACAGTTGAATAGGAACCATACGAATAGGTTTACTCTCCTAGCAGTCAAACTGGAACAGCATACAATAAATCCTTCCCCCAACAATGAGACGACACTTCACTTTGAGGGTTAAAACAGGAACTCCCTGTACTGTCACATACAGTCTCTTTTATTCCCAATCCACAAACATAGTACAGCCCACAGCGCGTTACAAAACAGCCAATCAATCCATACAATACACCCAGACACTCCCACACAAAATCCTCCCCTCTGGCTGTGATATGATTACTGAACACAATGGGTAATCTAATTATCACAGCCAGAGAAATACAGTTTCATAAAACACATCACAGGGACCCCCAAAACATGCAATAACCCCATAAAAATATATCCTTGGAACTGGGGGATCTGGGTGAACCACATATCCAAAATTCACCCAGATCCGTTCAGTACTTTGGAAAATACAGTTTAATGCAGATTCTGCAGAACATATACAGGCTAAATAAAAAAACAATCCCTGTATAATGTGTCCCCTGCTGTATAGTCCAAAACCACCGCACGATGTCTCTGTGCAACAAATACTGGCGAGATGGCACCGTGTTGAAAAGTCCACACAGTGTCTGTGAGTTAAAATGGCCGCCATCCATTGTACTCACCATGTGCTTCTGATACAGGAAATGGTGGCCACCCAGTAATGTCAGCCAACTGGAGTCCAATCAATGAGATGAGATTGGAGGTGTTTCACACCAGACATCCCAAGAATATTGCTGAACTGAAACCGTTCTGTAAAGAGGAATGGTCAAGAATTACTCCTGACCTGGGCAGCTGTAACCAACACCTCCAATCTCATCTCATTGATTGGACTCCAGTTGGCTGACATCTCACTCCAATTAGCTCTTGGAGATGTCCTATGGTTCACATACTTTTTCCACCTGCACTGTGAATGTTTACATGGTGTGTTCAATAAAAACATGGCAACATTTCATTCTTTGTGTGTTATTAGTTTAAGCAGACTGTGATTGTCTATTGTTGTGACTTAGATGATGATCAGATCACATTTTATGACCAATTTGTGCAGAAATCCATATCATTCCAAAGGGCTCACATACTTTTTCTTGCAACTGTATTCAAATATCACTAATAAGTTCAGGCTTGGCATATGCTGGACTTTATCACCTCAATACTGTGCATGTAGAGAATAAAAAAAAAATATTGAAAATGATCTACACATTGTGTTAGCAAATCCATGCAAATTCCTAAATTATGATGTCACCTGTGATATGAAAATTTACTTGTATTTATGTGCAAAATTAAAATAAGATTGTGAATACCGCCTTTTGCGTGATAGATCTTACGGAAAAAAAATAGTTGATCTTACTTGATCTAACAAATAGCTACCAAAATCAATAAAAAAAAAAATTAAAATTTCACTTGAGGGGGGGCTAACCCGTAGTCACGCCCACAAAGTTAAGTAGTGAATACCGCCTCTTGCGTGATAGATCTAACGAAAAAAACAGTTGATCAAACCTGATCTAACGAATAGCTACCAAAATCAGCCAGCCCCCCCTTATTATATATGCAATATCTCAGTAATTAAACTAGATCAAACAAAAATTTTGCCTGATCAAACCTGATCTAACGTAGAGCTATCATAATCAACAACATTTTCTACAAATTTTTGTTGAGGGGGGGCTGGCTACGGGTTAGCCCCCCCCTGACAATGATTGTTAATATCGCATATTTTAGAGTAGATCTAACGAAAAAAATTGTTGATCAAACCTGATCTAAAAAAGATCTTACAGATGTAATAATCTTTTGTTAAAATTCTCAATATGGGGGGGCTAACCCGGGGGTGGTTGCGTCTTCGTGTTATTTGTTGCAGAAGGATCACCACAGAAAGCCATTCTTAAGACTAAACGCATCATAGTGGTGGAGATACTTCAGGACAGCGAAGCGAAGGTAAAATTTGTGCTGAACACTTTTACAGTAATCTGTCCTAGCACGTATATTCTCATGCAGTGTGAGCTCACCATTGTATAAGTAAGGATTTTTAAATAATGCCTCTTCATGCTGACTTGGTATATATGGAATTTGTAATTCAACACTCAAAAGAAGTTACATTTAATTCATAAAACATGCCTGAAACTAATACAAGCTAATAGACATGATATGATTTATAGCTTCATCCACGTTTTTATCATATGTGAAGGGACTCTGGGGCATGTATGTGAGCATCTGCTGTTCCAGTTTCTCATGAAAAACCTTAAAGGGAAACTATAGGAACCCAGACCACTTAAGCTCATTGGAGTGGTGTGGGTGCACTGTCCCAGTCCCCTAATCCAGCAATTGTAATTATTGCAGTTACTGATAAACTGCAATAATTACCTTGCAGGGTTAACCACTAGAGGCGCTTCCTGGTCGTTAGGTGACACTTGCTATGCATTAGGACATCCAGGGTGAGCCAAAACCCCAATGCAAAGCATGGAGCAATCACGCACATGCACATTAGGTCCCTCCAGTGGCTGACGTGGCGGAGGCTCACCCAGCGCAGAGGGACATCGGCATTGGATTCATGTAAGTGATGGAAGGGTTTTTATCCATTCCAGCGCCACAGGTGGGGGGCCACAAGGCAAGGGTAGGTCACAACTTTGATTTCCTAGCACTATAGTTTTCCTTTAAGAGAACCTCATTACTGCAGGTTACTAGTGATATCACGGGGGAGGCATATTTTATAAATTTCTGTGTCTCTAATTAAAGGACCACTATAGTGCCAGGAAAACACTAGTTTCCCTGGCACTATAGGGTCCTTGGGTCCTTGGGTTAATCCCTTACCTTTCTCCAGCGCTGGGCTCCCTCGGCGCTGAGGACTCTCCTCCTTTCCCGTCATGGCTGAATGTGCATGCGCGGCAAGAGCCGCGCGCGCATTCAGTCAGTCTCATAGGAAAGCATTCTCAATGCTTTCCTATGGACGCTGGCATCTTCTCACTGTGAAAATCACAGTGAGAAGCGCGGAAGCACCTCTAGTGGCTGTCAATGAGACAGCCACTAAAGGGCTGGATTAACCCATTTGTAAACATAGCAGTTTCTCTGAAACTGCTATGTTTACAGCAGAAAGGGTTAATCCTAGAGGGGCCTGGCACCCAGACCACCTCATTAAGCTGAAGTGGTCTGGGTGCCTATAGTGGTCCTTTAACCCCTTAAGGACCAAACTTCTGTAATAAAAGGGAATCATGACATGTCACTCATGTCATGTGTCCTTAAGGGGTTAACTGGGAATGAAGGGTCATTGCAAGAAATTTACTGTGCCTGGAGTACTTTGTTTAAATGTCTAACTTCCATAAAGTTTCCTTTAGAGAGTTAATTTGCCAATACTTTCCATATTGAGTTCTGTATTTAAACTGCCTCTTCTGTCTCTGGCACATTACTGAGAGCAGATGGAGTCTCTTGCCAGCAGCAATTTTTTTTCCCCCTTCTTCTTTAAGCTGCCTATGATTTAACCAATAACCTGCTGGATGTACTTGCATTACACCATGTTCTCTATCTGCATGCCTTGTTGTGGGCTCAATTTTAATGGTGATGCCCCTCCATTGTCGATTTTGTAACCTTGTATACCATTCCCGTTGCCCATGCTTTTAATGATATCTCTTCTGGCAACTGTTTCCGAATACTCTCCTGTCTGTCATTTTCCCGTGTTTTTCAACGTTCCACGTGCTCCCTGCTTGATCTCCTTTGGTTTTTCTTTCTGTGTTTGCTGCTGGCACATCTTGTCCCTGATCTCTTGTTCTATCTGATTGCCCTTGCACCCCCAAACTTGCTCACTTTTTGCTTTTCCTGACCGTGTGCATCTATGCTGCATTCCCAACCATTCTGTGTTTGTTGCTGGGGCTTGTCATTCTGCGCTTTGCATGTGTATGTTATGTTTGCTGGGTCTGTCACCCTTCACAGCACTGTCTGCCTGCCTGTTCTGTTTCTCTTTGGCACTGTCCCTGCCCGATCCCACACCCTTCCTCTGCCTGCATGCTCTCTCTCAAGCACTAGTGATTGCTCATGCTCCTTCTTCTATTCCCCCTTTGCCTGTGCTCTCTCTCTCTCGGGTAGTTATCATTCAGCCGTAATCCTGCACCTTAAGCTTTTTGCCTAATACATGCCATTCCATTCATTCCCTGTTTGGGTTCCCTGAACACTCTCTCCCTAGATAAACTGTGGTTGTCTCTTCCTTTCCTTTCCTCTATCACGTTTATTTTGCGTACACTCTGCATGTGCTGTCTATCATGCACAAATGCTTACACTGGCTGGCACTTTTGCCATCAGTTCACGTTGTCCCATTCACCAGTTTTTTGGCAGCGTACTCCCTATGTGCGCTGTCACACATGGGTCTCTGTTTTAGTGTCCCGGTTACACATTCCCTGATTGTTCTCTTGTTCATTGTTCCTATCCCATGAACTAATTTATCTGAGCTCCCTGTATTCACTCTATTATATGCACTATTCCTTTCGGGGACACGATGGTCCATATTGGCCGACATTTTTAATTTGTCATATTCAACATTATGGCAATAATTTCTTGTTAGGCCGCTGTACCACTTGCTGTGATTTCCACGTTAATTATTTTCTTTAAATTCTCTTTCTGTACTTTCGGTGGATTTTTCATGTCCTCTTCTAGCTGGCCCCCTGCAACTTCGCGATTAATGAAGTCTAGTATATGCCGCAAGTTCCTTATTACCAGTTCTCCCTCTCTCTGTCCTGTGTGCTGTCACTGCAAAAGACAAAAATATGTCTGTCTGCCCAGTGAGTGAGTGAGTTCTTACTGAGGCTCTGCTTGCTGAACACTTTCACAGTAATCTGTCCTACCATTTATATTCTCATGCAGTGTGAGCTCACCATTGTATAAATTAAGATTTTTAAATAATGCCTCTTCATGCTGACTTGGTATATATGGAATATGGAATTCAACTCTCAAAAGAAGTTACATTTAATTCATAAAACATGCCTGAAACTAATACAAGCTAATAGACATGATATGATTTATAGCTTAATATCATGTTGTTCTTTGCTTGTACTTTTATTCTCTCTATGACCCATGAATTGTTAATTTATTTGGGCTTATCGTCTGGTGCTTTCTATACCTTTTACTGGTTTTTACTGTCTCTGCTCAACTTGTAATTCTCACTCATGGCTTTCAGTGCATAAAATCCTACACATAGTTCTGTTTTCTTTTGATTTCTGTCTTGCTCTGTGTTTTGTTTGTGTCTTTGTTTCTGACTCTATATTCTTTGTAGATTTTCATCTCTTAATACCAGAATCATGTACTCCACATTCATAACTCTTTTCTGTCTTACCCATCTATGTGCATCTTGCTCAACTTGAATTTTACCACCAGATTTTATACAATCTCAGCTGAATTCTTAGCTGTCTTTTTCTGCAATATCCCTGCATTTACTGCAATAAACACCTTTTTCGCTGTCTTCTCCCCATTCCCTGCTTATTTCCATTTCCCTTCTTTTTATGCTCATATTCTCTCCCACACATTCCCACGCATAACATCTCACTATGTATCTTTTTCTATTTTCCGCAGTTATTTTAACCCCTTTCCTCTCCGCACAGTTTTTCTTCATTTCTGTCACTTCATTCATTTTTATTCCAACCTCTTTCTTCCCTCTACTCTGTTACTTTACCTCTCCTGCAACACCCCCTCCCACGTATGCATCTCAGTTCTCCCTCCTTCAAACATCTCCGTATTCCTTCACTTCTAGCTGCAGAAAGTCTCAGACATTCCGTAAAAGTGTGGAAGTCACAAAGACAATCCTTCTGCGAAGCACCTTAACACAGGTAATGTTACTGCAACTGGTTTTATTTCTTCTGTGCATTATTTTTTTTTTTTTTTTTTGTGGAATCTTGAAAGCTTGATTACAACTTTAATATCTTAAATCTTGTTATTTATGAGTGCATTGATGTGTTGCCTTTCCATGTTGCATATTTCAAACCACACACTTTCCCTTTTTTTTTTACACTTGGATATAATAACATGTGCGCCTAGACCTAAAAAAAAAATCACACACAAAGGGCAAATCTTCTGTGATTAATACATCAGGATTTTCGTACCTCTGAGTTTTCAAAAACTAGACATTTGTTCTTGTAACACACACTTATCATTATTGATAAACCCTGATTGTTCGTACATTTCTTGTTTTCTGATGGAATTATACAGTGTTTTCACATTAGCTCCAGCGAGTGGTAAATTTAAACACTTAAACAGCTTAATTAGAGCTTGTCTTAAAGCATTCACAAACTGGTCATGGTAACAGTAACAAAGATCTATTCTCTGAAGAATAGGGCTGTACAAATTCTGGGTTGAGGGATGCATTTGGAATTCAGTCTTTTTTTACAGTATTAGATATATTTTACTGGACTTAGGTTTTCGAAGATTTTTTTTATTTTTCTGGTAATCTTATCTGTGTTTACAAATATTTTGTTTTCATTGTTTCTTCTGTTTGTATATTTCTATATTGTATGTTGTAGTGCACTATTGAAATGTGACACACATTTATGTTGGGGATTTTTTTTTCCAATCCTTATCTGTTACATTAGCCTCTATTGATGTATGTTTGCTCTAGTTTATAAAAGAGATTATAAATTCTAGAAACATTAGTCACCTCTCTATACTATGTTACAGAATGTTCTGTTTATTTTTCATACTTACACCATACTATTTTCAAGAATAACGTAATCGTTATGCACTGTTCTATAATTCTTACATTTCCAATAAAAAAAGCTGTACTTTGAACACCAAGTCTACGGCAGACCGCAAAGCAGCCTTGATATGTGACCTTATTGGTTGTCTAATCTTTATTCTCTCAAATTTTTCCATTGTTTTATTTTTGTTTCTCCAAGGGTCTGATGTTGTTGCCTCTCCTTTTTATTCAAAATATTGGATTGTGCACACCATGTTCATTTCTCCATTACAATGATCTAGCTGGTGGAGGCCCACTTATATAAGCACTTCACAATGTCAAATGTGTGGTTTGTTTTCCACTGTATTAGTTTTACGACTACCCGCCAATAACAGAATTGTCTAACCTCAGTCCAGGAATTAAATAGCATTATGGTAAACTCAAGTTGAACTCTGCTGTGCGAATTTTCGTGACTCACCAAGCTGAATCCTCATAATGGTCGTAGAGAAACAGTGCAGTAGAAAACCTTTAGGCACGGTGGTGGAGAAATAACCAAATATATAAACATGGTCAGAGCACATAAAAAAAAAAAATTAGAGTAATCTAGTTCTGTGCAAAAATTACGTCTGTTGTCAACACACACTGCACTCTGGTGACTGACATCATCTGCTTCACTTGTGGGCAGTGTTGTGAGTGTACCAGTAAACAGAATCTATTCAGTTCATTTCAGTCCAGCTCTTCTTCCAAAATTTGAATGGCTGGTGGCCGGCTGTGACTCAGTGCATCTCGATGCTTGTGAACGCGAATACTGCGCGCATGCTTGATGTAGCGTTCAGTGGTCCAACAATACTTCTTTATGAAAAGCATTTGATTGGACCATGTATGGTAGGGGAATGAGAAGATCCAGCGTGACACCGGAGAAAAAGAGGACACGATCATAGGATTCTTGACCCAGTGATGGATTCAAAGTAAGTTTTAATCCTTTTTAATGTGGTATTTAAAATTAAAATGTAAAGAATTGGTGCCAAGTGCCCAATAGTTAATTTAGACTTAAATTTTTTTTTCAAAAAATACTACACTGAAAAGTGTTGGGTAACCCTTTAAAGGGACCCTATAGTCGCCAGAACTATAGCTTAATGTAGTTGTTTTGGTGAGTATAGTCAGTCAATGTAGGATTTTTGCTGTAAACACTGCCTTTTCAGAGAAAATACAGTGTTTACATTGCAGCCTAGGAACACCTCTATTGGCCACTCCTCAGACGGCCACTAAGGGTGCTTTTTGGGTCAGTGCTGCACACTGTGCAGCACCCTCGTTCAGCGTCTCCATGACGGAGGCAAGCTACCTAAATGGTGGTTTTAACACTAAAGGGTAAGGAGCACATGTTTGCGTGCCTGACCTTATAGTGTTCCTTTTTAAGGTAACTGCATTACTTCTGATACAGCAAGTGGTATGGTTATCAAAGTGGGTTTGCCACCCCAGCATACAGTGAAGGGAAAAAAGTGTTTCATCCCTTGCTGATTTTGAAGGTTTGCCTGCTGACGAAGAAATGATCATTTATAACTTTTTTTTACCTTTTGTCGGCCGGTAAAACAATGCTGCTTCTGAGAAACTGAAGTGTTTGCATTTTGGCTTAAAGCTTCCTCTAGTGCGTGTCAGACAGCTGCTAGAGACTTTCTCCAGAAGACCGATTATGAGGCGGAATGTAGCTAAAGCTTCTTGTAGAGACGCACTGAATTCAATACTTCTCTATGCAATCGCTGTTGGTAACTGGTATCAGAAATGACCCATGGGATCTGTAATGAACCATGAGCTCCTTCACTTAGCAGGGATCCTGATTGCGTACACCTTTAAAACTCAACAAGCCGATGTGGTAAAATATTCACCAATTTACAGTCCACCAGTACAGAAAGCAGAGAATGCGTATTTTGTGAGAAGACTGTAGTTGATTTGTTGCAGAATTTGGGGGGGTGATTTTTTTTTTTGGCAAGCCTCGAATATATTGCATTACAGTTATACAGGTGATGAGACACACATAAATCACTACTGAGAGATCTTCTGGAAAATTCAGACATTAAACTCCAACTGGTAGACCAAAATCGTCAAGCTATTAAAAAACCTTACTGAGTTGGAGATTTTTTTTGAGTACGATCATTTTGACTTAAAACTTTAAATCTGCCACAGTTCCCAGATTTGCTTATACCATCGTGTGGTTGTTGGGTGGAAACAGAAGGATTTTGTTGTAGCTAGCAATTGATCAAGCACTAAGCAAGCCCTCATTTATGAACACATGGAAGATCTTACTGAAATCTTATCACCAGGGGCTGTATGTGTGATTTTATTTATTTTTTTATATTTATTTTGTTATTGCCACTTGCAGGGCCTTTGCATACTAAGCCAAAGATTCTTAAAAGATGACCCCTGCATTTGTATTGCAGGAGCCGAGATAAAAACTAAAGAGAGGTATAATCTTGAAGCTATCCCTTATCGGTGCATTCAATTTAATTTTTTTCCCACCAGGGCTGCCATGAGCGTTTCATACTTCAATCACATGCGAAAAAAGCAACAACAAAAAAGCAAGTCTTCATACAATGTTTCTTCACGCAGCTGTCTCTAATTTTTAGAAAAGATGAGAATTGATGATGGAAGTTCTGCCTTTTGCCAACTTAAACTATTTCATTTAATTTTCAATACAATCTATGTGAGTGTTTCCTTATACTCCAAATGGAATGCCCCTGTTTCAGCAGGGCCAGATTAACATAAGGGCTGATGGAGCTGCAGCTCCAGGCCCATGCTTATGGAATAGGCCCATTGATTATTTTTTTTTTTTTACTACTCTTCACATGCTCTTACTTAAGAGGTATGTAGGGGGGAAAATTGTGTGTGCTGGCTGACAATAAAATTAGTTAAGGTAAATCTGACTTTGCGCACAATGAAAATACTCTTGCTGCTTTGGTCTCTCTAACACTGTGTCATGTTCACTTTCTTCTACACTCAATACATACAACTTTTCTTTGTTATACAGTCTGGGACAGAGAAAAGCTGTATGTATTGAGTGTAGAAGAAAGTGAACATGACACAGTGTTAGAGAGACCGAAGCAGCAAGAGTATTTTCATAGTGCGCAAAGTCAGATTTACCTTAACTAATTTTATTGTCAGCCAGCACACACAATTTTTCTGCCTGCTAGTAAGGTTAGGAGAGGAGTGGACAAGTGAGTGCTACGGGACAGTCCTTGGAAAGCGTGGAGTGAGGGCATCATTAGGCGCAATTATGCCAAGATCAGGCTGCTGTCTACATAGTATGCCCTTAGTTGGCCAGCCTGCATGATTGGCAGGCAGCCTGACATGCATTTACGCCAGGCTGGCCTTCCAATTCTTCGGGCAGACAAATCCTCTTCTTGGGCATGTTCACCCCTGTGGGCGGTTCTAGTTACGTGATTCGCATCAGTGGCCCACCCTTTTACACTGTCCATCGACATTCTGCTTCACTGGACCTGCTGTTGGGGGTTGTGGAGTTACTTGAAAGTTGAAAGCAAGAGATTTTCTTATAACTGTTATAACTCTCTTGTGAGTTTCCCTCCAGCACCACCTCTACCACATACATGACATATGGGAGCTATGACTGTTTTAGTGTTTTTTGTCAATAAGATTCAGTAATTAGGCCCATCATAATTATGAGCACCAGGCCCAATGGGCTCTTAATCTGGCCCTGCCTTTCAGACAATTTGAACTTAAGCACCGTAAGAAATTGGCTAGACAGTCATTCGTCATTGCTAATGGATTGTTTGTGTTCAATTTAAATGACTGATCATCATGGCAGTGATAGCAATATGTCTTGTATGGCTATCCACCATAGTTCGGTTTACAGCAAATACTTTACTAGCTTCTGGCAGAGAAGCCATACAGCTGAGGACGCTTTATAAATACCAGAAAAAAATAGTCTGCTACATAACATTCCATTCATAATTCTTCCAACTTTGCTGGCAAAATTAACATGACCTACAAGGAACACTCAAGGCACTATAACAACTACAGCCTGCTGTGGCAGTTATGGTGCTAGGAATGCTCTAGTACCCTACTAGAGTAAGTAGTCAATCTGCTGATTTAAAAAAAAAAAAAGGAACGGTTTGACCGCTTATCTGCTGAATGAAGATCTGCCACAGAACTAGGACTGGCTTTACTCATTGGCTTATACTGTTAAGTTGACGTTCTCAGCCAATGAGCCAGCCGTGTGCAACAGAGCTCAGCTCAATGAAGCAAGCAAAAGCTCTTTGCAGGAGCTTTTTGGTAGTAGTGTTCCATGTTGGGACCCAGGTAATCTGTTAAACCTTTCTAAAACTACTTTACTGCTTACTTTGGTAGAACACCAGGGCACTCCTGGCACCATAACCACTTCAGGGTACTTTAATTTTGGTATGCAATGACAGGAAAAAAACGACCATATACACCCTTTGCCACAACACCGATATTGTAAATTTGCTAAAACCTAAGTTTTACAGGTACAAACACTTATTTCTTTGTTTTAGTTTAATGAACCCATTTTAGTAGACCTTTATGGTATTGCTTTAAAGACACAACACTTTCCTCCTCTATGTGCTTTTTCCCAATATACAGTGGGATTTAAAAAGGATCTATTCTTTATTTTAACATGTGCTCTTGCAACATCTGTTGCTCTCATTAAAGACCCAGACAAAATTGTAGAGTAGCAAGACAAAATCGCATCAGGAACTTGAAACCCACTCCCATAGTTTGCATCCAGTAAGCAGGGACTGGCTTCCTTAATAAAAATAATAAAACCATTGTTAATGTGTTTGTTTACACAGTGAGTTGATATGGAATCTTCATCTTACTGTCTTCAGTTTTTTTTCTATTCCAAAGTAATGCATTTATTTGTACGGGCTTTCAATTCTAAGCATAGTTTATTTTATGGTGAATATAATATATTTATTTATTTTAGCATACAAGCACTTGCTCCTTCATTTTTTATTTTTTTTATTTTTTTTTTGTGGGGGGAGGGGTGATTGATTTATTTTAATGCCTTATATTAGTGGAAGGTTGTAATCATTTCCATTTCCCCTCCCCTTTCTATGCCACCACAAAATGCGAGATCGATTTGTAATGTTCCTATAAATTCCTCCTACCTTGGCTGTCTACGCCTCTTCACTTTTCCTTCCTTTTTGTAATGGTTCAAATGGAGTAAAATGTGTGACCTAAATAGGGTAACTGTAGGAAAGTTTTCCTCTCATCTCGTATCTCCTACACTCTATTGTATGCTTTCCTTAGATGCTTGCTCCCGTGGATCTTATATCACTGTGATCTCAACAATAGCTATGGAAGATAGAGCTATTTAGTTCAAATCATGGGACAATTAGTCCAGTATTGCTTTAATCCTGGATTAGGGATTCACGGTTCAAAAATAAATGGACTGGATGAGGGCATGGGATGGTATATAAACATATTTAAAGTGAAAATTGCAAAAGGCTGTACATTTTATAATATAAATTCCTATTTATCCTCATCAGTTAAGCTTTAATTAGGGCAGGTATGTAACCTGCAAAATACATTTTATTTATAACCTATAATAAAGTAACATACTGTTTTACAGCTCACATTACAGTAAATGGGAGGTACACTAAGGGCAGTAGTTATATTTGCTACAACATATACTTAAAGGGACACTATAGTCACCTTTAATGTAGCCTTTTTAATGTAAACTGTCTTTTCAGAGAAAAAGCAGTGTTTACAGTACTGCATGGTAACACCTCTATTGGCACTCAGACGGCTACTAGAGGTGCTTCCTAGGTCAGTGCTGCACAGTATGTAGCTGACGTTCAGCGTCTCCGCACTGTGCATGGAGACACAACGCTCCCCATAGAGCTGCAATGATTCAGTGCATCTCTTTGAGTAAAAGCTAAGTGGCGCAGCACAATATTTTGCTGCTCATGCACAATAGCCTCCCATTTCTTTCCAATGGGATTGGATTGGCCGTTATCTTCAAATTCGATTATCTCGGCCATGGAGCGAGGAGGGGCCAGCTATAGCAAGACCAGCAAAATCACCTTTTTAGCTGAGGGCAAGGAAACAGGAACCTAAATACCTATTTTACCACTATTGTGTCATTAATACATGTTTGTGTTCCTCTAAGGATAGAATACTCATGTTCTGCACATTTAAACTCTAAATTACGCTAACTGTTTTGCCCAGATCCCTGCTACTCCTTCCACATTAGCTACTTTAGTCATTTTTCGTTTTATGCATATACTGCACTCACAGACAGCTAATAGTAATCTGTATCACTGATGTAATAGAATTTACATAAATCTACACTCCAAGCGCTTAAGCAACACATGATCATTGGATATGGTATAGCGGTAGAATGGTCCCTGTCACTGTCCCTGCACACAATTCTAAAAAAATATGGCCATATAAACTGTTTTATTCCATGCTATCTGTGTAAGACTGCCTCTTCAGTGACTAACATCAAAGGAAGAATTTTCACATCCTTCTTTGCTGTCCAAATCTGTACAACTTGTGCATATCTCAGCCTCCCATAACCAGGGCTGTCATAACAGCATCACTGTGACCCTGCCTACACAACCACTCACAGGATTATAAATGTAAATTGATAAAATTAACCTCCAACAAATACAATACATACATACAATACATGCACAGAGACTGCGGAGTAAATTCACAGATTGCTGAATATACACACACACACACACACACACAGACTGCCAAGTACCAGGGCGCACACACACACAGAATGCATGAATACACACACCCTGCTGAGTACCCAGACATAGACTGCGGGGTATGTATATAGACTTTTTAAACTCCACACCGACCTGAGAAGGCAGATCATAAGGCCAGCTCTACATAGACCAGCAGGTGAAAGGCCCATGGATAAAGACAGCCCTGTCTGTAACTATCTATGACTGTGTCAATGTGTGAGGTGAACACCGCGCCCTATGGCTGAGATCAGCTTCTTCAGAATTTTCAGAAAAGTGCATATCTCACAAACATTTAATGAGCTGTAGGATTATGGGAAAATGCTAGTCCTCTTAAACTGCAACGGGAGGCTCTCATTCCGGTTCTGGAAGGGGTTCAGGACAAGAAATTATGAGGAGTATCATAGTAAAAGTTATATATTGGGGCCAAAAACTGTCAAATCCTAGTCTTCTAGACCGACCTCCACATTACTTTCCACCACAAGACTGGAGGGTCCATGGCACCCTAACCAGGGCTGAATTGTCAGTGTCTAGGGTGCAAGTGGAAATTCTCGTATGTATGCATGTATGTCTCTGTGTGTGCATACTTATCAAACCTACACAGCCCAGGTCTGGTTTCTGGTCACGGATCCTTTTGGATCATAGTCCTTGGTTTGGTAAGTGTAAAAAAAAAAAAAAAAAAAATACTTACCAAACCATGGACTTCATAACCATCTGCAGAAATGAAGTATGGAGTCTGAAACACCATGCCAGTCCGTGGTCTTTTGCATGTCAAGCTGGGAACTCTTAATTGTGGAAATATGATCTATCAAGTTTCTGAGCCCAAGAAGGACCTCTCAAATTCCAACTTGAGATGCAGGAGATTCACAGCAATTTATATTTCTTTGTCTATCTATCTATCTAGCTATATATATATTTTTTATTTTTTTTTAATATTTGTTTTCTTTAAGCCTTGTCTTAAATAATTTTTCCCTTTTAAGGTTCAGTTTTCTCAGTGGCTGTTTTGGGATTGTTCTGAACTAAAATATGATTTATTATGTGCACGACTTTCTCTGTTAATCCTATTAGTGGGCTTCAAATATAGACACTGGGCGACTGGGCTGCGCAGTACTGGATAGGAATCATCGTAGGAAGCTCTGTGACAGATTTGATGTGGATTAATGAGGGGAAGACTGATTTGCAAACAAACTGCAGAGAATAAGTAACCGCTAAATCTTGGATTGATGATTTTATAGAAGCTGAAGATGGCCATCTGCAAGTATTTCACAGAAGGAATGACCCCAGTGAGGACACAGGAGGAGAGTCAGGGATTAGTAATGGATAATAAAAATGTATTCCCCACCCCTCCCCCAATTGTTAAACAAAACTTAAACAAACCACTGATAGGGTTATTCACTTACTTGAGAATACATTGTGGTTTTGTTTTGTTTTTTTTGGGGGGGGGGTGGTTTTGTGGGGGGTGGGGGTTGAAGTGTGGAGTGTTTCTTTAAAGGCAAAATAGTCTACTTGACAACATAAGGGACTTGCAAAATTTTTCTAATTCAGCTATTTTGGCCTGAAATTTGAAATGCAATTTGAATTCACTTTGCATTGGGAGTGGTTATCACGCAGTGGGGTGACATATTTTTTTTTTTTTTTTTAAAGTTTGCATACACTTATATACTTTTTGTTTTGGAATATATTTCATTTATCTGGCTCAATTGCCATTTAATCTGTTACACTTGATTTTTGCAGACCACCTAGTATAAAACAAAATAATACTTTAGCTTAAGGAAGCAGTTTGGCTCAATTCCCTGCCTTTTAGGAGTTAAATCACATTTTTTTTGTGTATATGCAGCCCAGGCCACACCCTTTTTATTTCCTGCTGCCGAAATAGAATCACACAGTGCAGGAGATAATACATTCTAAATTAAACCGAATGTGCTATAAAGGAAGTATAATCATTAAACAGAGTGTTTAGGAAGACTGTGCAAGTCACATGCAGGGAGGTGTAACTAGGACACGCAGAGGAGCAGTTGAATTATGCAAAGACCCCAGACAGTGACAGAGCCAATCAAAGGACCACTATAGCCACCCAAACCACTTCAGCTCAATGAAGTGGTCTGGGTGCCAAGTCCATCTAGGGTTAAACCTGCAGCTGTAAACATAGCAGTTTCAGAGAAACTATGTTTACATTAGGGTTAATCCAGCCTCTAGTGGCTATCTCATTGACAGCCGCAAGAGGCGCTTCCGCGCTTCTCACTGTAATTTTCACAGTGAGAAGACGCTGCCGTCCATAGGAAAGCATTGAGAAATGCTTTCCTATGGACTGATTGAATGCGCGCGCGGCTCTTGCTGCGTATGCGCCTTCGGCGGATGACGTCGGAAGAGGGAGGAGAGTCCCCAGCGTCGAGGAAGCCCGGCGCTGGAGAAAGGTAAGTGTTTAATGCCTTAACCTCTCTTGAGCCCTGCAGGTGGGGGGACGACACTATAGTGCCAGGAAAACGAGTTTGTTTTCCTGGCACTATAGTGGTCCTTTAAGCTTGCTAGAGCCTGTAATAACCTCGTGTGTGAATGAAGGCTTAATTAATAGAGCAGGAGATAAAATCTTGTAAGGTAAAAATACCATAGTGTAAGTTCTTAAAATTAGACTATTTTATTTTTGTGGAGGCTGTGTGAGTCACATCCAGGGGATGTGTGACTAGGGCTACCTAAACAACGTGATTTAACTCGTAAAGGGCAGATAATTGAGCAGTGAGGCTGCAGGGTTATGATCTTTACACTAAAACTCTTCATGAAGCTAAAGTTGTTTTGGTGCCCATAGTTTCCCTTTAACCTTGATAAACACCCTGGGGGGGGGGGACCTATTAACACTATAGTGCCAGGAAAACGAGTTTGTTTTCCTGGCACTATAGTGGTCCTTTAAGCTTGCTAGAGCCTGTAATAACCTCGTGTGTGAATGAAGGCTTAATTAATAGAGCAGGAGATAAAATCTTGTAAGGTAAAAATACCATAGTGTAAGTTCTTAAAATTAGACTATTTTATTTTTGTGGAGGCTGTGTGAGTCACATCCAGGGGATGTGTGACTAGGGCTACCTAAACAACGTGATTTAACTCGTAAAGGGCAGATAATTGAGCAGTGAGGCTGCAGGGTTATGATCTTTACACTAAAACTCTTCATGAAGCTAAAGTTGTTTTGGTGCCCATAGTTTCCCTTTAACCTTGATAAACACCCTGGCTGTCAATCAAAAACCTGTCCTGTTGCGTAGTCGTTTAGCCCAGTGGAGCTAAACCAATGATACAGGCAATTTCTCAGAGTACTTCTCTTGCAAAGGAAATAAAAGAAGCACTGCCTGTCGGGGAATCAAACCCCGGTCTCCCATGTGACAGGCGGGGATACTCCCTAGTAAACAAATTAGACACAGATAGATAAAGAAGAGAATTTAAGAGGTTACCCCCACATTCCTTCAAATGAGTAACCTTACACTAACAGTTTTTTATAAAAAAAACAACAAAACAAAAACTTAGGGATTAAAAGATATAGAAAATCCTTATAGAAAGAGGAGTAACCCGAAGATAAAACTTAACTTTTATAAAGTCCTTAAAAGACTATAAATCAAGTGATGATTTTACAAATCCATTATATAGAAGAGACATTAAAATAGTCTCTATGTAGAAATCTCCTATAGTCCTAACCAAATGAGGCTTGTAAGCATAGGCTATAATAACCATAGTATAGAAACATAATATTGATACAAATCTATCTAATCACACTGGTAAATATAATAAAAAAGTATCAAAACGTTAATAGCAAGTAAACAGTATACCCACAAATATGTAATGAAGTGTGTTTAATGTTGCAAAAACACACTCCTATGTTAATAACAAGGAGGGGAAAAAAGGGTATATGCAAACCTGTATAATCTATTAGGATAGGCGGATATAGCCAGATAGGAGTTAATCTAAGGATAACCTTTAGCTGTAACTTTACTGCTGTGCCTTCAAGGGCACCCCTTAAAAAAGGTTCATCTCCCACCAGGTCTATAGTAGAGTAGCTAGGTCTAAATATAGAAAAGAAATAGCAGGGATAAATATTGGCTAGTACCCAAAGAAAAAAGGAAAACTATTTTAAATGTTAAAAACAAAAATCACAGCTAGAATATCTGAATGAGTATATGGTGTATATCTCCATAGTGGTTTAGTGCTGCAGCATCATCCCATGTCATTAGAACACCATTCAACTGAACCGTCCCGACACGCGTTTCGCCACTAGCTGGCTCTTCCAGGGATACTCACCACTATACTAATGAGGATGACCTGTGTAGCGATGGCTCGCAGTCGCAACAATATTTTCGCCACAAGGGACTCATTTGCCCCACACCAAAGGAAGGGAAAAAGGTCTAGAAAAGTAGCACTATACTCGGAGGGCCTCCCCTCTTTCCATAATTGCGTGGTTGGGGAAGTCACATTTAAGGGTACCCTCGGCAGACAAGGGCGCAGTTTCGTTCTGTCCTTTCTGGAGGTGAAACAAAGCTACGTGAAGCAAGCCAAAACACGCAGAGTCAAATGTACAGACAAATCTCTCATTCGGTTTGGGAGGCCGCCTTCCCACTCTCATTGTTCGAGCTATCTCTCGCCCAAGCGGGAAAGAATTTCTTCCACGTCATAGAGACAGGCACATCTCCCAGCAACTCTCTTGTAGGATTTCCTCAATCTGACTGTAGATTTCTTCCTTTTCTTTTCTTTTTTTATTTTCCCCTCCTATTTCTCAATCCTAACTCTGTATGAAATGAAGGCAGCTGGTCCTGGTGGAAGGGGATCCCTGTGCAGTTTTCTTGTCCTTTGTAACCTTGCAATGTAAAACATTTCAGTTTACTTAGAAATTACAACGTTTACATTAAAGGGCCAAGTCCACCTCTAGTGGCTGTCAATATGATAGCCACTAGAGATGCCTCCACAGCACTGACCAAGTAAAGCTTGGTCACGTGGTCTGGAAGCGCCCATAGGAAAACATTAATTCCATGCTCTCCTTTGATGACGTTTGTATGCGCTAGCAGCACATGCACATAAGTTCCACATTGCTCCACTAGGAGATGCACTGGATTGGACATCGGTGGATGAGGCAATGCCTCGTCCGTTACATTGCCGGAAGCGAAGAGATAAGTAGCACAGAAGGAGTCCGATGAAGAAAAGTTGACATTTTTAATTTTTTTAAAATTAGATTTATTATTTGAAAATGAGTAGGAACAGGGACACTATAGCGTTAAGAATACAGATTTATATTCCTAACGCCATAGTGATCCTTTAAAGTTGCATTAGAAACATTCATTTTGCCTTTTCTAAAATAATATTCTAAAAATTCCAAAAACAGGGCAGGCAGATTTTCCTAACCTATGTACACGGAACATTGTTTTTCTCAGTGTCTGAAGTGCATAGCTTGAATTATTGAACATCAGTCACTGCAGGTGATCAATACAGCATGATAAGCAGCTTTCATTGCGGTCCTTTTATAATATTTTACTCCTTTTGCCTCCTGCTAGGAGCTGTTGAGTTGTCAGGCAGTGCTGTGGCATACAGATAGAAATAAATGAGGATCTATACACACAGGTAGAATGGTTATCTAGAAAGCTTAAAGCAATGCAGACACCGTTGTTTTTTTTTGTTTTTTTTTTTTTCATCTATTTTGTTGACTAGATTATATTGCTCATACTACTTGGGTTTTATCACAGCTCTGTATGCACAAATCATCAGGGGTACACTGTAATCAAGAGTGCTTAGATTCACATTTTTATGTATAAATCTATGGCAGTGATGTTCAATGTAATTACAATTAGTTATTGAGTGCCAACACATTTCACAGCGCTGTATTCTGAACACTGTAAACACTGCCTTGTCAGAGAAGGGAGTTTCCAGGGAGCCCAGGAGGAGGCCTGCTGCAGACCCCAGGTAAGTTACTACTGACATTTGGGTGTCGCCAGGGCACTCCTAGCACCATGACCACTACAGCAGTATTATTTATTATGCTGCTTGGAGTGTTACTTTTTTGTTTGTTTTTTTTTTGGTGGGCAACCGTTGCTAACCAAAAGTAAAGCATTTGTAAGTGTGCTAGAAATACAGATGCCAGATTTCTACATTTAAGAGGTGAAGCGTACCTCAAGAAGCATAATAAAACCAGCTAGAAATGCTAGGAAAACGTGACTGTCCGAGCTAAGATGGGTAAAGAGGTGTGGGGGGGACTCTCCTACCACCAGACAGTGGCGGATCCAGAAGCTAATCTCGGGAGGGGCAATGGCAGGTCATTTTAAGAAACAATCCAGGCACAATAACCACTACGCACTTTTTAAAACACTCACATTTTGGTGTTTCATATTTAACACCTAAGTTAATCAAACCGCTTTTTAATCTGATAACTAATTAAATCAGCTGTATGTATAGTTACATTTGTGTGATCATATAAAGGACCCACTGAGTTGCCATGGAATTGCTATAGTAACTGTCCTGTTGCTAAGTGGGTGGTATTCTGCTGCCATAGGTGATGGTGAACATCTATGTGAAACATATTTCTGGAATAACTCATTATCATCTAACAAAAAGTAAAAATACATTTTTTTTTTTTTTAAATTTTTTATTTTTTATTAAATTTTTATTATTTTTATAGTGCACCAGCAGTTTCCGCAGCACTGTACAATATAGATAACCTAAAACAAGACCATTGCAAACACTGAGCTCCATACCAGTGCAAAAGATTGGATGAACCTTGTGTGAGCTTACAATTTAGCAATTGAAATGACAAACGCATCACACTTACAATGTCCGAGCCAATGCTCTGTCATGATTGATTGCATTTCTTTTTTTTTTGTTTGTTTGTTTTTTGCATCCAAGATAAATATTGCAGTATCTAGCAGCTCTTTGTGTTTTTCTATATTGATTTGCATTTATTAAGTGTTTTTGCATGTTTTTAAGTTCTGCATGAAGTTAAAGGAACACTATTGCGCTAGGAATAAAAAAATTCAAATTTAAATAAAGTGTTCCTGTCCCTACTTGTATTAAGGTCGTCATCCCCTTTTTTGCCATAAAAAATTTACAAACCAGAAGTTTTACTTGCCTTTTTCCAGCTCCTAGGCTCACTCGGCGTTGCCTTATCTGCAATCTTCCATTCCAATGGTCCTCATAGTGGAGAATTGGAGACCTAATGCGCATGCGTGGCAAGCACATTCAAGTTTCCCCGTTGGAGAGCATTGGGAGGATTTTTTTCATTTTTTTTTTTTACATTTTTAATCTACTTGTCCAAAGTACCAAAGTGGTAGCCCAGTCTACTTGTCATGAAAAATACAATTTCAAATTGGAGCACCTGCTTAGAGTATTGCACAATGACAGGGGTATTCACCAAACTTCATATTTTTGTGAACTAAAAGGACACTCCAGGCACCCAGACCACTTCTGCCCATTGGAGTCTGGGTGCCAACTCCCACTACCCTTAACCCTGCAACTGTAAATATTGCAGTTTTCATAAACTGCAATATTTACCTTGCAGGGTTAACTCCTCCTCTAGTGGCACTAGAGGGCACTTCCAGGTTTCTGGCACAGATTTTCTGTGCTATAGCGTCGCTGGACGTCCTCACGCTATGTGAGGACCTCCAGCGTTGCTAAAATCCCCATAGGGAAGCACTGAAAGCATTTTTCAATGGTTTCCTATGGGAAGGTCTAATGCGCATGCACGGCATGCGCATTAGGTCTCAACCCGGTGGCCGCGCATGCGCAATTGGTCTCCCCCACCGGATGACGTGGGTGGACCCTGGACCAGCACCGAGGGACATTGGTGCTGGACTCCGGTAAGTCACTGAAGGGGTTTAACCCCTTAAGGACACATGACAGAAATATTCCATCATGATTCCCTTTCATTTTTAAAGTTGTGTCCTTAAGGGGTTAAACCTCTTCAGCAACCTGGGATGGGGGGTGGGAGGGAGAGGGGACCTACAGTGCCAGGAAAACGGTTTGTTTCCCTGGCACTGGAGTGTCCCTTTAAATCCAAAAAGAAAAACCTGAGGGAAAAAAAGCTGATCTGAAAAAACTCTTCACAACCTTTACGTAGAATTGTGCGAATTTGTACAAATTCATAATTTAGTTAATAATCTTGAGGGATTAAATGTCTCCCTAGTAGTCCAGCAGGGTTTAAAACTTCCAGGTGTCCCAGTGGATGTTAATTCTCCCTAGTGATCCAATGGGGTTTAAGTGGTGAAGCAGGGGAGCTAGTGGTCTGTGCTTCCAACAGGTGCAGACCTCAGTAGTTACTAACTTGCACTCTGAGCCAGAGTGCAGTCTGTGAATCCTGGCGGCTGTGCCCCTCTACAGAGTATGTGTGCAGTGTGTGCATGCCGACTGTATGTAGTAGTTTTGTGTGTGTTTATGTGTGTGTGCCGAGCATGTATATTAGTCTGTATGTGTTGTGTGCAGCCTGTATGTAATGTGAGTGTGTGGGGTCTGCTGGCTGTGTGCAATGTCTGTTTAATGATAGCTGGCTGTATTAAGTGTATTTGTCTGTGCTTTGCCCCCCTCCTACATAACTTTATGCAAAGAGTAGAGGATTTGATCTCTAGTGGTCCAGCAGGGGTTAAATCTCCCCTGTGGTCCAGTGGGGGAGTGTGTTTTGTGCGCTTCTGGGTGGTGCAGACCACAATAATCACTCCCTCATGGTTGGGCACTCAGTGAGTCAGAGTGCATGCTGGGAATCCAAAGGGCTGCACTCCGACTCATTAGTGAGTGCAATACTGCAAGGGAGTGATTACTGTGTTCTGCACATGCTGGATGTGCAGACCATAGCTCCCTGTTTCAGCACTTCACTTCTCCCAACCCCTGATTTATATTGCTCCAATGCAATGCAAAACTTTTAACAATGCACTGGCAAAAATAAACCAAATGGCAGAAACAGTTTGCCATAAGTGATCCAGATGTAAATGTTAGTTTTCTTCTGATAAGCAAGTAATCCAATCAAAATGATGCTGTGATTTTGAATGTCACAAAGCTATGTTTTTACTCCTTCACATTTTGTTTCAATCTGATTGTCATTTTACAGCTAATTCAGAACTCCTTCACATAATGAAAGGCAGATCAGGGAAGTCACATGCATTCTACCAGCATATTTGAACTTGATCCAACAGACTATTTTATAAAAGCTTATTAGACTTAAGGCATTAAAGTCTGTTTACAAAAAAAAACAAACAAACCCACAACTACCCTGATTAAAAATAAATATAGACATACGTGAGTTAAGTTGCCAGAAGGTAACTAATGGACTACCATGTCTTGTATGGGCACAAGTGTCATGCACTAAAATTGAACATTTAGATGCACTTAAAAGAGAGCTTGTCAATCATTGTATGAAGCGTTCCCCTTTACTATCTGACTTGGATTGTTTGGTTAGATTGTAGATATTTAAAGGGGCAGTCTAAGCACCATAGCCATTGCAGCCCATTGTAATGGTTATTTTGCTCGTAGGCCGGGGCTTCCATCCTCTTTTTATGTGTCAAACGGTATGAAAAAACTGCGTGTTCCTAGCCCAATGCTTGTGCATTGGTAATGAGAAATGTACACTTCTGCAATATCAATGTTGTTTATATTTAAGAGGCACTGATTGGCGGAGTGCATCAACTGGCACTCTGGTTACCACGGCTGGCCAGATAACTAAATTAATTTTGTGAAGGGCTGCTGAAAAGGTTTGACAAAGCACCAGAGTAATGTGCAAGTGGAATATGGGGGAACTTGTCAGCTCCCCCTTTATTGGATTAAAGACTAGGCAGCAATAGCAGCTTGGTGGGTGGGGAATCGGGGATTATTTCAATCTCCCTTTCTCTAATATGGGGTTCATATTGACCCCATGTAGGCTTAATTTATTTTATCCCTCACCTGCTGCATTTTCTGAGGGGAGGCTGGCATTTAGGAATCTATAGGGAGCAGAGCTCTTTGCCACTTCTGTTTTTAAATGATTACCTAGAGGAAGCCGGTAGCTCCCTGCTTGTTATTAAACAAATAAACTACGTGCTTGAACGAAATTTTGTCCCACAAGAAATTTGGTCATACTTTAATTATGTTTTGTGTTCGGCCATTTTGCAAGGGATGAAATGCCTGAAATTCATATTTGTCCTAAAAGTGCCGAAGTCTACTGTTGACCTTTAACGATACTCAGGAATGTTACTGTACTATGTTTTTATTTGCATAGTATGATTACATAGCTATGGCTCGTTTGTTGTATATTTTGCTTAAACACAGAAAAAAAGTAATGGTTGTCATGGGCAAAGTAGGTGTAAAGGAGTTTGGCATACTTTTCTTTTGTTCTTTAATATAGGCAGCAAAGGAGTATATTAAAGAGACACTCTAAGCACCAGAACCAATGCAAGTTAGTGTTCTGGTTTTGGAACAAAGAAATTGTACCTGCAGTCTTAGAAGTGTAAATACTTCTGCCAAAGGCCACATTTAGCAGCTGCCACTCAGACTAGAGGGGCTTCTTGCTGCGTCTCTATTGACCCGTTTCCACTGAGCGGGTCGGTACGGTCTGGTGCACTATTTTGATTGTACCATCCATTATGAAAGTGGCCCATACAACCAAACCAAACCGCACCATTCCTGGGCCCCCTTCAGATGTAGGTCCATAGGAAATGGTACGGTTAGGGCGGAGCTACTGGTGTCACACTATACAATCCATTGATTGGCGGACAGGAAAGCGTCAATGCTCACGACAAATGACACGCTAGGCATTTGGTCTAAACCCCGCATGCCCCTTGCAGTCCGACTTGCAGTGGAAACTCTCACCTAAATAGGCTGGACCATTCTAACCCTTCCAAACCGTACCGACCCAAACCATACCGTTCAGTGGAAATGAGGCATTTGAGACCATCTGCCTTTAGTCACTGTCAGAGTGACCGCCATTAGAGGCATTTAAACCCTGCACTGTCAACGTTGCCCAGTTAAAGACACACATGGCACCCAGACCACTTCGGTTTGGGTACCTCTAGTGTACTTTTAAGCTGAAGTTGTTTTGACGCATAGAGTGTCCCTAAAAAGAGAGAAAAATATCTAGATGGATATCTGTATATATGGATGGAACATAAACCTAGAAGTCCTAGGATACGGTCTCATAAGTAATTCTACCACATTAGTTGTTGACACAAGCTTGTGCAGGGTGTGTACACAGAAAAGATTATTATATAGCAAGCGCTCAACTGTTAGGGTTATTCCGTATAGCATGCACATATTTGAAATAGGGTGTTAAATAGGAAAGAAACCTGGTACACACAAGGTCTATAAATGCCATATATATAAAACATAACCAAATGATGCAAAAGTTAAACTATATTCACATGACATGTAGTCACAAACATTCAAGAACAAAGTGCATACAGATAAAGTGCATGACAATAATAGTACACCAATACCAAATATATACCAATCATGTATACTGATCCAAAGCTGGAAACACACAGAAACCCACAATGTTCCTTCTTCAGGGTTTTTCCTTTTTTTTTTGCTTATACGTTTCCCCCCACTAAAACCTGAAACTTGATACATTTGCCCTTCTACAGTCACCCAATTATGGTGGATTGCAGGCTGACAAGTTTGTGCTGAAATACCTTAATATAATGCTGACAGTTGCGTGCCAAAATGCGATTTACAAAGAATGCATCATTGTTACAATGGCAACTGCTTATAAAATATAGGATCCCCTGACAGCAAGGGATTGACCACCAGTAATTTTATGAACCCGGTTGCACTGCCCAGAAAAAAGAGATGGTAAAACAGAGTTGAGCTGACGACAGTACCAAATATATTAATAGTAATTATTAGAAGCACTTGCTCCACAACCGAAGTAGTTTCTATTTGGATAGGTACTCCTTTCACAATTTCTAGGTGCCTAACACCAACCCCCATATTTTTTATTTTTTTTTACTACAATGATGGGGCGGGTACTTTATGTCCCAATCCCCCCCTTTATTCATAACCCTTATTTACATTGCATTACAAAGCAAACAGTGGATTTAAGAGCCATGACATGAACAGGGACAGTGCATTGCATGAACGCAACCGCTACAATCGAATTCATTATTTGTGCCTGGTTTGCTCCTTTGCTCAAATGAACGTACCAAACCAACCTTAGTACTTTTTTCAGCGTGTCTGCTTGATATTAAACTGTAAAACTTATTTTATTACTAAAGTACACCGATTCTTATCATTCTGATAAGATTACAGAAGCTTAACAGCTCTTTAGTACTATTCAGGCACATTCATATAAAGTAATCTTTGTTGTGGTATTTCAAGCCTTGCTATACTTTTTATGAGAGAACGCAGAAAATCAGAATGTGGGTTGAAATACACAGATTTTCTACCTGCAAAAGCCACTCTTTGTTAAAAGTGCTTTGAATGAAAAATGTAACAAAAACTCATGTGCTTGTATTAACACTGAATTATTATTATTTTTTTTAATGGATACGTAGGTATTTGCACTATGAAAGGTTGTTCTTATCTTATTTGTATAAAGTAGTATAATTCTCCTTTCACACAGGTTCCAAAAATAGAAAACCTGCTAGCAAATATACAATTTGTGTAATCTACAACATGAGTAACAAAATGTAAAATGGCCAAATCTTAGGTTACAGTTACATTTATGACTGCATACTGATACTATGCCCATTACAGATGCCTTGCTAGAACAGTCATTATCTGTGTTGTAAAGGGCATTGCTTATTATTATTGTACCAACCCTAATGTGCCTCCATGTCCTCCCTAGCTCGATCCTCCCCACACAGAAATTAAGGAACCTTGTGGACAATGCCATCTGTACAGTGCAAGGATTTGACAAAACATGCTGTCTTGCTGACCGATGTAGTGGTTTTCTCAGCTGGGTCACAATTGGCACTGTTGCTAAGATTAAAGAATTTTTTTCTTTAGAAATGTACATTTAAAAAAATATATATATATTATATTCTTCAAACACATAGTTTTGGACTTGTAAATCACCCAGCACAGAATATTGGATACAATATCTTTATATATTCAGGTTAATCTACAGATTTTACCTTTTCTAGATGGCCTTGTGTTCTGCTACATGTCTGATTGAACAATGCCTTTAGCAGTATACATAGAAACGTACTAAAATGCTCACCAAGTGTGGGATCAATCACAATCTGTCACTGGAATAAGGGCTGACAATGAGCCATCAATGTACACTGACCAATAAATCTTAGAATGGCTTTCTTGCAACAAACTTACCTTTCGCTTAATATTTTCTTTTCTCTTCTGGTTTCTGAATTTTTTCTTCTTTTCTTAATTTCTGTTCTATTTCTCTTTAAAACATGAGACAAAATAGTGATTACTTTGTTTCATGTAATTTTCTTATTCTTGACAAAGTGGGGAGCTTAAATGGACACTCCAGGCACCCAGACCACTTTTGCCCATTGGAGTGGTCTGGGTGCCAACTCCCACCTCCCTTAACCCTGCAAGTGTAAGTGTAAGTTTTTAACCCCTCCACCAACATGGGATGGGGGCCTGAGAGTCCCTATAAGGCAAGATCTACTTCCTTTGACCAGATAGTAAAAGTGCCTCTTTAAACGAATACTCTCGGCACCAAAACAACTTTAGCTTAATGCAACCGTTTTGGTGTATAGATCATGCCCCTGCATTCTCACTGCTCAATTCTCAGCCATTTTGGAGTTAAATCACTTTATTTGTGCAGCCTTAGTCACACCTCCCTGCATGTGACTTGCACAGCCTTCCTAAACACTTCCTTTAAGGTGATATCTAATGTTTACACTTCCTTTATTGCAAAGTCAAATCACTTTTGTTTGTTTATGCGGCCCTAGCCACATCTGCCCTGGCGCATAAACAAACATACACACTGTTTAATTTTAGATCTTAAAGCACAGTTTGTTTACTTTAGATGTTCGTATCTCCTATGCTGTTAATTGAATGTTAATCCAACACAGGAGGCTGTTGCAAACTATTAACAGAGGAGGAGATAAATTCTAAATTAAACAAACTGTTCAAATACCTATTCATCTGTCTGTTTTCCCAGTCATCTGTCCATAATCAGTTCATCCATCCACATATTACACTATATATTGTTCTCTTTAAGATTTTATACATGTTACAAAAATTTAATTTCCACCTGTTCAGTTCCAATGAGCTACGCTACAAAAGAACTACATTTTAGCCAAATATTGTTTATAAACGAAATGTACAAAACAAATTTACCACCCCGGTTTTATTTTTATTTTCTTATGATTATGTTTAAGGTTGTAATTTAATATCTATCTCCGCTTTTTCCCTAGATCTGTATCCTGAGCCAACTCTTCAGCTAAATATGAGTGACAAAGATGGGAATGCTGACAGCTTGTTTCTGAAGGAGGATTTGGACAAAAGTTTAAGCCCTGAGGGTCGAGTGCACAACTGGCAGCATGGTATGCGGAAGAGAGCCTCGCGTGCCGGGAAGCACATCCGTGAGATGACCTTGGGCAGCTTCCGTGGCTTTTTGTGCCGTAATGCATTTGTAATATTGACCATAGCGGCTGTAATCCTGGGTATGTAATTGTGGATGTGATGTGTAACCTTACGTGGAGGTTCACCATTAGCTGCTCGTATCCTGAGTGCTGTCTTTAAACACTCACTGTGCTACTTTTATTTTTCAGTTAAAACCGTCAATATAATGCATATTCTGAACATGAGTCTAATAAACAAAGCAAATTGCAATGAATTTCACATAAGCCATTGCAGTGTACTTTGGCAACAGAAATATCTGAATACCCTACTTCCAGAGTAGGGAGCTAAAACCTGAGTCAGCCAGTGAGCTAAAACTTGCGTAAGCCAGGCAGGACTATAGTGCGAGAGTCTTAATACTTAAACAGCTAAAAATACAATATTTGGGTTCCGCTGCTCTCCTACAACACTATAATGGTGGTCCGGTATTTGAATACTTATGTTCCCAAAGCACGCTGCTATGGCAATGTTATTTTATTTTTTTCAATCTAGTTTTTCTTTTTTTATATCCTGGAATAATGGAGAAACATAATCAACAATATATCTTTAATCATTGAGTATATAGTATCCTATTGTAGGCTCCTGGGTTGTATGAGTTAACAAATATTTTACTGTGTAATAAATCTCCCCAGTGTTTCTAACCGTTCCTGCATTGATGTTCTTTCTTATCCTCCTGTAGGTATTGTGTTGGCCTTTGCATTGCGACCCTATAAAATGACCTATCGCCAGATTAAGTACTTTTCCTTTCCGGGTGAGCTACTCATGAGGATGCTGCAGATGTTGGTTTTGCCTCTGATAGTGTCCAGTTTGGTGACCGGTAAGATATGGGTCTCATTGGAGAGCCTAATTAAAACATCACCACTTGTCAAGATTTCTTGATGTTTCACATACAAAGTTACTTAAAAGCGAGAATTAAAGTTGGTTATGCTTCCATTTTGGCTACTTTAGCCTCAAATTTGGAATTTACTTTAATTCTCACTTTAGAGAATAGCCATGTTCAGGGGAGGGCTGTCAGCCTTAGGCCTGGGGGGCAAATCCAGTCAATTGGCCAATTGCACCAAGAGAAGAGTACAAACACCTTTCCCATGTGAATGAAAGGGTGGGGAATTAACCTAAACACACACACCCACTGACAGACCCACACATACTGTTACAGACCCACACACACACACAGGCATACTGGCTGACACACACACACACACACACACATACTGACACAAACTTTACACTTTTAAAGTCAGTGGCCAGGGACTGAGTAAGGGGACAGGGCTGTAAAAGGGGGCTAAGGGTGGACAGGGGCTGTAGTGGAGGGTATGAGCTGTAATTGAGGGGTTAAGAAATTGTAGTGGGGAGATAGGGGCTGAAGTAGGTTGATGGCTACAATTTGGGAAAGGGGCTGTAGTGTGGGTGATATGGATTGCAATTGGGGGGTGACATGGGGCTGAGGAGGGGGGACAAGAGCTGAGAGGTGTGGGGGCATGAGCTGAGAGGGGTGGGGGCAGGAGCTGAGAGGGGGATAAAAAAAAAAAAAAAAACTAAAGTGTATGTCTTCCTCCCTGAGTCTTACCTTAGGCGAGGGAGGGATGGTCAGGAGCAGCAGCCAGTGAAGTCGGCCTCTCCTGAAGATGTCAGGAGGAGGGGGCGTGACTTCCTCTGCTCTTCTGCCAGACTCCCCAGCGGTCCTGGGAGAAGAGCAGTGAAAGTCACTCCCCCTCTTACTGACATCATCATGAGAGGCCGGCCGACTTCACTGACTGCAGGGACAGAGGTTAGTTAAAAAATCAGAGTCCCCAGCCAGAGGCAGGGCCGGAGCCAGAGGCAGGGGATTTTGATTTTTTTCCCTTTTCTTGCTGGATGCAGACTGCCCTGGATTTAGGGTGGCCTGGGGGGCAATTGCCTCCCTGCCCCCCTGTCCCAGCCCGCCCCTGGCCCTGTTGATTTTCAGTCTTGAGAAAACTGATTTCATGATATCTGCTCTTAAATGATGCGAGAACCAACCACCACAGGTCATTGTATAGCCTACATACAGAGAAGGAAAATGTGTTATTGTAGTAAGTTTGACCTCCCATGATTTGTGTTGGTGTGTGTGTATATAGGGGACATTTTTATTTTTTAAGGCTATGGTGACTTCTTGCAGGTATGGCAGCATTGGACAGCAAAGCGTCAGGCAAAATGGGCTTACGAGCTGTTGTATACTATACCGTGACCACATTTATAGCCGTCTTCATCGGCATTGTCATGGTGATCATCATCCACCCGGGTAAAGGTACCAAGGAGAACATGGCTGCCGAGGGAAAAATAGAGAGAGTTCAAGCAACTGATGCTATACTAGACTTAATAAGGTGAGTCAGTAGAAATCCACACTGTTTCTAATTTAAACCAATTTTAACTTGATGTTTTTCCTAGCTAGTCCATGATACAGTCTCTCATTTGCCCTCTCTGGGTACTACTTTTGAAAATGCCTTCTCACTCCTCACATCAATCAGTTTCTAAATTTCAATGGATATGATATTAAAATATAGCTAACATTTCCCCATTTAAAAAATAAAAATAAAAAAATTAACCCCTATATGCATATCTGTCAGTAATGGTAAATGGATGAGACAGCGCTGGTCAACTTATAGGCAGCAACCTTTAAAGGGGGATCCCTCAAAAACCCTTTAAAACAAGATAAATAAAAGTAACAGATAAGAAAGGCTGCGCCACATAAAATATTAAAAGAAGACAGAGTCCAAGTAGTAAAAAGTCCAATTTGTATATCCTTACGAATAAACTTTTTAGGAGGCTGGTACTGTGGTAGGGTCTTCAGATATAGTGGTATATAGAAAGAAAAACAGTGCAATATGTATAGCTCAGATATTGATGTGTTAAAAAAAACAATGGTAGCGAACTCACATTTACAAGAGCTTATATCCAGCTCTAGGGTAAAGCACGTACAGCGGTATAATCCCCGCTTGTAGGATATATGGTGGGTACCTCTCCGTCAGTGGTGTCCGGTTCTCAGGAAAGAAGAAACAGCCAATAGTGCTCACTGTATAGTAATGTTGAAATGATGGAAACAATTTGCCAGAGCAGACAAACTGCTCTATGGATAGGGTGTGGGTGGAATAATCCCCACCTAAGGATTTCTTAAGTAGTTCTTGCTGGGAGTAAAATCAGGATACCAAGCAATAAAATAATAATAACGGAGTAAAAAGAGCAAAATGGTACACTCAGTGTAAAAGTAGCCAAAATACCTTGATTAACACAGTAGTAAAACAAATTAAAAGTCCACAACACTTTTTGCCACAAGGGGCTTCTGTCAGTGTATTAAATGTGCAACTTTCTTAAATCTTATACATTTTAAACTTTTATACCGTAAAAAAAATAAAGAATTAAAAAATATATAGCTGACCTTTAACCCTTACATTCACAAATCTAACAAAGTGTTTGTTCTTGCCTTCAGCATCCCCGTACTTGATTATGAGATCACATTGTATACCGGTCTAATGCTGAAAATTGGCGGTGTCCTTACCTACTACGTACAAACTATTTAAAGCTTAAAATGATGACACTTGGCAGCTTTTTATCTCTTTCTAATTTAAACCCACCCAATTATTTTATTTTAAACCGTGCACTTTTACTCCTGGAGTGCAATGCCACTATATACAATTTTCCTTCTTTAGTTTGCATCATCCTGCCTTTTTAAATAAAAACTTCTAATTTAATTTCTTTGATCGTGTGGCTGAGCTTTTAGAATGATGCTTTAGCTGGTTAACTTTTCCTAAGGAAGGCAATGTTATGGGTGTACTGAATACTGTTCTGCTATCACAATGGGGAAAAGCTGCCTTTATTTCCATCAGCTAAATGTTAACAGAATCAATATCCTGACTTGACTTGAGCTTCCAGCTGATCTCTTCCTGCTGAGCAACGTATTTTAATGGGCAGTTAATTCTGGAGTCCTATTTACCTACTTAATCACATGTATATTTAACTCCTTGTGCAACATGGTCTCCAGTTGCTAAGCCAGTCTGTAGAGGACCTCCCTTATCTGTCTTAGATGGGATACATTTTCATAGAGTTCTGATACATCATGTTGAATTGGCAGGCTAACTGCCGATAATATTGTTGCATATGATCTTCTTTTACACTCGTTTTGTTTTTATTAAAGGAACATGTTCCCTCCAAACTTAGTGGAAGCCTGCTTCAAACAGGTGAGTGCATGACATGTGTGTCTATATGTATCAGGGATGTGGACCTCTGATAGGTGGAGAGTTGGCCTGGCCAAACCAAAAATGCGTAAGGAGAACCCGTAACAAGGGCCAGGTGCAGCTCACAGGGAGTTGTGAGGAATGGAAGCAACCAAGCGCTACTCACAATGCTCAGAACTCATGGCTGCCGGGATTCAGCATTGCGTCATTTCCCGGATGGTCAGTATGCTGTATAGTGCAGAGAGCTTGGGACAGACTGCACTCTAGACGACACCCAAACAGCTGCTAGTAACCCGTGCTGTGTGTGAATGTCAGAGAATGTGTGGATTGTGCCTGTATGGGTCATTGTGTGTGTGTGTGTGTGTGTGTTGGTGGATGTGTATCAGTGTTCCACAACCACATAGAGCCACTGCTTGCACACATCACGAACAGTCAGCACATGTACTCATCGCATATACCCAGCACACATGGAATACACACATCACATACTTTCAGCACGTGCACTGCTCTCACACATCACATACTTCTAGCACGTGCACACATTACATACAGCCAGAAAAGACTGCTCTCAGACAGCACATACAGCCAGCACTTACCGCACACAGATGACACATCAAGAACACTATGGACAAAAATAAACTATGGGAGGGCAGACGGTAAGATACTCAGGGTAATTCGCAAGACTCTGAATTTTTACAAAATGAATCCAAGTGGCATAACGGAGGCAAAAAAAGCCATGTTGTGACTACAGCAGAGTTAGAGAATGTTGGCACGTTAGCTATTTTTGCCTCCATTTTTTCTATACAGAATTATTCTGTGAAAATTTAGCAAATAACTGCCAATGGCCAGTGCTCTTCGGGGGCCCCAATCTTGTTTTGTTTTTTTGTTTTTTACTGAAATTATTGTGTCAGGACAAGTAGATTGTCATGATGGACAAGTAGATGGGGCTATCAAGTCCCTTGGAGAAGTAGATATCTTTTTTCCACGTTTCCACACCCCTGTGTATATCAGTTTGCATTCGGTAGAAGTTTTTCCTAATTATCTATCATTTTGTTTTTTCTCATTACCTTATCTTCTTCCACTTTTTAAATAATTTCATTGATAGGTTCTGGTCATATAAATCATTGTATAACTTGTTAAATCATGCCCAGTTTTTTTTACAGCTTGCTGGGTTGGCCTCTTTAGGCAACCTCTGTCTTTTTACCTTCTGCAACATACAAGACCCATCATGTTCTGACAATTATGTGGGATGGGGAAAAATGAAGACTTTATTTTTGCCCACTAGCTCAGTTTCAAATTGTTTCATATGTACAATCCTTCTCTCTTTGCCCACTTTTATCTTTCCAGTTTTAAATGGTGGAACTTTAATCTGGCTAAGTGCCTTGCCATTGGAAACCTCCACCACTAAGTTAGTTGTCACTAAGAACTCTCCGTTCATTTATTAATCTATTTTTACATTTATTTATTTTTTACATTTTATTTTTTATTTTTTTTGTATCCACTGTTCAATGCTGAATATTGAAGGATCAAAGGAAGAAATGTTAGAAAAGAACAGTGTAACTCATACCATTAAAGTAACAAGGCGAAATACAATAAACAAGATAAAATACCAGTCAAGCTGAGGTGATGAAAAACCTATTTTTACCATTTGTCTGCACAATTAAAGGAACACTATAGGGTCAGGAACACAAATGTGTATTCCTGACACTATATCGTGAAAAATACATTTTACCCCCCAGTTCACCCTTCCTCACTTTAAATAACTAAAAAACTTACCTTTATTTCAGTGCAGCACAGGTCTGTTTTTGCTGGCTCCGCCCCTGATCTGCCATCATCACAATTGACGATCTCAGACAATCCAATGCTTTCTGATTTCTCATTAGATTGGCTGAGATTGTAAATTCTAATGATCTCAGCCAAGGAGGCGGGGCAGGGGCAAAGCCAAACGCTGCTCTGGCTAATCCACATCTCCTCAGCTGCATTGAACCAATTATTCTCTATGGAGAAAGTTCACCGTCTGAGTGATTGCCACTAGAGGCAGCAATGTAAACACCTGAAAATCTTGCAAGGACATACTTATACTCACCAGAAAAACTACATTAAGCTGTAGTTGTTCTGGTGACTAGTGCCCCTTTAAGCTATGTTGAAATCTTTGTGCCTTGTCCTCCTGGTCCCAGCTATATACTGCAGTGAGATTGATTTTATGACCAATCTTTATATAACTTTGAAGACTGCAAACATTGTGGCAGTAATTAAGATTTTCTCATATAACTCACATTCATAGAGTCCTGTTCTTCATGTACACAATGTATAAAAAGACAATAAAAACGCTGCCTGTTGAGAGATTTATTTATTTATTTATAATTCATTTATTCACCTGCAAATCCAATGTTTGATACAGGTCACTGCAAATAGTGGTTAATTGTGTATAGATTTTAAAGATGTTTTGAAGGTTGGTATTATATAGCTTTGGAGAAATATATTATTGTTCTATTCTAAAAATTTTCTATATTATTACAAGTGAAAGTTGTCTGTTTTTGTTTTTTGTTTTTAATTAAAGGGACACTATATAGTCACCAGAACAGCTTAATGAAACAGTTGTGTATAGATCATGTCCCAGCAGTCTTACTGCTCCGTTCTCTACATTGAGGAGCTAAATCACTTTTGTTTCTGTCCATGCGGCCCTAGCCACACCTCCCCTGGTGACTCACACAGCTTAAATGAAAAAATAAATGGTTTCCTTTTTAACTTACTTTAGAAGCGTGTATCTCCTTCTCTGTAAATTTAACTTTGATCATACACTAGAGGCTAGTGCAAGATATAGCAAGCTATTAACAGAGCAGGAGATACATTAAACAGAATTTACAATAAAGGAAGTGTAAACATTAGGTGTCACTTTACAGGAAGTGTTTTTTATACAGGATGTGCAAGTAACATGCTGGGAGGCGTGACTACGGCTGCATAAACAAAGTGACTTAACTCCAAAATGGCAGCAAATTGAGCAGTGAGACTGCAGGGGACATGATCTATACACCAAAACTACTTAATTAAGCTAAAATTGTTTTGGTGACCATAGTGTCCCTTTAATTGTTTTAAGAAGAATATCAAAAGGAATATTAAGTTCCTAACATATTACAGTATATAGCTATAACATAGAGTAAGATCAAAGTGCCAAACTGAGAAAAGAAGGTGACGATGTATGTTAAGGAGTATAATAATGCTCAGTGGCAATCTCTCTGTTTAGTATTTCATGAACATATTCATCCTTTCAAAGACGCAGCACAGCAAGCTTTGGATGAAGAGTTGAGAACTGTTACACGCAGGTAAACTAGGCATACAGCTCTCAACCTACCATAGGTTTGAAACAAAAAAAATAATAAAATTTATCACAGTATTGGAATGTTTGTTTAGTAGGTGGCTATTGCCCTCTTCATAGTGTTTCACATTCTTATTCTACTGGTATTTATCTTAATATGTGCACCTTTGTGTGTGTCCTTCAAATTATTACCAAGTGATATTGACCCCTTTATCCATATTACATTCCATCTGTAAATGACTATACAATGGAGTGTATGCGCTTGGTCTCATATTAATATACAGTCACATATCAAATGAAAAAACATTTACTCTTTAACATTTTGTTTCTGCTGGTCCGTTTTATTTCAAAAACCACTTTTAAAGAACTAAAAGGAAACCGTTGCCTCAAATCTATTTTTAATATAATGATTTCTTCAGGTGTTGAAAGGAAATAGATTTTTTTTTTTTTTTTTTTTAAAAAAAAAAAAAGCATCACTGTTTGTAACTTTCGGTTACTGTAAAAGATTTTGACCAACTCTGGTGTTGTACCACCCAGACTTGATGATGTTTTTTTTTGTTTTTTTTTTTTGTTGTTTTTTTTAATGTAAGTGTAACGGAGCTCCCTGTACTCCTGGCTCGGTATCTCTGCCAAGGACCACTTCCTAGCTGGAACAGGGGACAAACCACAGCACTTCTGCCCACAGTCGCCTCGGCTGGACTGGGGTCCTGGAACCGCGCTCTCCTGGAGCCGAATGGAGAATTCGCACTAGACAACCCCAGGCACTGGACAACACTCAGTCCTGGGAGCTCTCCTTACAAGGACTTTCCCCATTGAATCCTCCTCACTGGAACAGTGATCAGTGATTAGCTTTTTCCCCTCCTAGTAACCAGATGACACATAGTTCTGGGTGTACAAGCTGGAATGCTTTAATCTGGCCAGATAGCCTGCTTTTATACATATTCGACACAGTCAAACACGCCCATAACACTCCCACACAAAACTGGATTATCCCCCCTCCCTTGTGCCTGAGAGATAATTACCTGCGCACACAAACCTATAATTGAATCATCTCTCAGTACAGAAACAGGCAACATAACAAAACCCCAATAATACCCCTAAAACACTTAAAACAAACGTTACATCCCCTGATAGCCCTGATTTGGGTGACCAACATATACAAAACTCACCCAGATCAGTTCAGGGGTTCGGGATTTTCTTGGAAGTCATAATTTTGACCGACCGTGCACATGGTCCAATGCCCAAAACAGTTCCATGAAATCAGTGCTAACGGTTGGTCAAGTTCGGTAGTTTAAAAACGAACAACTACCGAATGGAATCCATAGTTCTTTCAAGCCAGTTAACCCCTTAGTAACCAAACCATTTTTACATTTTCTTACCATTAAGGACCAGGGCTCTTTTTACATTTCTGCGGTGTTTGTGTTTAGCTGTAATTTTCCACTTAGTCATTTACTGTACTCACACATATTCTATACTGTTTTTCTCGGCATTAAATTGTCTTTCTAAAGATACCATTATTTTCATCATATCATATAATTTACTATAAAATATAATAAAAAAAAAACCCACACACTTTTTCTAACTTTGACCCCCAAAATCTGTTGCGCATCTACAACCACCAAAAAACACCCATGCTAAATAGTTTCTAAATTTTATCCTGAGTTTAGAAATATCCAATGTTAACATGTTATTAGCTTTTTTTTTTTTTTTTTTGAAAGTTATAGGGCTATAGGTACAAGTAGCACTTGCTATTTCCAAACCATTTTTTTTTTTTTTTTATTAACGCAAGTTACATTGTAACACTGATATCTGTCAGGAATCCCTGAATAACCCTTCACATGTATATATTTTTTAAAAGAAGACAACCTAAGGTATTAAACTTGGGGTATTTTGACTCTCTTCATGTAACCATTTTACCACCAATCTAGGCCAAATGTAAAAAAATTTTTTTAAAAATTGGCGATTTCTTTTTGACACACATAGCAATTTAAGAATACATGTATGGAGAACCTTAAGGGTTACTGCCAAAGAACACTCCGATATATGTTCAGCAACATCTTCTGATTACAGTGATACCCCCCCCCCCCCATCTATAGGTGTGTTGGGTTCTCTGGGGGCTAAAATACCTTATTTGGAGGGTGTACTTTCCAGTTTTCCAACTTGGAATTTTCTCAGCTGGTCATCATGCACCCATGTCCTATTTGGGACATTTTTTAAGCCGGCCAATGTAATTTACCCATCTAAAGTAGACACCCTAGGGTATTTCAAATTGTGGTATTTTAACACTTTTCATGCACTAATTCTACCACCAGTCTTTGTCAACATTTTGGGTAGCCATTTTTTTAAAGTTATTTTTCTCTCACATTGTACTTTAGGCATGTATTTTCTGCTCGTATTGTGTATTACTGCCAAAGAACACCACAATATGTGTTCAGCAACATGTTCCGAGTACAACAATGTACAGGTTTTATGGGTTTTTGCAAACTTACAGGGGTCAAATATAGGGCTTTCCCCTTTTCCATGTTTGCGGGGTATTTCCAGTCTTTTGTAGCAGCCACTTAGTCACAAACGCTGACCAAATGTAGTGTTTTTATTGGGGTTTATTTTTTTTTTAATATATATATATATATATATATATATACACACACACACACACACCAGTAGAGAGCACTCAGGAATCTTTCAAAGCATCGCTGCAATACCATTAGAGCTGCTGGAAGCAATCATGATCACTTCCAGCGCTCTAATTCCCTGCGGACGTACCTGATCCTTAAGGACAGTTTTTTGTCGGACGTACCTGATGCTTCCTGGGTCACTAAGGGGTTAAATGGTCTTGTACAGGTTTCCCTGCAGGGCCCAAAGTCTGTGGGCAGGAGGCTGGCAAGCAGGCTCCTCCAGGAGCTCGTGGCAAACTCACGTGGGAAGGGGAATTTGTCACAGTGAGTATGACGAAAACCTGTATCATTTCGCCAATGCAAAAAAACTATTCTTTTCAATACTTGATAAAAGGATCATTATATTAAAACATAGTTTTGAGGTGACAGTTGTCTTTTAAGCATACATAAAGTTTCCTTTACAAATCTACTAACATTTACTCATAACCTAGATAATAGGTACACGTTATTTTGCAATATTGTGTAAATTAGAATAATGAATCACAATTCCATGTAGAATGAAGTTTTTAAATGAGTAGTTGAATGTAATAAACATGATTCATTAACTCTGGAATGTCAGTGCGCAGACATGAGTTGTTTTTGGTGGTTGGCTTTTGTATGTAGGAACAAGTTGTGTTTTTTTTGTTTTTTTTTATCCCTTGTGTTGGTAAGTTTACCAACTACACCCCTTAAGTATTTTATGATTAAATTGCCCTGTTATTTGAAGGGTTAGACAACACTCAATATACCTAGTGCCTGTTCCATACTCATGGGGAAAAGCCTAAAAACTAGTGCTCTCAAAAACATTTATTCGTACATGCATTCAATTTGTACCATGTCACTGTGCTTTCCTATGTCTGCTATTAAAATCTTGAATGCGTTCATACAGCTTAAAACCTCATAAGTAATAATATGTGCAACCCTTCTACTTGATCTCTCCAGGATATCACATGACAAACCATATGGTACAGAGCTCTGCTGATTTAAGCTCTTGCTTTTGGACGAGTAGCAAAATTTGGGGTGACTGATGAAAACATGATACGTTTTCAATTCACTTGATTTGTCATAGTCAGGGGTCTTTGTGTCTATTATATAACTATCTTCTATGTTGTCCTGAGTTTCCATTATTTGACACTAAGGCATCATTATTATTGTCTATTCACGTTGAGTAGAATTGCTTATTTTTCTTGACCATGTTCTGATGTATTTTTTTTAATTATTTTTTTACAGTATAAAACTCAGTACAGCACAAGGATCGTCAAAGTGCCTGTCCTTCCTTATCATAACAACACAGGATTCCAATCCCACAACTCTACAGAAGCAGAAGAGGAGATTGTGAGCGCAGTTAATGTCAGTGATATTGTGGAGAATGTGACCCGAGCAATGGGCAAACTGCAGGAAATGATGGACATGGAGGAAGTGGTACCTGTCCCAGGCTCGGCGAATGGTGTGAATGCTTTGGGCCTTGTGGTCTTCTCCATGTGCTTTGGTCTGGTGATTGGAAAAATGAAGGAACAGGGCAGGGCACTCAGGGAGTTTTTTGACTGCCTCAATGAAGCCATCATGAGACTTGTGGCCATTATTATATGGTAAGACTTTATAATGATATATTATTTTACATATCCATGAAGCCTTGCTGTTTTATACTATGTGAAATAGCTTTTTAAAAACTTTTTTTTCCCTACTTTTATATACTGAGTTACTGACACCTTAATGACCAGTGGATGCCAGATTTTAAAATAATGAGATGGTACGCCATGCCAGTGGAGCTATATAGAATTTATGTTGAGGCGATATGGGTTTAAGGGACCTACATATGTGGAGCAATTGCCTCATAGTACGTCCTTTTTGAGGTGAGTTTAAAGTCTGTATTCCTAGTGCTAGTAGTGCAAACTGCTGGTACTCTCCTCTCCCTGGATGACCGTGACTCACTGGAGGTTATTCTGTGGTAGTCATGGAGCACAGCAGCCCGCAGCCTCTTAACCTCAATCACAGCTGGAGAACGTGCAGTGGTCGCTCCGTTCATCCAAAATGATGGCCGTCGTGCGGGGAAACCAGCTGGCTTGTCAGAGGGTGGAGGTGGAGAAAGGACAATAATGTGGCCAATATGGTGTTGTGTCCCAAAGTCTAATTTGTTGACCCCTGGTAACTCGCCTACAGGTGAGACCTGTAATCGGCAGCCCTTTATAAGTAGAGTACACCTACCAGTCAGTGCTTCGTTGTTTTGCCAGTCTCGTAACTCCTAATATTTTTTGCCCAGTTCTCCCTGTTGTTGCTGGTTTCCTGACTTTTGCTATCCTTCTGACCTCAATGTTTACCGTCTGACCTGACCTCTGGATGGTCTGACTCTGATTATTGCGCCTGACCCTTACTCTGATATTTTGCTGTGGACCTTATCTTTTATTTTTTATCTTTCTGTTAAAGCCCCTGTGCTATTGCCTATTTGACAGAATCCTGTTCTCATGTTCAGGTTACCTGTGGGTCGTGTATGTAAGGGAGAGCTGTTACTGCAGTTGAGTTCTGGAATCAAACACCCACCCTGGGTTGTTACACGCATACACAAAGACATTCATATACACACTCATAAGTACATCCACACATTTAAAGAAAAAAAAAATTAAAAGACTGGTTGAAAGATTGTGTCCCAACATTGAAGGAGGTCCAAGTTAAGATTGAAGACAACTACTTGATGGAGAAGCTTATATCAATTGTCCATAATTCTTTGGGTAGATACTTCCTTGGTAGGTCCATATATACCTTGCAGTGAGTGACCATATAATGTTATGTCTTGATCTCTCTACACAGGTACGCCCCTATTGGAATTCTGTTCCTGATATCTGGGAAGATTTTGGAAATGGATGATCTGATGGTGATGGGGGGTCAACTGGGCATGTACACAATTACTGTCATCATAGGACTTCTCATACATGCTCTGATAGTCCTTCCATTATTGTTTTTCATCGTTACCCGCAGAAACCCATGGCCATTTATTGGAGGACTCCTTCAAGCCCTTATCACAGCCCTGGGAACATCATCAAGGTGAGTCCTGTGGAGGTTTGCAGAATATGGTTGATTTTATATTAAGTATGGTTTGTTCAGTTGAGTAATTCTGCTTTATAAATTAATGATCTAGTTATTTACATAAAGAGTTATTGCTGTCCTAATGGTCTGTGGGATCTGTTTGTATTTCATTGACATGCGCATAAACCAGAGTGTTCTTAATCAGTCATTATTCCTCCAGTTTTTTTTGTGGCTGGAGCATTGTGCATGTCCCATAAACTCCCTTCTCAGGATGGTTTTTGGATATACTTAGTTCAGCTGTTTTAAATTTTTACTGAAATGTGAACAGCACTAGCCAGACCCAGCTGTAAATAATTTATTTTATGAAAAACATTGTGTCTCATGAGTTGAACAACTCTAAGCTCTGTTTGCTGTTCAGATTTTTTTTCAGGAGCCCATACTAGTCACTTAAGAAAAATAATACAGGTTCATACTGCACAAGACCTTGTATTCCAAGTGGGAGGGAGTGTGGTTCCTTTATGACATTGCAGAGTAAGTGGTATAAAAATGGCTCAGAAGATTAGATCAAAATGCTCAGAAACAAACAATGACCATATTATATGCAAGGAGCAGAACTGATTCTGGTTCTTAAAAAGTCCCTTCAAGTAAAAAACTGTAATTTATCTTGTTTTTTTAGATGCTAAGTGGTTCTTTACCTTTGTTCATGTTTTTCAGCTCTGCTACCCTCCCCATTACGTTTAAGTGTTTGGAAGAGAACAATGGTGTGGACAAGCGCATCACTAGATTTGTGCTTCCCGTGGGAGCAACCATTAATATGGATGGAACAGCGCTCTATGAGGCACTGGCTGCCATTTTTATCGCGCAAGTGAACAACTATGAGCTGAACTTTGGACAGATTATCACTATCAGGTGAGTGATTTTTTGTCTTTTTTATGGCTAACAATGTCTTGACACCAATGTTAGTGTCATTGACCATACATTAGAAGTGTGACTAATGGTAAATTAGTTACCATTAATTGTAATATTTCTATATCTTAAAACACTGAGTGCAAAACAAGTCAATCACTTGTCAGTACACAGATTTTACCAACAATTTTTGTGATGCTAGGTGTATAAGTGAACACACACATTATAAATATGCTAACTACTATTAATTGTGTTACGGTACCTTCAGTAATAAATGTACAAACCGCCGTTTAGTGAATGCTCCCCGTTGGCAATAATGTTGTCTGTAAGCGTATGCAATACAACCATGCGAACCGCCAGCCAGGGAACACTCCAATCTCCCGAACGGTATCCGTACGACTCCTTCCCTTCACGAGCCACAAGTTCACGAACTGCCAATATCAGCCGAATGCCAATATCTTCCAAGCGGCAAATAATTACAAATAGCAGTCTCTACTCGCCGGTAATAAAATCCCCCCCCCCAATAATGAGCCCAAGCTCCGCATTGAGGGTAAAACACGAACTGAGTTTACTGTGGGCTACCTGCCCGTATTTATGCAGGTCTCCCACTTGGTGGACACTCAAATGGGAGACTGGAATAGCAGATGGACATGGGGACATTTCAGACATACAATCACACAATATTCCCAGCATACATCACAGTTTCCTCCCCTCTGCCCGGGAGATAATTGAGAAGTAATTCAATTATCTCCCAGAGCAGAGGCAAATCGCCATTTTAAATACAAGTCACATAAAAATATATAACTTTTATAACTGCCGAACATATTACATTCATGTAACACATCCCCAGATAGCCTGGATCTGAGGGTATATTATTGGCAAATAGCGCTCAGATCCCATACACACAGTTCAATCGCCATGGAGGTAAAGTCTATTACAGTTCTTCGGTATGCGATTGACTCCATGGGACGGCTATCTGGGGTAAGTCTATTCGTGCCTTTACATCTCCCGAACGGCCGGTGTTCGCACACTTCTGTCGATTGAGAAGGGAGGTCGACGGCTTCAGCGGTGTTAGGTTGAAAAGGTGTCCGTTTTTAGTTCCATGAAATAAGTCGAACACCGCTGGTCTTTCGCATGGTTAAAATGGCCGCCGCCTCGTGGTCGACATACGAACGATGACCACCCTGTATTCGGTTTTAATTGAGAAGTGTCTGTGGTTAACCTCAACGTTCTAATTGGGATCAATAGGTTAACCAGCAGCACACTTCTCTTCTGGGTGGCTAAATTCATGCAAACGGCAAAACAGACGAACACGGCAATCTTGGTTCATACGGATGGGTCTGTCACAAATTGTAAAACCCTACATTGTGTGACATAATTACACATCACAAAATTCTATAGCCCTTTTATAGTCTAGTATTGGTTTTCTTTGATACATACAGGAAAAAAATGCATTAATTGACTTGTGCATTCAGTTTATAATATTTAGTATTTGCCCTTTTTCCAATACCCAATATATATATTTGCATATAGCAATGCCAAGGTATTATTAAACAATGAAGCAATGAATTGTTTTTTTTTTTTTTTTGTGTGTGTAAAGTTACACCTTTGTCATGTGCCTGTTTGATCAAACATGTGTTGTCTATGTCCTTTTAAAAACTTTAGTACTACCCTCCCTCTCTGTTTATTATGTCCCTCTATTGCTGCTAGGGCTGTCATATGCTTCTGGCACTAGGGGTTCGCAAAGTTCCACTGATGCAGCCTCCGTTTCGACTTCATGCCTGCTGCATTGCTTAAAGGATTCCTGTAGTGCCAGGGAAACACAGCTGTTTTCCTGGCACTATAGGTTTAAAAACTTGCGCCTTTCCTCCCATGGGGCTGAAGGGGTGCTCCTCCCCCACCGACCTCAGCCAGTGGGGGAGACCTAATGCGCATGCAATGCTTTCCTATGGGGAAATCTGACGCTTGAGGTCCACATGCAGATAACGGATCGAAGGTCCGTTTCGATTCCAAAAGCGCCCCCCAGTTAGCTGAAGTGGTCTGGTTGCCTACAGTGTCCCTGTTAAGCTTAGTGCTCCTGCTGCACAGTGTGAAAAGTGAAGAGACCGTGTCTGACACCTCTCTCTCCACTCTCTCCCAGCTCCATGATTTGAATACATCCCTGCAGTCTCTGATAAACCTCCCCTGGCTCCATGCTTTGAGCCCCTCCTTTCCTCAATCTTACCCCTGGCTGGTAGCTGCCCACTGCAGTTTTTTGTTTTTGTTTGTTTTTTGTATTATTATACATAGAATTATTTCTGAACCCCAAACTGTGGTTGGCTATAATCCTCTGTGAGGATATATAAGATAAACATGTTAACTTGGCCGTTAAGATGTTGAGAAAGCATAATGCTCAGCAACAGACATTCTATCATAATGTTGCACAAAGAAGGGCTTTATCTACACCAAATTGCTTTAAAAATGAATTGTCAGCATTATAATGTATCAAGGAAAATTCAGCATTATAAAGAAACTGGATCCGTTGTTTAGTGTAAACACAGTGGATGCCTACATTGTTCATCGGCAACAAAGTGCTTTAAAAACTTTGCCACTCAAATTGGATGCTGACATCGCCTGAGCTGGAAAGAGAATTGTCAGAGAGTACTTCTGTGACTTGTTCTGCTTCAACAATCCGTGGCCGGCAACTTTACTTTGAACTCAGAAGCCGTAAAGCAAGGAGGAAGCCTCTACTGTCAGAATGCCAGTGAAAAGCTTGCCTACTGTGGGTTAAGCAACATCGACATTGGTCGACAGGTGACTGGCAAAAGGTTTTGTTTAGTGACGTATTGACATTTTCCATTACTGCAAATAATGGTATCTCATATGTAAGGGAGACATTCTGGTGAAGAACTCAAGCCATAGTGCAATAAGAGAACATTGAAGTACCCAACATCTGTAATGATTTGGTCTTGTATGGCTGCAAATGGCATTGGGAGCTGTGCATTTCTGATGGAATAATGAATGCAAGCAGGTATATTTGTGTCCTAACTAATAAAATGCTTCCTAGGGCTGCAGCGTTATTAAAGTTATTCCCACATAGTGACTGTGTTCAACAACAAGGCCTCTTGCCATCGAGCAACGACTGTAAAAAAACTGGTATAGAATACAGAGGTGTTCGTCGTCTGACTGGCCTGCTCAATCACCTGATTTGAACCTTATCAAAAACATGTGGATGAAACAAAGTGTGGAATATCAAAGAAGCAGTTACTTCTACTACAGGGCCGTTGAATGCTTCAATCTGGTTGGTTGACGAAAGTTCTAAGGTGTGCATTATTTTCAGGGAGACGCACGGCTAAAGTAGTTCCAGACAGGTCTTGACCGCATTACAATTGCGTGAGAAATTAGTCCTACATACAAGAGTGTTTTAATGACAAAAACTTGACAAACGTCTTGAAATAAATCATCCGAACAATGTTTCGAGGTGTGGTAACTGTAGTATAAGCGGAATAATTGACTCCAGGCTTTGCGTCGTGACTGCATTACCACCTCGGGTGTGCATTATTTTTCTAATAATTCAATGGCCTGTCGTCATAAAAAAGGAATATTCAATCAAATATTAACACCTCTTGTGTTTCAATAAGTGTATTTAGATGCCAGATTTATTCATTATTTGCTGCTTCTTTATAATATTTCAAATGTATCTGTAAAAAAAAAAAAAAAAAGTTGTTACATATTTCTATGGGTTTTCCACACACGCTCTTCATTTTTATCTCATGATATTTTTTATGTCATAAACTGATTAATCTTAAGGTCAGGCTTGAAATGTACAATACATGAAGACATTTCCTTAAATTAGGTAAATAATTTAAGATATTTTTTATTATGTTTTATTTATATTTAAATATGTTGAGCTCCATGTAGAGACAGGTGATGCGTGTGTGTATATATTATGATTTTATAAAATCCATTAATTAACCCCTTAAGGACCAAACCTCTGGAATAAAAGGGAATCATGACATGTCACACATGTCATGTGTCCTTAAGAGGTTAATGCACTTCACCTGTATGTATGTATTAAAAAACAAAACAAAAAAAAAAACAGTTGTTGCACTATAACGTTTTTATGTTTCTTGATGTGTAGTATGTCAGCAGTGAGTTACTATGGTAACTGCTCCAAATGAATAGGACTTACACCTTCTACAACATAATTAAATTTAATTGCTATAAAGATATTTATATATGGTGTGTTTTCACTATTACACTTAGCTTGACAAAGATTTGTATATTGGACAAAATGTTGTGTAAATGAAATTTTTGTTTCCAACACCTTGGAGGAGCACTGGACCACTTCCACCAGTCAAGTGCTTTAATTTGTCAAAAATATATAAATCATGGCACATCATCATCCTCATGAAGGATCTTATGTAAAGAATCACATTGACATAGTTTTGTTTTTGTTATTTTTTTCGGTTGTTTTCTCCTAGAGACCAAAATTGTATACAAGTTATGAACGCTGGGGCCTATTCTTCAATGGCAAAATAAGCTCAGAGAATTATTCTTTAACTGTATGAATATTTATACACCAACACAAAACATGTGCACAACAAAGACCTGTAAATCCGCCTTTATTAGACTTTGCCTAAAGTTGGCCTATACCTGGTACCGACAAGTCATAGTTTGTATCTACAAAGAGGAAGAGGGTCCCACTGGAAATAGCACAGGATTGAATTTGTGAGTCCTGAACACTGGTCAAAAATCACTAATCTACTCAGTAATTTCATATCTGTTAGTAGATCCTGACATTGTTACTGCTTTTCTTGTTTAGTTATCTCAGATATCCATTACCTGTGATTTAAATGTTGGCTCGTTGGAAAACAGGCAAACCTCCTGCTTACAGGATTCTTCTTTGCCATAATAGAAGCTTTGTGTAAGCCACATACATTTTGTTGCATTCTCTTGTGGTTTTTATACTGACTCCAATTTTTTCGTTTTTCTTTTTTCTCTCCGCAGTATTACAGCAACAGCTGCCAGTATTGGCGCGGCTGGAATTCCTCAGGCTGGCCTCGTGACCATGGTTATAGTCTTGACATCCGTGGGACTCCCCACAGAGGATATAACACTTATAATTGCGGTTGATTGGTTCTTGTGAGTATATTTATTTGATATCTAAACCATTTCAGGCTCTTAACCCCTTCAATGCGGAGCACTTTTTAAATGGAATAAAATATTAGCAGTAATTTGAAGCAAGGGATGCGTAACTATCATATAAACATATTGTAACACAGCAATTCTGTGCATAGATTGCTTTACAGAAAAATGTAAACTATATGTGAATTTACACAATTTTTATTCATTTATTTGTTCATCTTTTATAAAAAAAAGTAAGTGTGTGTGTGTGTATAACGGGTTGATAGCTTGGCACTCTCCTTACCAGGAATTTTGTTCAAACTGCCTGGGTGCAATCCAAATGCGTCCAATATGTATACAATAGAAATCCAGGATGCACACACAGGTCTTAAAAAAATTTTTAAAAAATTATGTTGTGATTTATTTAGTGTTTCAACAAACAGCACATAAATCGACATTTCAACCCTACCGGGTCTACCTCAAGTAATCTTGAGAAAGACCCAGCAGGGTCGAAACGTAGATTTTTTTTTTTTTTTGGGCTGTATGTTGAAACACTAAATAAATCACATTGTGCTTTTTTTTGAGACCTGTGTGTGTATCCTGGATTTCTTTTGTGTGTGTGTGTGTGTGTGTGTGTGTATATATATGTTTGGAAAATTAAGCTTTAGACAGTATACAGTGTTCTTTGTATTTCACACAGGGTCTGAAATGTTAGTGCAAAAGCACAAATACAATAATTCTCACATATAGTAAGTGTGACAAAACTGTGTAAATAAAAATATGTATATCTTGCTTAACTATATCATGCCTTTAAAGGGACACTCCAGGCACCAAAACAACTTCATCTAAATTAATTTGTTTTGGTGCCAGGAGGCCCCTGAAGGCACTCTTACCTTGAAGGGGTTAAACTGTTCTTCGATGTCCACTCCTCCCCGGTGGCATCCGGCTTCTGAAATTTTACTTACAGCTCGAAGTGTCTCTGGGCAGGGGCGCCATTTTTTGGCCGAGAGTGGTCAGCTGCCACGTTCAGCCAATCATTGACTTCCCATTCACTAAACTGGCTTGGAAAAGGTATGCCTCTTTCGAAGCCAGTTTAGGTAATGGGAAGCCACTGATTGGCTGAATAAATAACAGTTCAGGCACTCTGGGATAACGGCAATAGCCGCTTTATTGGGGCAAAACAGCAGCGTTTCAACCCAACCGGGTCTTTATCAACCATTTATTTATTCTGCATATCTTGGAAGGGGGCCTGGCTAGCCCTGGCTTCCTTGCACTTGGGATATTTTGTGAGTGCGTTATCTAGTACGTTTCTACTACTGATTGGCTGAAAGCGTCAGCTGACTGCTCTCAGCCAGTAAGCGGCGCCCCTGCACAGTGGCACTCTGCATTTCCTGTATGTGAAAATTCAGAACCTGGATGCCGCCAGAGGAGGAGTGGTCGTCACCCATGATCCGTTTTCTGTTAATACATGGGTAACTCTTTAATCAACCTATTTTTACAGTGTATGGCAGTATTGATCTTGAGCTTCGGTTAGGTACTTGTATAGCAGTTGTTAACATATTGGGGGGGACTAAATTAAAAAAAAAAAAAAGTGTGCCACATTGTAACTGAGGTAAGTACTGTAGGTAGTTAAGTTGCTAATTAAGAATGGTTTCAGAACAGTACTGAGGAATATGTGGTTAGTGGTAAAAATGACTGTTTGGAAAAAAACTGTACTCTAAAATCTTGGCAAACCTAAACGTGGGGTGCATAATGGATTATGATCCGTGCCTCAAAAAATTTCCACTCACCAATAACCATTGGTGAGTGAAAGTTTCATCCTGGCGAGTAGAAATTCACTCCCGGTGAGTATGCTAATAAATGCACGAAACCCCAATTTGTAGCTGGATAGGTGTTAAAAAGAGGAATGGAGTCCATTATCCACCCCATACCTTGGGCTATACGACAAACTATCACGTGGTTGGCAGATAAGGGGTTAAAGATGGGAGTAAGTCGGCATGGCAAATGCAATTTTGTCGCATTTTTTTTCTAAATTGTGTATTGTTTCCTCTTTGTCCAGGGACCGTCTCAGAACAACCACCAATGTCCTCGGAGACTCCTTAGGAGCTGGCATTGTTGAACATCTATCCAGGCATGAACTTCAGAAAAAAGATGCTGAAATGGGGAACTCTGTTCTTGAAGAGAGTGAGAAACCCTACCAACTAATCTACCCCGAGAATGACATACAGAAACACCCCAGTAGTGAAACATCAATGTAAGCCATAGACATTCTCAACAGAACCTCAAACAATCTGTGACATTCACCCATAGAGAACCTCCTAATCTTTCTACTAGTGATCTGAATCCAACCGTGTGAAAACCTTGATTATACTGGCATTTATAGAAGAAACCTTTTTTTTAAAGAGGTCATCTTAACTTGATAAGAACATTCCACGTACACCACAACTAAGCGAGACTTACAAATGGACAGTGGTCAATTTATGGGAGGTAAGATGTATTTCTCCCCAAAAGGAGACACCTCAGGGGTATCATTTTGATCTTCATTGATCACTTTGTCCTCTCTAGTACTAAAGGTGTTGGGTTAAAGTTTTTAATAGAATACTTATATTGTTTGATATGTCTGAATATATAGTCATAGGAACTTCCAGGAATTACATTTAAAATGTGATATCTTTATTTTATTTATATTTGTACGTGCAGTGGAATCTTAATTTAAGTCCATCCCAGTTTTGCATGGATTGTAATTGTGTATTATTTTAATATATATTTTTAAATAATTGTATCTGAACATTGTATTTAGAACTTTTCTGAAAAAAAAAGAATGCTTGTGAGTTTAATTTAGATAGTGTGGGAATTCGTAGTGTTTTGAGAGGTCAGGTAATATGTAGAAAGTAAGTTTGATGACCCATTACTCGTCACGTCCCTGTATGACAATGTCCGCTATAACTTGCTGTTCTGGTCATATTCTGAATCATGCAAGAAGGAAATCAAATTTACAATGCTGCCGACTGGCCACATTAGCCTATTGGTGCAAAACAGATTAGCTGGGGGTGGTAGGTTGATGGATGCTGACTTAAAATGGACCTGTTACCTATTCCACTCATTCAATGGATGCAGGGCTCATAGATCTGCAAACTAAGCAGGGCATTCTATATTAATTTAAGGTCATCTGGAACCAGATTGTTTATATGTAACGGGTTGTGGTACTAATGGAGTTAATTAACATTCCATTATGTAGTGTTATTGACTTAATTAAGCCGTAAAATGTTGATTTTTATTTTATTTTTAATCCAAGAGATCCCCTTTTATATACTCCAACAGAAAGGACTAATATAGGAGAGGTAGGTTAAAATTTGACCGCCTTTGGGGCTATTCACTAGACTTTTAGCGAATAAAAGTCCAAATGGTAAAACTGAGGCGAAAAATGTCTAGCTGTGATTAGCTTAGTTGGAGAACTATTACAAATCCTGTTATTTTCTGTTATATTTTAGCTTCAATTAGCTCATTCAGATTTTATATTTATTTTTTTAAGTTTAGTTAATAACCATGTGTTGTTGTTTTTTTTGTTTTTAATTGTTACACCTAAATGGTAATCATTGTGACTACTTTTTTATGGTTACTGTTGCTGTGTGTTTTGGTTTAGGCCAACACATTCGAGTTTTGTGGAGACCTTGCTTTGCCTGCTAGTGTTCATAGCCCACAGGCAATCCAGTCGCTGTTGCATTCTCTGTGCTTGTGATGTGTGACATCACAATGTAAATTATCAAAGTGAAAAAAAAAAATCAAGCATTCATGTGATCCTGACTACAAAGATTTCTTAGAACCCCGCAGTAATGTTTTTTTTTTTTGTTTTTTTTTTACCCACTCACAGATAATTGTATCATAGTGTAAATTGAACATAACAAGCGAATGCACAGAAGGAATCCATTCAAAACCCCACCCTGAACTGCAGTGTTGCTTAGCAACAAGGGGGATGAATTATTACAAAATCATACATTAAGGTCCAAATGAATGTCAGTCTGCGAGTAACGTGTTTAATAGCGCTATCATAAAAGTACCAGAGTGAAACGCTATAGCAACAGAGATTACATACTCACTGAGCCAAAATCTCATGCTTACATCCTGATATAGATGCATTCCAGAACTCTGCCCACCTATTAAGATTTGAATACATATAATAAAAAGTCACTTATCAATGAAAAAGCGATTACATAAAATTTATTTATAGGACAATTGTAAAGAGTTACGGTCATCAGATTACCAGAAACAAAACCTTTAAGTCACACAACCCTGTTAACGCATGAAGGTTGTCATAGAGACCATAATAACAACCTATCTTAACCAAGGCCCTAGGCAAAAAATATTTTGTCGCCCCCACTCATGCAGACTAACACACACTGACTCAAGTATAAACACACACTGATCCATGCAAACTAATACACACTCTGACCCATGCAGACATACACAGACACACACTGACCCATACAGACACATGCAGACACACACTGACCCATGCAGACACACATACAGACACACACAAACTCATGCAGACACACCCTTACCCGTACTGACCCATATAGACACACACACTGACCCATGCAGACTGACATACACAAACATACTGACTGAAGCAAACTAATACAAATTCTCTGACACACATCTTACCTCCATTGCTGTTCCTATGCCCATCTTGCCTGGGCCTGGCAGGTCATCACTTCCTGTCTTAGTCCCGCCTCTGCCATCCTCTCGCCCACTTGCCCCCACGTACAGGGGAAGGGGCGAGAGCAAGCAATTGAAGCGCCTTTGCGCTGCTTCACCATTGGATGCCTGGGAGGGGGGCCTGGCTCTTAGGTCTGACGTGGATGCCGCCGGATCGGTGTTCTACCAGGCACTATTGAACAGCAATGTAAGTACTCCCTAGCACCTGGTAACATGGCCAGCGGCACACTCAAAAAAATAGAGGGGAGGCCGTGGGCCGGAGCAATTTTGATCGTAAAGACAGGGGCAGCGCCGTAGGCGGCCGCCTAGTTGGCCTATATGAAGCGCTGGCCCTGATCTTAACTAAAATTTTACTGTTTTTTTTAAATAAATGTGACAGGAGATCTGCTCTAATTAATTTGTACATAAACTGGGCAGCTTTTTTATGAAATGGTAAAGGAATAGTTTGAAACTCCACAATCTTTGCATCTGAATCTTTAAATATACTCCACTATCTTTGAGATATATGTTGTATATTGAAAGAATGTATACTGAAACATGAAATAAACTTGATTCTTTTTTTTTTTTAACATACCTTATATCAGTTGATTTTTAGTGGGATTTAGCAGCATTTTTCTTTCTAACTTGGAATACCTTCTACATGTTTCTGAAGAATTGATTCAGGATCACCTCTACATTTGAATCTACTTAACATAAGGGTCTGATGAAATGTTTCAGATGGATCAGATAGGATCTTCTAACTCTTTTGAATTGGTTCTTCTCTATTCCCTTTATAGTCAGCGGAATGGAAGATTTCAAACTGCAATAACATTACAGTCTGTGGGCTTCCGATAAAGGGTTTGTGATCACTTTATTCCCTATCTTTTGTATCAGAGGACATCCTTGATGCTGCTAGAACAATTGTTTAGAAAAACAAATAACTCTATGCAGGACTACTATGTGCCACTCCAAACTATCAGCATGCCATTAATACAGTTCCACCATCTTTAATTTTGTAAATTAGTTTCTCTTTCAAATTGACCATGAAGATGCTGGCACATGTGGGTTCCACACTGGAGCCTTGAAGTTCCAGTGGAATGCCTTTACTCTGCATGTAGAAATCATTCCTAACAAGATAATTGTCATTCAAAATTCAATGTAAAAAGACTAGCTTTTCACATCTGAAGACCAAGTGAAAAAAAATAACCATTTCAACTGCTGTTGAAAACTCTTGATGATCGGATTGATAGATGGTGACATGGAATGTAACCAAAAAAGAATTGCCATCTGCTTCCAAGTTTGACAACAAATATGTTGTATCCTTAACATACGACTTAATGTTCAAAATACAGTCTTCAAGTTGGTCCAGATACTTGGCTAAAGGGGAAAAGATGGAATCCATCCCTACCACAATAGGGCAACCAGGTGGATCTATCATGGATAAATGCATTCTAAAACAAAATCCTGGCCTAGCCAAGCTACTGAACCGAGCAGACGCAAGTCTGATGGGCTCCATGACTAGAGCCCTAATTACATCACTTTTCCCGACTCCTGCTTCAAACCAAGCAACCCCTAGGCAGCCCACATCGACATGGGCAGAAAAAAAAACCAGAGGGCAGACAAGCTGAGACCAGGCATGAGCATAGGCGATCTGTGGCGGCAGGCACATGGCACCTCCCAGCCCAACATGGTCGCCTACACGGAAGAGATCTACAACTTCTCGGACGACCAAACCTTTGAACCCAGGGATCTCCACTTACCTGTCCTGCGGGCACCAAACCCGACCCCGGTACCCGCTGCCTCCAAACCGGACTTAACACCGGTAACTAGGGCTGACATGGAGGAGTGGCTGGCAGGCCTAAGGAAAGACATCCAACCGATATGGCCACGTTCAGGAGAGACATACAAGGCCTGACAGGCCGTATGGGCACCCTGGAAAGCGACTCCCACAACGCATAGGCACAAATCCCTCAACTATAACAAGAGATCCACACGCTCCAAAAGCAACATACCATAGAGCAAAGGTTCACAATGATGGAGGATTCCAGGCGCAGCAACAACCTCAAAATCAGAGGGATAGCAGAAGCGGTCCCTGAAGCAGAACTGCCGCACTTCATGAGACGTCTGCTGAGTGCAATATTATCCCCCAGACAGGCTAAATCGGCCATGATTTAGGGGATGTTTCAGATCCCGAGACCTATGAAGGTACCTGCCACAGCTCCACGAGACCTGATCGTACACTTCCAAAATGGGCAAGACAAGGCAGCAGTTGTGGACGCTCTCAGGGGGAAGTCCCCCTACAACTTTAAGAATTATTTTCTCACCTTCTATGCGGATTTGTCAGGGAGCACCCTAGCATGGTGCAAAACACTGCAGCCCTTCACATCGCTCCTCCGTACACGAGACCTCTCCTACAGATGGAAGAGATCCCATACCCTGGTGGTCCTACAAGGCAGCACCCCCTACCCAGTCCAGGATCTCGAAGGTTCAACCGCCATTTTGGAGACTCTGGGACTCCCACAAGACTCTCTCACCAACAGGGGGTCAGTAGCAAAGGCTGCAACGCACACCTGGGACCCAGCCAACAGCTGTGCCCAGGAAGCCTGCTGGGACGACCAATGTGGTTGTCACAACTTGAACTCCTGCTACTGGTCTCGTCAGAAAGCCCCATATCACCTCCTACACAGTTTGCATAATGTTATGCCTGTTTCTGCTTTATTTTTGTTTTAATGTTGGGCCTCATTTTACTGGCCCATTATCAGGTCAAGACCTCTCACGTGAAATACATTGAGATGCTACTGGCCCAGTGGACCGGCTCCCCTTTCCCCCCTCCCTCAGCGAACCTTAAACACATTGCCCTAAACCAGCGGACCCTTACCCTCTATGATCAAACTAATATTTGAGTCCTCTATCTTACACTGTGAGCTATCTCAAGCCTGATCTAATTCTCTGGCTACTCTACTTGAACCTCTTTATTTGTAGCACATAAATACCCTGCAAATTAACTCTTTTGTATGCTTATACCCAAAGCTGTGCTGATGCATAACTGCACTTCTTATACTTGTTATGCATATTTGTTAATATACCCATTGTGCATAAATATTCCTTGATAGTCATGCACAAACAAAATAAAGAATAAAAAAATAAACTCCTAAGCAGTTCTTGTCTATTAGTTTATTGTCCAAAGCCTCTGTTAATAGGCACTTACCCTATTCCAGCTCTTCAGGTATAGATTATCTTTTCAATTTTTTTTATAGGTGGAAACATTACCTAGTTGTCTCAAATTCTTGAACATAGTTTCATCTGTTGTGGACTACGAAGGAACCACTGTTGTCCGCAAGGTTGTTTTTTGTTTAGTTTTTGTTTTCTTTTTCAATAATTTCATATTTTGTGTATTTTTGATCAACATGGCCATCATGTAGTAGTATTCCACACATGGAAGTGCTATACTCCTGACCATTTCCCCCCCAGTGTTTAATGTGGTATTGTAATCTAATGGAGGTTGTAAGCCCAGATAAATATACACATTGCCTTCTTTAGAGTGTTAACATACGGGAAAGAAAAATAGGTATTGTGTATTGGTATAGGTATTGTGCGGTAATATTTTAATCTTTTAAGAAATTTTACCAAACATGAAAAGGCCTAACATTCTCATCTCTTGAGGTGCAAGAATATATACCTCAGAAGAGTTGCACAATTATTCTTGTAAGGTTCAGGCAAATTAGCTGACATTCATATTTAATATTCAAATATAAGATCATTGAAGTAGACCACCAAAATGGTAAGCTAGGCTTCAGCATGGTCTGCAGGTTTTTGAATTATCTTGTCATATAATTTAAAATGCTCACTAGATCACATTTTGTTGTTGGTTGAATTTGGTGGTGCCATGGGTTAAGCACCAGATGACCTTTTTCTACATTAGTCTGGCCATTTGAATAACTGCCATTAGAGGTGTTTTTAGGAAGTAACGTAATCACTGCATTTTCTCTGAAAACATAAGTGTTTACATGAAAATTCCAGCAGGGACATACTATACATTAAGCTGTAGCTCTGGTGACTGTAGTGTAGTGTCCCTTTAAACCATTACACAAAGTTTGTCTTGCTTATATCGCGTGCATTAGAATTTCATTGACCTTCTACATTAATGTAAGCATGTTAATTCTTAATAGAATACAATCATCTCTGTATAAAGTGGATTTGGAAAGTAACAAAGCAATAACTGGAATACCAGTCAGGATTTATTTCCAAGTGAATTAACACAATCATATTATCATAACATGTATCGTCTAATAGACATTCTTTAGTCAGACTTTTTGAGTATACGCCTCCACTTCCACCAGAATAACAATACTTGTACAGGGCATCAAATAAAATCAAAATTAGTTCTTATTTTAAAGGCTAATATCAACTAGTTTTGTTGATAATCTGAGGGCCTTCAACTCCAAACAAATATATAAAACATTTACTACGTGTCCAAAGTACGAGAAATTAGACTATGAAGGAACTTTCTTTTTTTTTTTTTTTGTAGTTTGCTCATCACAAATCATAGCGGTAATTATTTCTATCAAATTCTGTTTTACCACGTTAACCAAAATTTCCCTACATTTAAATGGGTACTCTAGCTAGACTAACAATAAGGATGTGTGGCAGGATTTTACTTTATATATAAATATAGTTGATACAGAGTGAGAGGCCTCAATAACGACGGTAATTAAATAAGGTTGTAACACAGGGATGCTCTCTGCTGGTAAAGTTAATATTTACAAGTTTCCCAACCCTTTTTAAATATAGATTAGTAGGCATTTTATTATTAAATGATGTAGGCCTAGAAATTCTGATGGTGCTTTTTCTGGGCTACTGACCAGAAGTCAAGTTTATAGGATTTTGTTATTCATAGGCGGATCAGTGTTTCTTTTTTCCCCAATAAGACAAATACAGGTTTATGTAACACTAGTTTCAAATGTGAAGCAAAACATCGCAAGTGTGCTTACAGTATTTCATATATTAAATCTATAAGGCAAGTGATATGCGAATTGTACTAGATTCATACATGCTTACACACAAAGTTTTCCTTTGCATCAGTTAATTTTATTATGGAAGCTTTCAAAACACGTTACTAAAGAATATTTTGGTTGAATTATTGATCACACTGCAAACAATATTTAAAGTGTACCAACTAAACTAGTTTAATTATGCCTGACGAGCATTAGGAAATTGTAATTTCTGTATACAATGTGTTTATAGCACGTTATGTGAAATATACAGAAATATTGTGGGGTTTATTTTTATTGATAGGGGCACTTTTAATCCAGCAGTTGAAAGGATTATTATGAATCTTTTCTTGTAAAACTACAATACAACTGGAAGAGCTATTACAAGAATCACTACACCCCCTACCCATTTCTCCTGTATGTTCATAACATTGATAGTATATGAGGGCAACCTCCATATCTGATAAAGTACACACTCTGTACCTCAGTGACACTTCATCAGTTTTAAATACCTCAAATGTGAGATCAACGTCAATATTGTATAGATTAACTCACTGGTAGTGTAATGAGCTTTGACTCAAATGCGAACTGGTCTTTTTATACCAATGTATTCCCAGGGTTGAGGACAGGCCTGCTTACATAGTATCGGTCAGTATCTATACATTTCAAGCCTGGTCAGTTGGTTGTTTACTGCCATTTTTTTTTATGTAGAATGAGGTAATTTGCTAGAAGTGTCCGCTATAGTTGCATAAATTACTGTTTAGTGAGCGCGCACACACTCCTGTAAATAGGGTAAGATGATGGTTTAAGATAATAGTATCAAGACTATTGTTAATTGACCAAGCATTTCAGCTGGCACAACAAAGTGAAGTCTTTATATTGTAAACTCTCCAGCTAGTAGATAAATGGGTGTAAACATTTATATTATAAACCTTATTTTGTTTCCATTTAAATGACTTTATTGCTGTACTTAAATGTGATTTTAGAAGTGAATACAATTTATGTACTTTGATACTATGGTGAAAAACTGCTTTTGAATTGTCAAATAAAAATATTTTTGGTGTCTGACAATTGTAATGTAGCTATTTATACCGAAAACATTCACACATTTACCTTAATTAAGTGTACTTGTCTCAAAATGACTGGATCAGTTTAAAACACTTCCATATAAAATAGACTTAAAGGGTCACTCCAGACCCCTAAACAACTTACTCTTGCTGAATAGCTTTATGTATAATGTGTACCCCCCCCCTTCATTCTGCAAAAAGTGCAGATTTCAAGATAAACTTACACTTTTATTATGTTACACATCCTTGGCTTTCAAACCGAGAACAGGTAATGTTACTTCCTGGTTTTGTTAGCTCAGTGTAGCTGACCAAGAGACCGCAATTGCCCAGAGCACCCGACGTCTGATTGGACAGCCACAGAAAGTCTGGACTAAATGCATTAGTTTTTATTTGGAATATATACTAAACCGTGATTTATTTATTTTGTATGTGGGTAGTGAAGTGTCCCTTTTAAGTGCGGTGAATGCTTTTGAAACTAATCAGAAGATACAAGTGTGATAATTCACATTAAGAGCAGCTGTTCGGAATTAAATATCTAAAATAGATCAGGTTTCTTAAAGTACTCTGAGCATCTTAACCAGTTCAGATCATTGTATTGATTATGGTGCAATGAGTCTTTAGGAGCCATCTCCCTCTATTCTACACAATCTAGCACCCAAAACACATTATGCCCCTTCTGTTGCATAAAAATGCCTTTTGTGACGTCAGACTATTGTGTGCCAAAAACAGCATTACTTTTCAATTCTAAGTAACAATACCACTTTAAGTCTGCACAACCAATATTTTATAATAAAAGCTCTTAGTGGTGCCAGGTTTTAATTTAAAGTCTTACTAAATTTAATTTAACCTAGATTCACCAGGCAAAGCTTGAAAATTAGAGGAAAACTATAGTGCCAGGAAAACAAACTGGTTTTCCTGGCACTATAGCTTCCCCTCCCTCACGGCCCCACCTTGTGGTGCAGAAGGTTTTAAAACCCCTGTCACACTTACTTGGGTTCAGCACCAATGTCCCTCGGCATCAAAAGGCACCCAACAGCCCCCCAAAAATCATCTGGTGAAAAGCCACTAGAGGTAGAGTTAACCCTAAAGGTAGTTATTGCAGTTTTGTAAAAACTGCAATAATCATTGCAGGGTTAAGGGGCCTGGGACAGTGCATCCAGACCTTTTCACTGAGCTGAAGTAGTCTAAATGCCTAGTGTCCCTTCAACATGTAAAGTGTCATTCACATGCATGGCCAATGTATAGTGCAAGTGCACTCAGAATTGCTCAGTAGCTGCCTGCGTGCACATGAACGCAGGTGAGTCATCATGTGAAACAGCAGAGGTATGGGTCCACATCAACTGCTTTATTTAACCCAGTAAATATTGCAATAGGGTTTACTGCAGTAAAGAAACTTCTATAGCAGGTGACAATACAGTTTTGATGGAATTCATACAAATAAAGACACGAACACCACATTAATTACGATATAATTCAATATACATTTTACATGAAAAGTCACAATTTTGTTTTCTACCAATAAAGACTAAAAACAAGCCTTAATCTCCAAATGAGCATTATTAAGATTTCATATATATTTACAATTCTGTTGAAATCCAAAAACATAGTGTATTTCATTTGGATATGAAAATAATAACTCCTATGTTATCTTAGAAAAATAATAGTTGCAAGTTTCCAGATAAAAGTACAATTAATCCCTTCCAAGTCCGTGAAATAAAAACATGGGTTGCAGAAAGGAGTTTGTAAAATGATTCTATTTGAAATTATGGTTTTAACATTTTTTCCCCCCACTCATTTCTAGTTCAGTGTCAACTTAATATTCTTTGGAACAAATGACAATTACTCTTTAGAAATAAAACACTTGATAAATAAGGTGAATATTCTAGATTCACACGGATACATAAATATGGAAAGAAATCCAATATCACCATCAGTCTACAACAAAATGTACTCACTCAGTCTGTCAAGGCAATGCAAAAATATATGCATTTGGATAAAATTTTATCAAACAAAAAGTCTTTAAAACAAAGCTACAGTTCTTTGAATGAAATGCAAGACAACAAATTAATCCAGAACTGTTGTAAAGTGGAGATTCAATATAGTTAAGCTTCTAAACAGATTTTAGACCGTTCATTTATTTGTAATGCCCCTATTTAAAAAAAAAAATCTCAGTCTGATGTAGGCACTGCCTGAACTTTTGATAGCACGGAGATACAAATAGTTCTCAGCATTAGTAAGGCAAATGTTACTCTAGTATGGTTGACTCTTGATGAAGCCTTAGCACACATTAGCTATTCCAAACCATGTAGGTCTTGGTTTGATGTTTGCAACTTAAAGTTCTGCAGATATGGACTATTAAACTGCACTGAAGCTGGGCATGACATCTGCCAGAAATATTTGCTCCAGGCATGCAAATATAACCGTTTTACTTTACAAACACATGGTTCTTTTATTCTGTGTTGAGCAGCACGAGATTAGGAGTGGAGTCTCTTTAAATCAGATGTGTGTTTAAATGTAGTTAAATGGGTTACTATAGGTTAACGAGTCAGTTGGCCCAAATCATTACTTTTCCCAGACTTGGAAGGGTTAACCAAAAAGGCAACTACACAGTACAAAGAACAGGGTTAAAAGGCCACAAATTCACATTTAGGGCAACAATAATTCAACAGTCCTGCTTTAAAATTAAGGTCTCAACATCAAGGTTTGGTTTAGAATGCTACAAACAGTAGCAGTTAATCTAGTCCAGATGTGAAAAATGGCAGTCTGTAAGTATAATAGTCCACTGAGAAATCAGTCACTTTCTCCCATATTTCAGACTGGAACAACCAAGTTTCCCCTCACGTTTAGGAAATAAGCAATGAGTTAACAGAATAGAGAACCAATATCCCATCTCGGTCAACTTTTGATGATATGAGTCCTTTTTTAAACTTTTTAACCTTCCACCAAAACATTGGTGGAACTTCTCTGGCACAATATTTGCAGATCTATAATCCCCCCTATAATAAGGAGAGCTGTACCAATAAACATCTTAGTAAAACCATTAATGGGAAGCTGGTAACTTGTTATAAGCTGGAACAGAAACATGACCATTAAACAAAGAGAAACATGTTCACAAACAGATATATAGATCTAATGAGTGTATTAGGAGGCAGACATGTTTACACTAAGGCACTGATTTTTATTTTTTTCTTTAAACATCAAAAGAGAAAATGCTGGAGCCAGAGTATTTGAATTGAGCACAAGAACAATCTGCTTCAGACATTCAATGTGAGCAGTCCTTTTCTGTGCCATTCAAACAAAATGATCAGGATTCTGAAGGCACCAGAGCCAAGGCAAAGAGGGTCTTCCAAATTCATCATTAACCACTTTCCATAAATAAAGGCAGAAAGATCCCCTCTTGTGCTTTGCTTACAAGATGCTTTGGTATCTAGAGTCAAGACTGAACAGTCCCTAGCGAGTGTACAATTCATTAATAAAGTCAAGATGACAGCCTACTTTATCTAGGCTCTAAGAGGAGTACATCCTACTATACAAACTCGAAATGTATTGAGGCTTTGAAGTCATCAAAAGGCCAATTCACCATCTTCACCGTCTCATGTGCCACTTCTAACAGCCATACAGAAATGTGTAATTTTCAGAAAGAGGCATCCAGTTCACATAAGAAATGTTTTCAGATGTCTTCCGAAGGTTCAACTCCATGTGTTACATTTTCCAACAAGTGTACTGGACATCTACATATATAGACACTCTGGATAGCTACTATCCTTTCTATGGTCTAATGCACAGTGTTATTTGGCAAGCGTTTGCAGCACATTTAAGCATTCTACGCAGGTGAGGTAATAGCCAATTTATGGTAAAATCATCTTATATACAGGTCAAAAAGATGTGGTGTTAAATAATACCAAATTTAAAAAAAAAAAATCCCAAGCCACTTTATTATACACGTACAGGCACACATTAAGAGCAAACAGTCACGTTGTGGCACATAAAAAGGTGGTGTGTGATTGTCTGGGTACCGGTGGTAAAGCGAGTATATAGCACACTGTCCACCTGTCTTTGCTGTTACAAACGTTCCTTGATATTAACGGACGGGTGCGGAAAACTAATGGTGCATGTTAGAGGCACTAGTTTTGTGGATTTCTAATATGAAGGCAGATTGCATCAGAGGCAACGTGAGTGATTAGGCACACAAGTCTCTTTCCCTTCTAGATTTCCTGCAAGGAGTGGTTAAGATCAATACGTTCTCTTTTAACAGGAGGCTCGCCAGAAACACGAGGGTCTCCATCAGTGTCACTGCCCAAATCGCTGAGTTCATCTGCAGATAGATAAATATTAGATTAAGAATGCGTTGAGCAATGCTTTTTTTTTTAATGGCATAGGAAATAGTATTTTGAATCCCTTCCTTCCACTTCATCAAAATGGAAAAATACTCCATATTGTTTTTATGATAATTGGTGGTTTGATGCATTTGACAGAATATGTTTTAACGAATGGTTTATTTTGTTCTGGACAAAAAAACAAAAACAAAAAAAACCTACAGCACACTCTAAAATAAGACTGTCCAGAATTCATTAACAAGTTGGGTATATTAAGAGATAAGCAAGTTGTAGAACAACAAGAGATGACACAATCCCGCTAACATGGTAATGGCAATGACTAGATGAACATTTGAACAAGTTCACTGAAAGGTTGAGCAACCGTCATTACTGTCCGTTGTGTGTTTTTAGCTCTGCACAATACAGCTGCTATATATTTGAGTAACAACCTGCTAGATATTTACTGAAATTATTCTTAAATAGAACTCAAAACCCACCTTTGTCCATCAACACTGGAGACATAGAAGCCAGGTCACTGAACTGAAAATCACAACAAGGAAACATTAAATGGTGATTATACATGTGTTCAGACAAATACTACATTACATAAACATTAACAGGGTCAGTTAACATGCATGTTAAGTTTTCAAATTAAATACATGGTGTTTACCTCCCCCATCACTGCAATAGGAGTCTCGCCTGTTGCTTGCGCCACTCTATGTTCTACTAGATAGAACATGTATTCATCATAAAGCAGGCGGATGAGATGAAATGATCCAAAACTTGCAGCACTGCGCAGAGTAAGATCTCGGATCACCATAGAACTGCCAAAAGAAATGGAAACGTTCGTATCAAAAAGTTAAAAAAATAAATAAAAAAATATCTCAAGCTGCCTTTATATTTATTGTCTTTGTGAAGAAATTAAGTAGTTGAGCCTTAATAAAACTGATTTAAAAAAAAAACAAAAACAAAAACAAAAAAAAACAGTGGCGTGTATATAATGTATGTATGCAAAACCAATTATAGTGCTGTACAGTAGACCATTTAAGTCAAGAGATGTAACCAAAGGAAATTGGAACATATAACTGGTTTTCATTCTTTTCATTTGTTAATACATTGATACTTTTTAATAAACCAGTAGAATCTGCTGATTCTACTACTATTATGCATTGGCCATTTGATTATTTCTTGACAATTTTATGGTACAGTCCACTTGCAACAGTTACTAAGAGAACATTAGTTCATTTCATATTTCGGACTTAATTCTATTATGAACCAGGGATACATTTGTTGAGAATAGAATCGGGGGAACACACGGAACAAGCATTTCTCAGCAATGGAGCAACCGTAAAGCCCACAATTTATACAAAAAAATACAGAATAAGGAACAACGCACACAAAAATACAGGTTTAAAATTTACAGGGCTACTTCGAATCCCCTCTCAGCAAACATGGGGATTGAGCTCCAGCATGGTCACATCGTGTTAAGCCCAACACTACGTCACAGTACCTCCAGTATCGATGGGTCACTAATTTTAACATGGAAGACAAACTTCTTAAATAGAGCTAAATGAGTATAAGAAATTAAAGTGTATGTAATTAATCTGGTTTTAAAACCATTGTAAAAACATGCAAAATTCCAGGTCACAACTAAATAATTAAAGTGATAGTGCTTTTGTGTATTTACTCACCATGCATATCACATATCTGCTCTATATCAAAAACTATTAAAGTGACATTGCTATCCAAAAATTTCTTGAACCCTATTTAAGTTTTTTGTCTCCGGCGTTAAAATTAGTATAGGACCCACCGATATTGGGTCACTGTGATGAAGTGGTGGGCCTAAAACTATATGGTCGGATGGTGGAACTGAATTCCCATATCGGTTTGCTTTTTTTTTTCTATTTACAGCTAAGAGTTGAGACTGACCTGTAGAAAGACCATTTGAGGAGAAACTGTCTGGCAGCTTTAGGGAAGAGTGGGCTTCCTTCATGGGGTTTTAGCACTTGTGTGACAACATTGTCCAACCAAGTTGCCCACTGATCCAGAGAGCTTTGCTGCTGCAAGGTTAGTTTGAAGTCTTGCTCCAACTTCTGCACCATGCCTTCTTCACACTGACATACCCAAGAAGCTTGTTCCTGTGAAGATGGAGAGAGTGTTAGAAACCGCATATAGCAACAGGTTTTTTTAATACAAAAAGTTTTAGAATGGAGAGGAGATGTGCTTCCTGCATTGCACCCAAGCAGATTGTTTGTCTTTACCTGCACATTGGCAAAGTCCACACGGTTTAAGTCACTGAGCATCTGATTGATTTGAGAGGTGTTCTGCAGGACTGCACGGGCTGCCTGCGCCAGGTGATTGAGAGAAGTGTAGCGGCGTAATGTTTGTGCAAATGCACTGACCACTCCAACCTGAAAAAGAAATACTGTGAATTCATAGTCTAAACAAAAACAAGACAGTGTATTCACTGCCAACTCATACCTCATGAGGTAAGAGCTATTGCAAACCAGAGAGAATACATGGAAATACTAATATTACCTTTGCCTGGACAATTTGTTGGGGAAAGTCACACATTGCATTGGTTAACCATCCTTCCAGGCTTTTTGCAAAATTTCGGATTGCCTGTGTCAGCGTACCTTAAAGAAAAGATAGATTGTGATGAATCGTACAGCATCAGCTTCACGAATACGTCGTCATTAAAAGGGATACTTGTTATAAGGACAGTAAAGGTAAGGTTTACTTTCTAAATGTATGGGTAAATAAAGGAGCTTTCACATCAGGTATGATGACTTTAGATCCAGAGTTTCATGATGTATACCCTAAACTCAGTTTTGACGCTACAAAGAATAACCCAATTCAGAAATTATTCAATACAGCTTGCAAACGTCCTAAACACAAATAAAACTAAGTAAGTTTCGGGAGTAACAGAATACCAACATTTAAAAGGATGTCACAGTTCATATTTTACATGTGATTGTCCCATTTTTAACCAAGTTCAGTTAGATACAAATATTGAGGGTTACTTTAATTGTAAAAGAAACTCACAGTGGTGGTAGAGGAGAAAAGAAAAAAGGGGTTTGGACACTTTGCCATGGCTGTGTGTCTCTGTTCTGGTTTTCTAAAACATTTCTGCAGACAGCTGATTGAACATAACGTTAACTCTTGACAATACTCAGGAGACAATTGTATCAGATCTATCTTGTATCTAAAAAGTATGGGAGATTGTTTTGCATTAAAGTGCACACTTTGATAAATACCACATTAGATTAAAAAATAAATAGTATTTATGTACAGAAACCGTTTTCTTCAGAAAGTCTAAATTCTTGGAATTTAGCTAGCCATTTGAACAACTGTTGCAAGATACATAAATAAGGATATCAGAGTAGGAATTTTAATGTTTTATGTTGGACAGCTCCCTCACATTCATTTAAGGGACACCCCAAGCACTACAGTGGTGTAGTGGTTATGGTTGCAAGAGAGTCCTGGTGCCCTCCCAGATTAATTTGTCAAGCTGTGTAGACCATTTTTGACAAAATAGCTGGGTCCCCGTGTGTCCATGACACATCTGGTATTGAAAGCAAAAACAGAATATGAGGTTTCTGAGCTTGTGCCTATTCTCAAAGGTTAGTCCCACTCAGGTCTCAAAAGGTTTTTGCACAAACGGTTTGGTCATTTACACTGAGAGGGCACTCCAAGTGCCTTAACCACTACAGCAGGCTGTGGCAATTTTAATGCTTGCAATGTACCTTTAAGCAGAAAATAAAGTAAAGTGCGCAAAAAAAATATATCAAACTAAAACAAAATTACTATTACAGTAGCACAAAACATACACAAAATGTGCACCAATTATGGGATAAACCACTAATGCCATAAACTTCTGCAGACGCCATACACTAGGATTAGAATCTCTTCACCTATGGCGCCTCCTCCAGGTGAGAGAGGGGATTGCCTGTAGCTGCAGCTTTAGGACCACTGAAGAGTAGTAGAATTTCATTTTATATATATTTTTAGAGGAAACAGAAATTGCAAGCAATTTGTCATACTGCACTTACTAGGAACAGGCCTCAATACATCGGGGATGAGTATCTCCACTAAAGCCTGGTAAAGGATGTGGTCACAGCTCCTCATCCATCTCATGATGGGCTCATATTTGCACAACACCATGAGTGTGTCCTTGGGAATGACTGCCTCTTGCTCCTCTTCACTGTGTTTTAAGATAGAAAGACTGTGTGAAAACAAATGGTCTTCATAGCACGGACAGCTTGGTTTAATACTATAAGCAATTTCCTCACAGTTTATCAGACATTCAAAGCAAACTCCCGTGAACAATACTGTACCAGTAGTTTAACCACAAGATAACATACATAAAGTGATTCAAATACAAGGCAAACGGGTTGTAAACCGTAATTTAAACTTTAATTCACAAAAGGAGAACTAAGTAGTGCTATAAATAAATATCCCATGATAAGATTTAAGGTGCCAACAATAGAAAAAAAAATATGTATGCTTATGTTATCAGGTTGCAATACACAATACTTCATAATTAAGCAAACATTTTTTTAGGTCTATCAACCCCCCCCTCCCCCCCCCACAATGTCATTAAAACACACATCGGAATTAAAACAAACATTTAAAGAGTCTACTGCAAAGCGTTCACTTTAACCCCTTAAGGACACATGACATGTGTGACATGTCATGATTCCCTTTTATTCCAGAAGTTTGGTCCTTAAGGGGTTAAACGTACAAGCTATAGCAGTTAACGATTGTGCCAGGACCCAATGTGTTTAATCCATGTATTTTCATTGGGGTTCCACTGGTTGGAACAGACATCATATTCAACAAGCCCTGTATAACTGCCCACAACAAATGGTTTACTGTAGCAGCACTGCTTTCCCCAATGAAACGTAGCCCCTCCCAAACACTTGGAAGAGTATAATGAAGGCGTTTGTAGAATTCATTTTCATGGAGCAGATAGCAATTAAATAATCAACCAAGTTCATTTTATAATTAAAGAATGGGCAACCAAGCTAATGCCATGCATGTAATGTGGGTCCCTGTCAAAGAAAGTTAAGAGCCTCTTAAGAGCATGGGTAAGCAACTTTTGGCACTCCAAATGGAGTGTCAAAGGTTGCCTACCCCTGACCTAGAGTAACAGCTTGAGATGCATATATAGGAATACCAATTATAATGAAAAACTGTTTCATACAGATTAGCACGGTATAGTACAGTTTGGTAGACGTAAAACCTGTTAAGCCAACACAAATTACACAGAGACAGACCATTTGCACTTTCCAAACTGGGAAAAGAGCACTGCAAACCATAATCACCTGGTCATCCCAGTACTGCCAGAAGGAGAAGACGGCTTAGAATTCCAAAATGCTTGCCACAATTTCTCAATGTACTGGAATTGCAAGTTCATCACCACATCCAGTGTTGCCTTAAAGTAAAAGAAAATTATTGTTCTTTTCTAAAACATAAATCCTCCCATCACCCCTCCAAAATAAAATAACCAATTTCTGCATTGTAAGAGACGCACTAAAACATCCTCACATAATGGAGCAGCATAGTTAATGCCATTTATAGGTTCAGTCTTTATTGACTCTTCACTAGGGAAGTATTTTTTGAATGTTTAAGTTTTTGTATGTACATTTTTTGTTTCATATTGTAGGCTTCTAATGCTTAGGAATAACTCACTTAAATCTGTCCAAACAAGAGTCTGGTGACATCCCGGGTATAATAAAGTTTGAAACACGAAATCATAAATTATAATAAATTAATAATTATAATGTATTACAATTTATTGTGGGTATGTATTTTTTTTTTTCTTTTGAATTCCCCGCCTGGTTCTGCTAGGCAGCGCTCGCAGGGAAAGGGAACCCATAAGACTGATGCCGGCATCGGGCGGAGGACACTGTGGGAGGACACTAGGGGCTTGTAGGGACAAGGTAAGTGATACTACAGTGTAATCCCAAGCGTGGCTCGGGGTTACCACTTTTGGTACTGAAAATTAACCCCGAGCCACGCTCAGGATTACTGCCAGGGATGTTAAAGAGAACGATATAAATGTTAATGGGTTGTGCCTATTGTTAAACACCCTCAAATATTACATTTTATATCAAAGATCACAGTATTTAAGAAAGTGTCCTTTAAACCTTCTCTCAAATATGATTTTGCAGCTATATATTTTCTTTTGAGGTTACCCAGCCACCGACTCAATTTTTAAAGAAATCTCAATGTGTAGGGAATAAGAACTTATCATTACATGCAGCTTAGATGAGTAAAGTATTAGGAGTTTTAACACTGCATATATTTATGACGCGATTGTTTAAACAACCAAAGCGAAGAGGCCCTTACCTCACAGTGCCTGCGGTACATAAGTTGAAGGTTCTTAATATCGGTCAATGTAATACCCTCCGGCAGCAGCATAGCACCAAGATCTGGTGCTGGGAAATCTGGAAACACGTGGGACATATCTAAAAATAAATAAAGTAAATAATTCAATGGTGAGCAAAACTGACTTATTTCAATTAGACTGGGGCAACTTTTAATTTTAATGAAATGTTTTTGAAGTCATTTGTGCTTTGGGGTTCTGCAAAGACAGGCATTAGCTTCTTTACCAATAAACTGCTGGTGATGCTGACTCTGAGCAACTACCGACTGCTCTGGAGAGGTGTGCTGGCTGCTGTTACTGGTGTTGTCACCCATACCCTCCATCTTCTGACTTGGTCTGTACCTACACAGCATATGGAGAAGAAAAAGAACATGGATTGATTGCTCACTTTATTAATTCATGAATGACATTGATTCTAGTTATATAGCCTTTATATTGTGATCACAATCAAAAATGCCTTCTGCAGTCACTTTAGCAGAAAGCTACTGTCCTCACTTCAATGCACTGACTGCTACTTTACAAGAAAACATGCTACCACCAAGGGGGGCGGAGAAGAGTTAGAATACCATGGTGCATTTAATTATTCAAAAAAGTTGCATGATAACTAAATTACAGAAGGAAACCCAAACACACATTTTCTGTGCAGATATGAATAGTCTATGTTAGTGACTCAGTCATGCATATCGGCCACTTTAATTTATTTTCAAAGTGTAAACTAGTCAGCCTTGTAGAGACAGAAAAAGGATAAAATCAGATATGTACAGCGCTATGGAATTTGCTGGCGCTATAAAAATAAAATAATGATATGAATTATAAACTGCCCTTGTTGAAGAGGAAAGCTTACACTACAATAAACTAGATTTAAGCAATGTTTTTTATTTTTTTTAATAAATATATAGCACAAACACCTATGTATTTAACTATGAAAGCTACCAGAATGTTTTGTAAATAATGCGCCTGCATAAGAGCCAGGACTGCTGACTGCTTCTAACCTTTGCTTCTGATGAATGGGCTGCTGTCTCATTGCCATGTACTGAGTATCTTCCTGAAGACGGTTCAAGGGAGAATCTGGTTTGAGCCGGATGCCATAATAATGATATTTTGAGTTACCCCTAGAAAACAAAAAAAATGATGGAAGCATAGTGTTAGCCACCCAGGTGTTTTTAAAGGTCCTGCAAATAGACAGTGCAGTTTACAATTATGTTAAACATGTATACATAAAACCACTCAGAACTACACCATTAGAAATGATAGAGGACTCTAGAAAAAAAAAAAAAAAACGAACCTCCTCTCTAAAACATGAAATGCAGGGGGGGGAAGAAAAACAAAGTTACATTTAACTGCATGCATTCCAGCTGAGAAAAGGAGTAGAAAATGGAGAAAAAAAAAATATATAATAATTTCACAGTCCTTCAGATCCTTTTTTGGAAATGTGTGTCCATTTTTATCTGTGGAATACATACACGTTAAAGAACAGACAGGGACCAGTTTGCTAGTAGACCCAATAGTCTACATGTAAAATACAGAGATCTCTTGTGAAACAGATAGGGTTTCCAGGATGCATTCCATATCAGCATCAAGCAAGATTGCTTGGGTACACTAACAAGTCCTGGTTAATTAGATTCCTTGGAGGAACACTAAAGGTAACCACATCACTCCATCACAATGAAGTGGTCATGGTGCAATGACCTTTAAACTTTAACCCTCCAATCCAAAACATGTTATGACTGAAGGGTTAATACACCTCTAGTGGCAGTCTTCCTGACTGTCAAACTGTTTTCATCACATGCTGCGCCTAGAGAGGATATGATCAGCGCAGCGCAGAGTTTTGCACACATTGGATTGGCTTAATTGATTATCTTAGCCAAGTAAGTGATAAGACTACAGCAAAATCAGCACACCGAGGTATTGTTCATTTTAACCCTTATGGGAGAGGGGGTATAGTCTAAACAGTTAGGACACTGTAGCAATAGGAAAATATGTTTGTATTACCAATATCATTCCTTTAAATGCAATAAACAGTATAAAAGAAAAACTAGAAGCAAAAAATGAATGACAGTTGTCCTTTAATGTTCCGGCCGTGTATCATGACTGATTTGCAAGTATGAATGATTGAACACTATGTGTATCAGTAGCATTTGTTTTGTGGTATAGTGTAAGGCATTAAGTTTTTCTTTTGTATATTTGTAGATGACTTTCTTTATACTGACCTGGTGCCAAGGCGACGTGTTCGTAAGCCCATAAATACAGAGCGGATAAGTTTCCCAAAGGAGGCAGCATTAACAGGGTCCAACTTGTGCTCTTGGCAATGTCGTAGGTAGTGGTTGTAAAGGGAACTACGGGGGAGGCTTACACCTTCTGCTGTCTCATAGTTATCCAGCAGCCACTGGAGCTAGGGAGGAAATGGACAGTTATTTGGAGGACGTCATAAATGAACCTGCTATACACCAATACGCAATGACGAGCTAAACAGCAGATAAAACGGTCGAGAACCTTCTGAAGATAGTCTATTGAAATCCAAGTGAAAAAAACCCAAAAAAAACAAAACAATATTCTATATACAATTTGCCCAACAAAAATAAAATCTGCATCAACTTTAACAAAAGAAAAGAAATTACTTTTTCGCTTCTAAAATTTGGTTGGATGGGGAAGTTAAGCTAGGCAATATTAGGAATTGAAAAAAGCAAAAGCAGATATAGTAGAGAGCCTTAAGAAATAGAAACACTTAAAGCAAAGCGTAATGGGCTACATACTGAACAGAACAGCATGCCGCTTGATGTTAGTATGTTGGGGGAATATTGTTTGCATACACCAAAAGGGGACTCAACAGCTTGATGTACATGTTTTACACCAGCCATTTCCAAATTCATATAGATTCAAATTTTCAAAGAGAATTCAGTGGCTTGCACAGAATAACCAAAAAAAAAACAAAAAAAAAAAACAAAACAGAAAACCAATTAGGCAAACATAGCCCAAAAAAAAAAATATATATTTATTTAATGTAAGAAAATCTCCAGCTCGGGTATATTCACAGCTTGACTACTTTAGATTTTGTGATTTGGTTTTACATTCCTTACATTTCAATGTATAATGAATTGATCTCATTGAGTTTTCCCATTGGCAAAATAAAAATATTTTTAAACACACACTCTACTATAGATTAAACCTTAGAGGGAATTAAACACAATGGCTCCTAAATCTCAAACAGTGCAAATAATGAGCTAATGAGTTCAAAAGTGGTAGGGCAAACTACAAATGTTCCTGTCTGATAAACATACTGCAGAGTGTTATAGCATGCATGCCTTAGAAGGTCCAAGGAGAAGCAGAGGTCTTCACTGACAAGCAGGCTGTGGAGTTAGAGGTGAACTTACATGGCTGTTGAGCAAGCTGCTTTTGTGAGAGGTGATGCCTTCATTTTTTTGGAGATTTTCAATCGCCATTTCAAGCTACAGAGAAAGCATGCAAAAAACAGAGGAGACGTCAGACATGGAGCCTGCTGATGTGGAACGAGTAAAAGTCAGGAAAAAGTGCACGGACATGAAGAGTACACAGTTAAATTTGGGGGGAAAAAAGGCTTTGAGTGTATGTCACTGCAACATGCACTGCAGGAACTAGAATTATATAAAAGGTTATAACATTGAAAGCGACAATTTCTGGACAAAAACCACACATTGAAGATATATCTGCATCTTCTTGAAACTTGTAATCAGTGAAAAACAGCAACAATCCATCCTTTGGCATAGAAGCACTACAGTGTGCCCATAAAATGTGCGGTTCTGTGAAAGCATATGTGAACATGTATGTACACCTGTCAATTTCTACAAGCTTCTGATGAGTATTAGGCACAAGGAAGCGCATAAAACAAAAAAAAACAAAAATCTGAAATAAGAATAAAAATACACATGTATATTACATGCATTATTTTTCCTCCCTGTGCCCAATAAAATACACACATACCAAGATGGAAAAAGGAACAAGTGTCTTGATGAACAAGACCTTCATGACAAAATAATGCACTTAAAAGGATCATCACGAAAAGTAATTGCCCTCACTTTACTCTATGAAAAGGAGGCAGATTACTAGAATCTACAAAATTTTAAGCAAAAACAAATGAGATCCGAGTTTATCAAGCAAAGGTAAAAGCTTAGTAGCTTGCCCAATGTTTATTCCCAACTCAAGTCTTCAAAAAGTTGTACCAACTAAACGGCAAACTTCTGAAACGATGTTTTTGACCAATCTCATCTCTTCTGCCTGCTTTTAAAATGTGTTTTGCATAAATAGATTAGCTTAGAGCAGGCATAGGCAACCTTCGGCACCATCCAGGATGCTCTGTCAGTACTATGGGTGTAAGAGCATTATGGGGGATGTAGTCCACATCTGGAGTGCCGAAGGTTGCCTATCCCAGGCTTAGAGTATCCCCAAGTTAAAGGGATACTTAAAACACTATAATGCTGCCACTCACTTGTATTGTGTGTGTGTGTAATATATATATATATATATTTTATTTTTTATTTTTTTATTACACACATATACACACACACACACACACACACACACACGTGTCCAAAAACATTCAGCTATATACACAAATACGGTAGGCAGCTAGTTGTGATGCCATCTGCCTCCATAATTCATAGAGTGCCTCTCACTGTAGCAGATTTAATGGCAATTTTCAGCAATAAGCAGAATACCGCATACTGCCTAAAAACAAGCGTGCAATACACACATTTTGAAGGTATAAGACCACTGCCATGAATTAGAGCAGCCTGTATTGGAGCAAGGAAGTGGGTCAAACAAATATTAATTAATTAAGTATTGGTGATTCTATAACAGCAAACACCTTTAAACCCATGTAAATAAAAGTCAAAGGAACATTCTTTTTCCCTTGTAAACGCAAGAACCAAAAAGTAAAAAAAAAAACAAAAAAAAAAAAAAGATTTTGGGATTAGGAATGCTAGCCATGTCTGATAAGGAAACCATATTAGTATTAAAAAAATACCGTATTTTCCGGCGCATAAGACGACCCCCAACTTTTCCAGTTAAAATATAGAGTTTGGGATATACTCGCCGTATAAGACTACCCCTCTTCCAATGCACACCAAATAAAAATTAGCCATGATGTACAGTGAGCAGACACAGCTACACAGCAAGACATTAAATAATGATAATCTGAAATAGCATTTAAAGCCCAGGTATGTGCCAGGCTGTTTGGGCATATAATCCATGCCTGCTGGTCTAGCACACAGGAGGCTAATTGTGATATATTCTTTTTACTCCCACCCTCCATTCTTTTAATCCCCTCCTCCCCCAATCCACCCTACATTCTTCTCACCTCCCCTTCCCTGTGCAGAGTGGGTGGCCGAGCTCCTCTTCGTCCTGTCAGTCCTGAGTGCTCACTTCCTTTCAGGCCGGCCGGGAACAGGTAACTGAATCTCCTGTACCGCGCGGTACCCGGCCGGACTGACAGGACGAAGAGGAGCTCAGCCACCCACTCTGCACAGGGAAGGGGAGGTGAGAAGAGAGGCAGTGCGGCAGCCGTCTGAGCGCTCTCTATAGAGTGCTCAGGCGGCTGCAGAATTAGAAGGGCCGGCGATGGGGGCGCAGGGCACCCCCGGCAGCCATATAGACCCTATACCCCGGCGTATAAGACGACCCCCGACTTTGGAGCAGATTTTCCAGGGTTAAAAAGTCATCTTATACGCCAGAAAATACAGTAAATAAATTCAATTCCAATAAGATATCTGACAGAGCGAGGATTTCCATCTCAAAGGAAGTAGAAAATTATTGCAGGACATGTTAAAAGCTGGCCTAGGCATATCTACACAGACATATACAGTGTGAATAGGCATTCCAAGATACAAACATAAGAAAAAAATAGTGCATAGCAAAAAATGTTAAGCACACAACACTCACTGCATGAGAGCAGATACTGCTCAGTGTGTTCAGTTCAGGGAACATCAAGCTCAAACACAAGAGATCAGATGTTATGTTCCAGCAGTAAGATGGATCGGAGAAGTGAAAGCACTTAATTTATAGATTCCTTACATCTAGGTTAAAATCCAAAAGTCTAAAGTGCACTTTGGAAAATCCCATTGGCAGACAAAGCCCAGCAGTGCTGACATCACTGGACACGCCTCCAAGAAGAGAAGCATTTTGGGAAAGTTATTACAGCTTTCAGATTGAACTTTAGCCTAAATGTGAACAATCTATATTGGTGTGAAATACATGCTTTCTGGGTCTAATAGTTTGTTTATATGGGGCTTGCTATCCCTGAACTGAATACACTATTTTTCCAGTGAGTATATGGAGGGGGATAGGGGAAACTGGGACTAAACAAATGTTAAATTAAGAAGTGTAGACCGCTTATAAACAATTCTATAGTCATCAGCTAGATTAATCAGGATATAAAGGCTGGTAATACAAGACCGATCATTTATACTGTGCAAAGATTAACATATATCAATACACCAATTAAAGCTTAAACCATAGAACTTAATTCTGATGTCACAAATGCTTTCTAAAAAATTCACAGGCCTTTTCATACAAATCTTAAAGGGAAACTATAATGTCAGGAAAACAAACTAGTGCCCCGGCACTAGTTAGGTCTCTGCCTCCGTTCTCCCCATGCACAGCAATGGTGGCACCCGCTTTAGTACTTCCCCCATAGGAAAGCATGTAGAATGTTTTTCTATGGGGTTTTGGGTGACGGTGATGTCCAGCTGCAGAGAGTGAGGACGTCCAGCGTCAGTTAGGCAAAAATAGCCTAAGGACCCTTTAAGTCCCTCTAGTTGCTGTCTGGCAGACAGCCACTAGAGGTGGAGTTAATCCCCAAAAAGTAATTATTGCAGTTTATTAAAAACTGCAATAATTACAATTGCAGGGTTAAGGGACCTGGAACACTGCACTCAGACCACTTCAATGAGCCGACGTGGTCTAGGTGCCTATAGTGTCCCATTACATTTCTTTATCTCAAAGTGACTTTCCATTATCAAATTAGCAGGACCAACATATTTTTGCAAACACTACCCAAGTCATTAGACGTGGTTAGTTCTACTATAAAACAAACATTTGTAGTGTCTGCTTCTTTGAATACACCATAAAACCTCAAAGAAGGGGAAAAAAAAAAAGTATGAAAATAAACAAACATGTTTGTTTCAAGTGCCCTACAAGCTAATAAAGAAAACATCTACACATCGCAGATACTGCTTCAAGTATCAAGGTGCTTTCTTTTTCAACTTATACAATTCATAGAGAGGAGCACAATGTTTGTTTATTGTAAAGATGTGCTGATAAAATTCAGTATTGAAATGTTTTAATATCCTGTACATTTTAAAAGGTTTTTCCTTTGTAGGTCCCACTTAATACAAGTCACTTGCAGGCAGATTTGCCACAAGAGTGAAAAATTGCAAAATATTAATTGTTGTGGGAAATTTTGAAAAGTTAAGTTTTTATTGGCCACAGATCGAATATACATACCGTGGCAGGGGATGAGCGAGATGTGTGAGAGAGTGCATGGCGAGAGTTGTCTAATCCACCATGAATTAGGTATGCTCCAGAACTAGACAATAATTGGCTTCCACTCACATCCATGGTGATGCCAACCATACTGTGGGATGGAATGGCAGTAGGTGAGGACACAACTGTGGTCACCTGAGCTCCTCCACCCTGAGAATCAAAATAGGAGGCACCACTGCTGGGAGCATAGATCTGCGCTTCAGTGTTGTAGGAGTAAGTTGTGCGACTGTTCAAATAAAAATGACATAATATTAGCAATGTCAGTACATGTAAAGACCATGATGTCTAACAAAGAATTAAAAGGGCATTCCCAAGGTCAAGAAGAAAGTTAACTTTACAACTTTTTACACATATTTTATTTTAAGACCATATGCAAAAAAACAACAAACATACATTTTGGGATAGATTTTGTGTTTAATCGATAAGGTTAAAAAAATAAAAAATAAATAAAAACAATTAAAACAATAGGACCAGTATAGTGCCCTCTGGCCCTAGTGGTATTAAAAGGTTACTCCAACCGTCATGGCCCCTTTAGGGATTTGCAGTGGTCATAGTGGTAGAAGGCAGGATGTGCAGCATTCTGCTTGAAATTCTGCACATTCTAAGATATTTGTACTCGTGAGCCAAGGGCTAGTTACAACCCCAACATGTGACTTTTTCAAGCCTTGAACGGTTCCAGACTGGCAAATGTCAATTCTCTACATTTGTTGCAAAATCTACATTTGTTGTCAGCATGCACTGCACACTGGCAAAATAATCTTTTCCCTTGCAGGCATTGCATCAGCAAGTGGAAGAGTAATCTGCCCTCCCGCTGTGTGGTCCTTCCCGCCTCCATCATTAAATAAATAGCGTTTGTTTTGTTAAGTTAGAAATCCCCTTCCTCCGCTTAGAAATATTGCGGCAGAAAAGAGAATGCATGTCAAACTCCACGTTCCTCCAATAAAATACTATTATACTATACTAAAATACGGTCTATGAGAATCATTTGCATAAATTTTCAAAGAACTGTGTCTTACTCAGTTGTGGATAGACATGTGTGAATATACATTCGTACGAAATTCATGCCATTCGGACATTCGGATGCTTACGAATGTCCGAAGTGCGGTAGTTCCTGAAGTGCCGAAGCTCCGAAGCCATTTGGCTTTCTGAAAAGTGGCAAAACACGAGAGAGGGAGGGAAAATTACGTGAATGATGACCGGAATCTTGGCCAATATGCTAATTCGTTTTGTGCAATGTAATGCTTGCTTGCCCAATCCGGTTTCACTATTCCCTGTCCAATGAAATGAGCAATAGACATGTGCAATTCGTTTAGTTCCGAATGTACATTCGTACGAATTTCATGACATTCGAACATTCGGATGCTTACGAATGTCTGAAGTTCCGACGTCCGGCAGTTCCGAAGTGCTGAACCGAATGCCATTGGTCCGAATTGCTGAGGCAGACTAATTATTTTACTTACCCCAATTTCCAAACCGAACCAAATTTTTTTGCACATCCCTAGTTTTGGAGGTAGAAGCAACCTCTAGTTGCTCCCAGGAAGACAGCCATTAGAGGTGTCTTTAGTCCTGCAATGAAAACTGCTTTGCATTGCAAGACTAAAATGCCTGGGGCACACAGATATAAAGTGGTGTGGGTGTTTATAGTGTCCTTTTAATGTAGTGGTTTTGATGCACAGACACTGTCCCTTTTATTTGGCAATTTACACCACTGCAGTTTCAGAGAATATGTTCATATTTTTTTAGATAACATGCCTTTAGTGTCTTACAGCCAGCAGCCCCTAGAGGCACTTCCACATTAAGGAAAAGCGGTTAAGAAAACACTAAGCACCGAAAACAGTACAGCTTTATGTAGGGATTCTGGTGCAAAGAGATTGTACTTGCAGTCTCTTAATTATAAGCACTGCCTTTTCTGCTATTAGTGTAGCGTTGGACTAAAAAGAAGGAAAGGACATTTTACCATTTCAGGAAAGTGGGTGGGGGCAAGAATCAAACTAGCATAGAGCATCGCTGACATTACAACCACAGGTTTGTATTTCTAACACAATTGTGGTCCTTTAACACTTCGCATAGAAGTATTGGATTCAAATGATGTACGTCTCCAATGATTCTATATGACAAGCATTGGACTAGACTGAGATTACAACAACAGATCTAAAAAATGGCAGACCGGCTTCCTCTAGGAGATTGTCCCAGCACTGGAATTAGAGGTAGTTTTGAGAACCCTTTGGTATTTTTCTTATTTTAAAAGAGGGTAAGAGGCATGGCATAAATCAATAAATCAATAAATGAGCACACTAAAGTTTAAAATACATATACAGTGATGGTAAGACTTATTCGTGTTGCTCAGACTTATTCGTGTTGCTCTACGTGTAGTGTGTTTACTTGCTAGTGTTATTGCAATAAATTTCTATGAATAATTCATAATGATCCATGCAAATCCGATTCTAATCATCAGTACGGTATAAGATGACTTAATACTTTGCGGAGTAGTTCCTTACGGTTTACATTGCATTAGTCCTTTTTTCCTCTATTGTTCTTTATGTTAGGATCAATTATCTTGCTCTAATCATGTCATTTTAAAATAGAAATCAGAGCTAATCAGCAGGTAGCTCAACTATAAGTTCAATAATCTTTAGCAATTAAACTTAAAGGGACACTATAGTCACCTGAACAACTTTACCTTAATGAAGCAGTTTTGGTGTATAGAACATGCCTCTGCAGCCTCACGCTCAATCCTCTGCCTAAATCCCTTTGTTTATGAACCCTAGTCACACCTCTCTACATGTGACTTGCACAGCCTTCCATAAACACTTCCTGTAAAGAGAGCCCTATTTAGGCTTTCTTTATTGCAAGTTCTGTTTAATTAAGATTTTCTTATCCCCTGTTATGTTAATAGCTTGCTAGACCCTGCAAGAGCCTCCTGTATGTGATTAAAGTTTAATTTAGAGATTGAGATACAATTATTTAAGGTAAATTACATCTGTTTGAAAGTGAAACCAGTTTTTTTTTTCATGCAGGCTCTGTCAATCATAGCCAGGGGAGGTGTGGCTAGGGTTGCATAAACAGAAACAATGTGATTTAACTCCTAAATGACAGTGAATTGAGCAGTGAAATTGCAAGGGAATGATCTATACACTGCTTTATTTAGCTAAAGTAATTTAGGTGACTATAGTGTTCCTTTAAAGAAAATGAGTGTCTGGGGCCAGTTTGGTGAGCATTACAAGAATTGCAGTTCCACAATGAATGGAGATCTAAATAATCTAAAGATGCAGCCCTAATGGAAACAATTCATAAAAACCAATATATGGCAAGTGATTCTCCCGTAAGAATGATTATTCTTCCATTCACTGGTAATTATGCAAGACCTCTATTTTTACGAATTAGTTTTCTATTGGGAAATATCTTAAGTAGCACTGTAATTGGTAAAGCATGCAGCACTCACATGGCTCCGTTTGTGTACACAGTATCTCCTTCCACATATTGCACTTGGGTAGGGTAGACATGCTGGACAGTCTGAACCTGCAAAAAGAGAGGATTACTTAATAACTGGGAAAGAGAATTCAACTGAACCCCAAGGCTTCAACAACATGAAAGATTTTAATGTGTTCGGGATGCACATAAACTGGACAATGAAATTTCAGTAACATGTTTATCGATTGAGACTTTTCTAGATTTTTTTTCTCAAAACATTGCAGTGATGCAGGAGATATATCAAAATGTAGTATATATGTTACACACAAATCAGAAACCTGTAGTTAAAGTCAGATTCTATAATAAAAAGGCTTGCTCCTCTCCTCTCCTCCCCACCCCCAAACATACACTTAAAATGTTGCTACTCAGACAGGAAAACGAGCAGTATTTTAATCAATAAACATTCCTGTGTCTCTGGACTGGAGTATTTTAAACTCCAAGGCAACAAACTGATTTCTCATCATAACAGCAACAAAGTGAGCCACTAAAATCTCTCGACCAGCTTTAATGTGAGAAGATGTAGATAAGGAAATACGGTATATAAATAAGAATGTTTTCTTTTCTGTCAATAGAGCTTTCCTTAATTTGAACAGCACCGTAAATCACACATGACATTAAATGGTATTTTATGGGTTAAAGAGATATATAGATATAGAATTAAACGCATGTGTTCCCCATCTGTGGGTAAATAAAGCAGCTCTAAAAGAGGCAAAGCCCATGTTGTGGTGTATTGCTGCCAATCTACACTATGACGATACAGGGAAGTCCAGCTTAGCTCTGCAGTCTGATATTGGCCGAGTGTCGCCATGGTGACCATGAAGTAAATAAACACTTGAGTTACAGTGCGCTCTTTGAAATAATGAGACCTGGAGAGAAACTAGAGACTGCATATTGCTCATCCACAACCAACAATGATCATTCTAAAATGGGAAAATTATGTTGAAAATAAATCAGAGCTTTAATATTATTAGCAACTAGAGGCAATTGCAGACATGAGAGGCAGCAACTTTGGACATGGCTAAAGTAAAATGGACTGAAGATTTGTCAAGGTACAGAAAGCATTGTTGCCCCATTTCTGTACCATACATAATGTGTACCTATGATTGATGAAAGTTTAATTGTAAAAGGAGAAGAAAAATTATCGTCTTTACGGAAATGTCATCAATGCCAATTGCACAGTTTACATGATAAAAAGTGAATAGGGAAAGAAAAACATTAATATTTTTATGTTCACATTGAAATGGAGGCAAGATTTACATTTTATATTTATCCCACAATCGCTGAAAACGGGGATCCAGCATTTTACCCCAAAATCTTCCTGGCTTCTAATACCTCACACAAATCCTAGAGGAATGAAACGAGTCAAGCTGGAAAGGTCAGCATTTAGTTTGTTCAACAGTGTTGCTGTGAAGCATTGCAGCTAGCGTAATAAACCAGAACATATTTTGAATACCATCAAATAGCTTTGTGCTGTGTGAACATGCGCCATGGCTTGAAATCATGCAATAACTGGTGTCGGATTTAGTAAATGTGAAGCCTTGTGCCCGTACGCTGCTGGTTATCAAAGCTTCCACAGAGCATTGTTAGTAAACATTAGTGTAGCATTCAACATACGAATGGATCAATACTTAAATATAGCTTTCTTCTTTTAGGAACAAAGACAGGAAAACACAATATTTGCTTAAAAAAGGGACCCTCCAGGTACCAAGTGACAAGTAATACATAAATAAAAATAGAATGATTTATTGCAGGACGTCAGATGAACGGTTAACATAAAGTGGCAGAAGGCACTGACTGTAACATGATCATCTGTACTTATTCTTTAATCTCTGGGCAGGATATTCTCTCAAGATATGACTGGGAAGTGCAAGAACTATGCAGCCATGAGCAACTTCCCACCACCTCCCTCGATTAAATGAGATGCTGCTCACTGTTGCACAGTGCACATATGCAAGTAGCGAGTCAGAAATTTCAACAAGTAATTAGGGAACATGGGTGTGCCTGATGTCATACACGGCCCCATGCTTGATAATCCTCCCAGGGATTAGGAACCGCGTTTGAGATATCCGTTCTTAGAAAGAGCAGCAGAATAAAAAAAAAATATACATATTTAAATTAACTCTGGAGGTTCCCTTTAAAGAATGCTGAAATGACTGCAAAGTACAGGTTATGGGGCATGTTTCATGTTGCCGAGGTGTAAAAATTCACCCAGTTTATAATTAAAAGATATTGTTAAGCATTTAGGTTCTTTACAATCCATTGTGGGAGATAGATAGAGATTGAATAAATAAATAAATAAATATATATATACACATATATATATATACACACATATATATATATATATATATATATATATATATATATATATATATATATATATATATATATATATATACACACACACACACACACACACACACACACATATACATACACATATACATACACACACACACACACACACACACACGAAAAAGTATGTGAACCCTTTGGAATGATATGGATTTCTGCACAAATTGGTCATAAAATGTGATCTGATCATCATCTAAGTCAAAACAATAGATAATCTGCTTAAACTAATAACACACAAAGAATTAAATGTTGCCATGTTTTTATTAAACACACCATGTAAACATTCACATTGCAGTGGAAAAAGTATGTGAACCCTTGGATTTAATAACTGGTTGAACCTTCTTTGGCAGTAGTAACTTCAACCAAACATTTCCTGTAGTTGCAGATCAGACGTGCACAACGGTCAGGAGTAATTCTTGACCATTCCTCTTTACAGAACTGTTTCAGTTCAGCAATATTCTGAGGTCATGCCACAGCATCTCAATCGGGTTGAGGTTAGGACTCTGACTGGGCCACTTCAGAAGGCATATTTTTTTCTAAGCCATTCTGTTGTTGATTTACTTCTATGCTTTGGGTCATTGTCCTGTTGCAACACCCATCTTCTGTTGAGCTTCAGCTGGTAGACACATTGCCTTAAGTTCTCCTGCAAAATGTCTTGATAAACTTGGGAATTCATTTTTCCTTCAATGATAGCAATCCGTCCAGGCCCTGACGCAGCAAAGCAGCCCCAAACCATGATGCCCCCACCACCATACTTCACAGTTGGGATGAGGTTTTGATGTTGGTGTGTTGTGCCTTTTTTTCGCCACACATAGTGTTGTGTGTTTCTTCCAAACAACTCAACTTTGGTTTCATCTGTCCACAGAATATTTTGCCAGTACTGCTGTGGAACATCCAGGTGTTCTTGTGCAAACTGTAAACGTGCAGCAATGTTTTGTTTGGACAGCAGTGGCTTCCTCTGTGGTATCCTCCCATGAAATCCATTCTTGTTTAGTGTTTTACGTATTGTAGATTCGCTAACAGAGATGTTAGCATTTACCAGTGACTTTTGTAAGTCTTTAGCTGACACTCTAGGATTCTTCTTCACCTCATTGAGCAGTCTGCGCTGTGCTCTTGCAGTCATCTTTACAGGACAGCTACTCCTAGGGAGAGTAGCAGCAGTGCTGACCTTTCTCCATTTATAGACAATTTGTCTTACCGTGGACTGATGAACAGCAAGGCTTTTGGAGATACTTTTATAACCCTTTCCAGCTTTATGCAAGTCAACAATTCTTAATCGTAGGTCTTCTGAGAGCTCTTTTGTGCGAGGCATCATTCACATCAGGCACATCTTGTGAAAAGCAAACCCAGAACTGGTATGTGTTTTTTATTGGGTAGGGCAGCTGTAACCAACACCTCCAATCTCATCTCATTGATTGGACTCCAGTTTGCTGACATCTCACTCCAATTAGCTCTTGGAGAGGTCATTAATCTAGGGGTTCACATACCTTTTCCACCTGCACTGTGAATGTTCACATGGTGTGTTCAATAAAAACATGGCAACATTTCATTCTTTGTGCGTTATTAGTTTAAGCAGACTGTGATTGTCTATTGTTGTGACTTAGATGATGATCAGATCACATTTTATAACCAATTTGTGCAGAAATCCATATCATTCCAAAGGGTTCACATACTTTTTCTTGCAACTGTGTGTGTGTGTGTACATGCAATTCACGATATTTGACTATTTGGACTTTTAAGACATACGACTGTACATTTCAGCAAATGTAGGGAGTACAAAGAAATTGTAAACAGCCAGTGTGTTTGGGGATTAGTAGCAGCTGGACTTCATGCTTGGACCTCGCATGGTCATTTACCTGCTGCTGTAACTGGTGGGCCCTGGGCACAGAGATACCCTGACCATGTGCTCCTTTGGGAGCAGAACCAGACGACTGGGACAAACTCCTCTGAAAGTAAAAGGATGATTAAAGGATGTTATCAGACCCTAAAGCATAGGGCTATGACTAAAAATTTGTTTTATAAATATGACCAAAAGCAGGAGTAAGCAAACTGCGCTCTTCCAGAAAATTAGCCCTAAACACGTAAGAACGATTGACTGCAGTTGCTAATCTTAACAAGTATCAAAGAATATTATAATTATAGGTTTAGCAAGTAATCCTGGGTTGCGGAAAATGTTACATAAATAAAAAGATTTTTTCAATGTACATTTTATATATCAGTGACTTTAAAGCAGGAAAACACAAAAAGCCATATAAAAACCTTACATTAGCACATTTCAAATGCCTCTAAGCTTCAATTGGCAATATGCACCAACACAAATGAGTAAGGTGGATGAACGGACATGGTTTATTAATGTTCAAAAAGAAATCAAATGTTAAATCCATTACTACAATTAGTAACTATATATTTCAGATACATAAATATATTATGAAATCAAACGATTGCATATTTTCTACTTGCATAATAAGAACTTACAGGTCCACATGTCCCGTTTCTAGTACAGATAACAGTTCTAAATACAGGTTGGGTACGCAAAGTCCACGGCTGTTATTAAATCAGGTCACTTCCTTCACTTGAAAGAGACAAACAGCCGTGACAAACCAATATACCCAAAGGGCAAGCTGCTATTTAGTAACGCACAGTCCATTTGATCCATGGCATACATTTGTATTAAGGAATGGCATGCTTACAACAAGCAGAACCAAATTCCCTTACTGAACTAGCTTCAATATCGATGTTAGAATGAAGTAAAATAAAAATCAATAGGTTTCTAATTATGTCTTTAGCATCTGCTGATTCCAGTGATTAAACCAGTTGAACTGATCTAAAATACTTGTTTCTTAGAACACTATTTGATTCCTGAATATTTAGATCTCTATTCAACTTTTAAGGTGATAAGATAATAAATCCATTAAATAGCTATATAAAAGTTAATTTGACGATGCAGGAAAATGACCCAGTAAAAACATTAGCAATAATGTTCTACTGGTGTAAAGTTTTTATTTATTTATTTTTTATTTATTTTGAGGCTGCAATCAGGAACAATATACCGTATATACTCGAATATAAGCCGACCCGAATATAAGCCGAGGCCCCTAATTTTACCCCAAAAAACTGGGAAAACTTATTGACTCGAGTATAAGACTAGGGTGGGAAATGCAGCAGCTACTGGTAAATTTCTAAATAAAATTAGATCCTAAAAAAATTATATTAATTGAATATTTATTTACAGTGTGTGTATATGATGAATGCAGTGTGTGTGTATGAGTGCGCAGTGTGTGTATATGAGTGCAGTGTGTGTGTATGAAATGCAGTGTGTGTGTGTGTGATGCAGTGTGTGTGTGTGTGATGCAGTGTGTGTGTGTGTGATGCTGAGCCTTGGTGGGGGGTGGGCATTTTTATAAAAAAAAATAATTTTTTGGGTTATATTATTTTTTTAATTATTTATATTTATATATTATTAATTGATATTATTTTAATTTTTTTGTTATATTATTTTTTTAATTATTTTTTTATTATTATTTATATATTATTAATTTATTTATTTTTCGTCCCCCCTCCCTGCTTGTTAGCTGGCTGGGGAGGGGGGCTCTCCTTCCCTGGTGGTCCAGTGGCATTGGCAGTTCAGTGGGGGAGAAGGGGGGCTGGCAGAGCTGTTACTTACCTCTCCTGCAGCTCCTGTCAGCTCTCTCCTCCTCCGCGCCGGTCCGTGCAGCTCTTCTCTCAGCTCCCAGTGTAAGTCTCGCGAGAGCCGCACTATGACCCCGCGGCTCTCGCGAGACTTACACTGGGAGCTGACCGAGATGCTGACCGGACCGGCGCGGAGGAGGAGAGAGCTGACAGGAGCTGCAGGAGAGGTAAGTAACAGCTCTGCCAGCCCCCAGTCTGCATTATGGCAATGTAAATTGCCATAATACAGACACTGACTCGAGTATAAGCCGAGTTGGGGTTTTTCAGCACAAATAATGTGCTGAAAAACTCGGCTTATACTCGAGTATATACGGTAAGTTAACTAGAAGCCATATGATACCGTCCTAACATCGGCTAGCAAAGTTACGACTGACCTAAGACAGGTTTTTTTTTTGGTTAATGTCCTCCAAATACTCAATGCTCCTTTCCCCATTCTGCCACTTGCCTTTTTTCCTATGTATTAAGAAAGTATGAGATCAAGGCACTTAGCAGTCCAAATCATGACAACCTTTTTAATGGAGCATTTCACTTGGACAATGTTTTGGTCGCTACGCGAGACCTTTATCAAGCCTTTCTTTTGTCATTTCTCATTAGTTGCCTGGAGTTTGTTTCCCGGTGCCACTATCTGATGAACTTCTCTGGTGACATTTAAAGTTTGTTTTTATTTTGCCCTTCAGGGGGAGTTCACCAGAATTATTGTGCACAACAAGACGTTCGTCTTATGGTCTCTTCTTATTACATACATGTCTTTTTAAAGGCGTAGGTTCTATGTAAGAGGCCACACCGAAGTCTGTTTCCCATGTGAAATATCTTTGGTTAGAAATTATTGAAACAGTTACCTGCTGAGAAGCTGGAACAGGTTGAACTACTGGGGCTTGGGCAGTTGCAGAAGTCCTCAGCGAGACTGATGTAGCAGAGTCCGAGCCACTGTCTGAATTCTGCATAGTGCTACCTGTATCGGGATAGAAATTAAAAAACCTTAATGGAAAACATTCTTTAAATTCACATTAAAATTTGTTCTATAACCTTGTACAAGAACTAAGCATTCTGTGATATGTGCAGTGACGTTATAAATTCTATGCAAGAGGTACTACTGTGCTGGGCCCCACCAGTCTGTGAGAGGGACATAATCTGTCTCATAATGTTGCTGGGAAATCTTGTATGCAGGTTGTTACCGAATCAGCATTGCCCTTAACATTAAAGGACATTTCATGCACACCTGATCTCATCTAAAAATGTAACACCTGATTTTACTACATAATAAACAGACTTGTTCTTGACAAATGCCAGCTCTTTGACAAGGACCACTCGTGCCATCTCATACAACAGACACACAGGTATATACACATCTCCAAGGATCCTTGGACACGGACAGGGTCACCTGAAAAAGGTTTTCCCTTTCCTTCACATTCTACTGACAATTGTGTACCCTACATCAACTCAAAACATAGCCCCTCCAAAATACCTTCTGATATGCAGTAAAAAAGATGTAAATAAAATCCAACAATGTAAAACATTAATCTATCATTGGATATTTGTCTACCAAACAGCAGTTAATGAAGTTAAAAAACAAAACATCACAATCCTACTAATGAGGAGTTGGTCACTCTGTTTACCTTCTAGAAAACCTATAATTTTGCACTGTGATGGCATATCTTTCAAAATGGTTATGCGAGTTCACACGACATCTGGAAACTTTGGTTATCAAAGAAAATGGTACTCTTGAAGCAAGCAACATCAAGGCCTTCTGCTGCCCTGTTACAATGTAGATATTTTATTTCTGCAGTAATTTCCCATCCTTGGAGAGCAATGATAGGTGTCAGGCACTAGGCTAAATTGTCCACCCAAAGTTGGATTGAATTTTGAATGGATTATGTAGAAGCGAAACTTCCATATCATAATGTCTGCTGCAATGAAGACAATTTGTGGGTGCTGAAAGCCCTGTTTTGTTTTTGTCAAAACACTTAAAACTAAAAACGCAATGCACCAAGCTGCAGTTGCGATGGTCTCCAAAGAAAAATGTACTATCCATGGAACTTGAAACATTTCCAAAAGGTTTAAGAGCCAAAGCCATATTTTCAATACAAAATAAATAAATAAAAACAGATTTAATGAACCATACATTCACACACCTTATTTAACAGTCAAAAACCTAATTAACTAAAATAAGAATTGTACCAACGTAGCCACAATCTCTTGCAGAAAACACCTACCGGTAATTAGCATAACACGGCCAGTAACTCATTTTACCCCCATGACAACTGAATTCTTCTCTGACTTATTCTGCTGCTCAGCTATTTCAGTAGAAAGAAGGGAAAATCTGTTCGTCTGCAGCTCTATTCTTGTTTAGTGAGAAGGTGTTACACATTTTCAAGCAGAATAGACAGCTTCCGGCTCTTCCAGCACTCCCCTGTGACATTATGACAGAATGCCAGGAAGATGTGCCACCATACCACTTCTTCTCAGTACTGCAAGTCAAAATTCCACAATATAGCCCCAACGTGTCCCTATGAGTGGTACAAGTCCACTCGCTAGATGGCCTATCTAACAAAACTGATCGACAGACAAGCAAGTTTTCTGCATCTGCTTGCATTAGGGTCACCATGGCAACCCAATGCTGTGATTTTGTTGAGCCACAAAGAACAACATACATACTTACAAAACTAGAAAACCTACAGAATGTAACAAATCTGTTAAGTATTTGCTTTACTCCTGTTGATAGATTGGGAGGCAGCTGTACAACCCTCACATAGACCCCATAAACCATATTGCAATGCAATGGGCCAGATAATTTGGTAGAATCATCCCTTCCTGTCATTTAACTTTCCCATCACAAAGATCAGGGAACAAAGACCTATAGAACATGGTCCTAATACCATTATCAACTGCACAGAGTGAAAGGAGAGTAGCTTATAAGCTATCCCTCATAGCGGATAAGCTAATATTTTATCAACAAAAAAAAATTAAAAAAAATAAATACATTTTCTGAAATAATTCCCAAAACCAGAAAACGTCACCTCACCCTCCTAGTGCTAGATGTCTAGATGTGGGGACGTTTACAAAATAGAACACAAGTAATAAAGTTATTTTGCAAGTAAATATTATAGAGTGGGTTGCATTTAAAAGCAAAGGCATTGTTTTAATAGGCTTTCCAAATGATTTATTAAATGACAAAAAATCTCAAATAATTTAAATGGTGACTTCTGTAAATAATTTAGAAAGTTTTTCTAAGAGTAGTGAATCATTTAGAAAGCTTATTAACGTGATGCCGTATTTGATTTCATATACAATGTGTTAAAAACTGCAATCAGGTACCAACAAGGTTAGGCGTAGCATATTTCTAAAATGTTAAGAAAATTTACACATCTATCTACTTGGAATTTTGTAGTAGATATTAGTTACAAATCTATTATGAGTGTCTCAAACAAGAGTGGATTTTATTTAAATTAAGTCAATTTAAACCATGATTTTTAAAATGTAAAGACACAATCTCGCAGGTTGTTAGAAATATTACTTTTCAGATTAGTTTATATAGTTACATCAGAACTGGTTTTCCTATGTACAAAAATACACAGAGAATGATTAAATTATTGCAAGGTTAACGCTCCCACGTTTAATAGGTTAATCAATGATGTTTGGAGAACAATTTAAAAACAATGGGAGTAAGGGGTTTTCCAAAATGTGTATGTTTATTTTAGAACATTTTTGCTGTGCAAACGTGCATGTTATCTCTGCAGACACAAGTTCCATTAATTTAAATTAATGGAAGTAATTTACCAAAAATGTAAATAGTGCATAATTATACAGCCTCATGATACATAACTAATCCATATTACAAGCTGAATATCCTTTGGACTAGAATGCATCTTTAAAAGGACCACTACAGTCTCCCACTTCATCTCAATAAAAAGGCCTGAGTGAAGTGGTCCTGTCCTTTTAACTACGCAATGCAATACCTGGAAGTCTTTTAGAATCTTTACACATGATTACACATTGCAGTGTTAAACCCACCTCTAGTGGCTGCCTTCCTGCGCTTGCATCCAAGCTTCCCCACGGGAATGCTTGGATGCAAGAGTGGCACTCACTGAACATGCGCAACAGGCCCTTAGGTAATCAGCGTTGAGGGAGCATCACTGCTGGAAAAAGGCAAGTAAAACATTACTATTATTCGGGCACATGAAGTGGGACCTCTGAAACTAGGGGCACATAAGCATTAGGAATACAGGTTTATACTCCTAAAGCTTTAGTGTTCCTTAAAACAGAAAACAATCTTTAGCTACATTTTTCTTTCAAAGCCATTTAGACATTAAATTTTAAAAATATAATTTAAAAATCAAGAAAATCTGATTTAAAAAAAATTAAAACTATTTTAAACCTGAACTGTATTGTTTTTGTGTTTGTTTTTTTTTTTTTTTTTTTTAAATCAAATTTTATCCACCCTGCTCAAGACTGAGCAAAGCATTGCACACGGCGACAGAAAAGAAAGGGTTAATTAGCACAAAAAAAAAACAGATGCAGATGTTCCATGTGTAATGCACAGGCTGCCATGCTTGGCTCTGTTTGCTCTCCTACGGATTGTTACTCGGCAAACAACGGTTGCTAGGAGCGACCGCAGTCCACTCCCGTATCCACGAACTAGTTGCTGAGCAACGTAGAGATTACATCCCAAACTAAACAATACGCCACTCCACTTCCCCCAACCCCTCCTCTACTGCATGCTGCTCAGCTCTCTACCATTAACCAGGCAATGTGTCATCTATTATACCCAACTGCAATGGGGGAGAGAGATACAGTTATTCCAACTATATGCTGAAGACAGCCATTGTGCTGTCAATAAATAATTTAATACAAATACAACAATAAGCCTTCTGGTAACTTTTACAGATGAGACAACAGTGCAGTCTGAGTAAAATTAAAGTTTGAAAACAACATTTTTTTTTCCATCCACATGGATGTTACGGTATCTCATATTTAAAAGAGTTGCATTCATGAAGGCAGATCAATACTTTCAAAACCTATACACAATATAAATAAGTATACAAGTATTCCATCTTTTTAAGAGTTTCCTTTAAATCAGATACTAAAATGAGGGGATTGGACACACCACAACAGCAAATAATTTTAAGACGCTTTTCCATAAGCAATATTAATTAAATCACACAGTGACCATTTCATTACGGTGCGTGTTCAAAATGTTGCGGAATCCTGCAGTGACAGGAAGCAAAGAGATTAAGCTTCTAACCAATTACCATTTAAAGAAATCTTTAAGGCCTATTTTGAGTAATAGGATGATTGGTCATGTATTGCTCCATTGAAAAATAGACCACGGTCCTCTTTAAACACACATATTGTAATGTAAATGTCTTGTCTAGCACCAAAGGCCTGTAATCAAATCAGAAGCTGTGCAGAAAGAAGGAATTCAAAGAATGTTTTTTTTTTTTTAACAAAGACAGAGAAGGAAAAAAATAAAATGCCTCTATGAGCATGACAAGTTGAAACATGCAAGCAAGGGAGGGTCATATTTAAACTGGACTTTACTTAAAAATCAGAATTGCAACACATTAATAGGTGATGCTTTTGCTGGCTTTGTGTCATTGAGGGGTTAGCCAAATGCGATTAAACAGATTATACCTAAACACACACCAAGATTATTTATGATGAACATTTCAGGCTTTTGCTACAGTGCCAGAACAAATATTTAAAGGGTTTTTGTTTAATTTCTTTGTTGAAGGCAAGCATAAATCACTGTTTAGGAGATATACCCTCAATAAAAACTTACATGCATTTAATTATGCATTTTATCACTGGGGAGAGCTCTAAAAACAGCTTGCAAAACCTGCAGATATTGTCTGCAGCTGTTGAAAGCCCTCCCCTTCTGCCCAGCCCTGATTTTCTGTGGCTGTCCAATCACAGACTTCCCAATGCAGCTCACAGAGAAGTCTTAGCAAGGTAGGTGGTCTAAGCAATTGCTGCCTCTTGAGTTTAGCTCCACTAAGCAAAAATAAACAAGTAAAAGAACTGGTTGTCTGCTTGAAAGCCAGAGGAATAAAAAAAAAAAAAAAAAAAAAGTTACTTTATAAAAGTGCCAATTTCTATTGAAATCTGCTGTTTTTCATGGGAGGAGGGGAGGAAGGTACACTTTACACAAATAATTTGTGCTTTAGGTGTATGCAGTGTTCCTTTAATTTATATTTCTATATAGATCAATCATTTGGAACGTTTTTCTAAGAGTATTGAATGATTTGAAAAACGTATTAAATAGAGGAAGCATTTCTTGAGTATTAATACATGGCATTTCCTAAAAACTATTTTAAAAACTTGTGCATCTGTGTGAGGAACAATCCAAATATTTGCATTTTCTCAAATTGTTGTGATATATTGCATGGAGTGCCACCCCAGTTTGTACTCTTTACAAACTGTGCTTTTAAAAGGGACACTATAGTGAGCTAAACAATTTCAGCTTAACAAAGCAGTTTTGGTCGCTAGATAAGGTCTCTGAAGCTTCATTGCTCAATTCTCTGCTATTCAGGAGTTAAATCACGTTCGTTTCTGTCAATGCAGCCCTAGCCACTCACCCATAGCTGTGATTGACACAGCCAACATGGGGAAAAAAATAGTTTATTTTCAATCAGATGTTAACTTGCTTTGGAAGTTTGTATCTCCTGCTTTGTAAATTGTGCAATAAAGGAAGTATAAACATTAGATCTCACTTGACAGTGTTTAGGAAGCCTGTGCAAGTCACAAGCAGGAAGGTGTGATTAGGGTGCACAAACAAAGTAGTAAATGGCAGAGAATTGAGCATTGATCTATACATAAAAACAGCATCATCGAGAGCTGATTTGTTGACAATAGTGCCCCTTTAATATCTAAACATCTGTGTTGCAGTCACCACCAAATATACTGTTTATTTTCCCCAGTTAATATTTGTTATAATGTATACCATGACATTTTTTCTTCTTTTGGAAACGTATCATAATAAATGTGAAAATATTCAATAAAAAAAACATTTGAAAAGATCTGTGTTGCAGTCACCACCAAGAGGGTCTGGTTTGCAGACCTTTCTTTTATATGATGCATGTTTAATACATGTTGGTTTTAACAAACATGTTTTTAAAGCAGCACACATACATCAATCCACAAACACCTGTCCATCAGATGATCATGTGCCGCATTGTGTCAATCCAGTAAAAAGAGTATTAGACACATAACCACGAAAGCATGTTGTTACAATAGCCACAGTGAGATGTAGTGGTTATGGAGCTTAGAGTGGACCTTTTAAAAGCACATTTCTAAAATTGTAAGATATATGAAACATGAATCAGACAAAAATGAGCTTGGATATTGATAGTTTTAAATTATGCAGAACTCTGACTTCAGTTACAATAAATATTTGATGTAAAGAAAAGAGAGAGAGTCATAAGCCAGTGCACCTGGAGAGTTTTTCACCAACATGTCACAGGATACTGTGGCTCAGGAAGAAAGCCATGGCATATAAGTAGTCTAATAAGTGCAATAGGGTATGACTATTTAGAGGCCAAACCAACAATAGTGTGTAAATGGGGGGAGGGGTGGTAGATTAATGGGAATTACATTACAAAATAGCTGCAATCATTACTTTTGCCTATATCCAAGTAATGATATGGCACTACTGGGAGAGGGGCTGAATTAATGGAGGCATCCAAAAACATCAACTGCCCATGGGTGCAACTGCCACCAATCAGCCAGAGATGGACATGTATGTTTTGGTGTTGCTCTTTGACTAAAAAGAGTACCTATGCCTAATAGACGCATCTGTTATGCTTGCAAGTTTCACGGAGACACTGCCCTTACAATGAGTAAAGTTAGCGTGCAATGGTAACAAATTTACATTAAAGCTGACCAAACACTTATACTGGCAATAGTTAATTCACTTCTACAACACCTGTTACTTAACAGAAGCAACAAGTAAATAAATTAAACATAGAAAACCAGTGTGCAAAGTACATCACGTAAAAACATGCATGTGTCAATTTTAATCAACCCTAGGACAGCAAAAATAGCAACTTCATCCTAAATTATTATATAAACATAAGAAGAAAAAAACTAAAACAAAACACAAACACACACAAAAACCATTTTATCTCTGCTGCGTTTCTGATGTATACACTAGAGCTCAAGGATACATACATTACGAATGAAGAAAATACAGTGAGGGCACCAGGTGATGCTGCTAAAATTCAGATTTAGTCACTGGTAGATCAACACACTGCAGAATACGCATGAATGAGACAGACAATAGGGATCACACTACACACAGGCTAATTAAGATGTTTGGTAGGTTACAAATAGTTTGCAGCTATTCCTACAGCTTAGAAACAAAATAAATGATTTATGACCCTCCCCCCTTCCCCCAAGTCTATTATGCGACTGTCTTTTATGACCCAGAAGAGGCTGCTGGTTGATAATTCTAGCAGTAGAGTCACTACATATATTTGGTCTCCATGGACAGTAAGCCAGCAAGAGTAGACCATATATCCACAATCAGAGAAGAGATCTCTCATCTTTCTTCTTCCCCTTACAATACTTCCCCTAACTTCACTCCCTCTGCTCTTCTATGTTCATTCGCACCCACTACATTGGAAGAGGTTTCTGCTCTGCTCCAGTCCTCCCGCCCCACCACCTGCTCCCTAGATCCAATTCCCTCGCATCTCATCCGTACTCTCTTCTCTTTCTCCACCTCTCACTAAAATTCTCAATCTCTCTCTCTCCCCTCTGGTGTATTTCCATTGCCCTTCAAACATGCAACTGTAACCCCAATTCTAAAAAAGCCAAATCTTGACCCTAACTCCCCATCCAACTATCGTCCTATCTCACTACTGCCTTTTGCATCCAAGATCCTTGAAAAAATTGTGTATGCGAGATTGACAGACTTCCTCGAGTCCAACTCTCTGCTAGACCCGCTTCAGTCTGGTTTCCGCGCTAAGCACTCTGTGGAAACGGCACTGACCAAAGTATCCAATGATCTACTTGCTGCAAAATCTCGTGGTCACTACTCTATCCTAATTCTCCTTGACCTGTCTGCGGCTTTTGACACTGTTGATCATCAACAGCTTCTTCTCATCCTCCGCAATATCGGTCTACAAGATATTGCTCTCTCCTGGTGCTCCTCCTACCTCTCCCAGGTGATTCTCTCTCTGGCTCTGCTTCTTCTCCCCAACTCCTCTCTGTTGGTGTCCCCCAAGGTTCAGTCCTTGGTCCCCTACTGTTCTCCATCTATGTTGCCACCCTTGGTAAACTCATTAGCTCCTTTGGCTTCCAATATAATTTCTATGCAGATGACACCCAAATCTACCTGTCCTCTACTCGTCCCTCTTGACTAGTGTCTCTGACTGCCTCTCTGCTGTTTCTAACTGGATGGTTGCCCACTTCCTTAAACTAAACTTGACCAAAACTGAAATTCTGGTCTTTCCTCCCTCAAGTGTTGTTACTCCTGTGTCTGTCTCCCTCCAAGTCAACGGTGCTACCATCAGCTCCACCACGCAGGCTCGCTGCCTAGGTGTTCTCTTTGACTCCGACCTCTCCTTCAAGCCTCATGTTCAATCTATCGCCAAATCCTGTCATTTCCATTTCAGAAACATTGCGCGCATCCGCCCCTACTTAACGCCAGATGCGACTAAGGTGTTGGTCCATTCCACTGTCCTTTCTTGCCTTGACTACTGTAATCCGCTTCTCAGTGGTCTTACGTGCTCCCAACTAGCGCCGTTACAGTCCATAATGAATGCGGCGGCGAGGCTCATCTTCCTGTCCGCCCGCACCTCCCATGCCTCAGCCTTCTGTCAGTCCTTACATTGGCTTCCTATAAAATATAGGAGCTCAATTTAAAATTCTGGTTCTTGCTTTCAAATCTCTACATAATGCTGCTCCCACCTATCTATCCTCCCTTATACACAAGTATGTCCCGTCTAGGCCCTTACGTCTATCTTCTGTCCGTACTCCCACCTCTGAGGCTCGCCTTCAAGATTTCTCGAGGGCTGCACCGTTCCTGTGGAACTTTCTTCCCTCCTCCGTTAGATGCTCACCCAGTCTCCACTCCTTCAAAAAAAATCGTTAAAAACCCACTTCTTCATAAAAGTGTATCAATTAAACTGTTAATGGCTCCTGGCTGATTCCTCTTCTGCAACTGTCACTAGTCTAATACTATCCTTACCTTTTTGTGTCATTTTACCCTACTCCCTCTAGCATGTAAGCTCATTGAGCAGGGCTCTCAATCCCTCTGTTCCTGTGTGTCCAACTTGTCTGGTTACAACTACATGTCTGTTCATCCACCCATTGTAAAGCGCTGCGGAATTTGACGGCACTCTATAAATATAATAAATCTCACCAAGGTAACCATCTCTTGTGTCATAAGAGAAAAAAAGACAGGACTGAGAAGAGGATGGCAGAACATGAGCCAATTTCTAAAAACATGAACTATACAAGTAAATGGAGTCAAATACAACACTACCAGTGAGAGATTCCACTTAACCAGCTATATTCTATCCATGACCATTATATCAAGGAATTGAACAAGGAAAATAAAGCTACCGTAATTCCACCAGCATCAGATCATCAACATATATTATACTATGTGCTGATGGGATTGTAGCAGCATTCTGATTGGTAAGATTTACTAACCCGAACCTGTCCCTCACTGGCACCACCATCCTCTTCCATCTTCTCCTCCTCAACTCCAGACGCTTCAGCTGCTAGGAGCCGATGTCAGATCTGTACTCGTGTGCAGCATTGAAGTTTAGGGAGGATCCCACTAAATCCTCCATAGAAAGAGCTTCATTTCCCTAAAAATGGAGCCTGGGTGCTTGAAAAGGGCAATCTAATTATCATACCAACAAAAGCTTATTGTAAAGGTAATGGCGCTATTCCTCAGTTTTAAGACAAAATCTACCCCTCCTCCAGATACCATGCAGCTGATCAGATAATGCATTAGTTACACTTCTGCATTATGACTGTAGCATTTGAAGTTTGGGGCCAATACAAACCACTGTCTGGAAATCTAATTATAAATTTGACTACATACATAGGACTCGAGGGCACCCATTTAGACTGGAAGAAAGGAGATTCAGTCTAATATAAAGGAAATGGTTTTCTACAGTAAAAACGTTACAGATGTGGAATTCTCTGCCTGAAGAGGTGGTTTTATCAGAATCTGTACAGTTGTTTAAATAGCATCTTGATGAATATTTGCAAAACAAAATATTCAGGGACAGTTTTTAACATGTGAGCTAACAGCTTCTTGACCCAAGAAGAGATTTGACTTCAATTCTGGCATCCAGAAGGATTTTTTTCCCCCTAGTTTGTTGCAAAGTTGGACAGTGCTTTGAACGTTGTTTTTGCTGTTCATCCAAAAGAAGGCAAAAACGAACGCAAGAAAGGCTGAACTTCGCCAAAAAAATATATATAATGTCAAATTTGTCTAGCCTTGGAGGGTAATGATATGCTGAGAGCACTAGGCTAACTGATATTCAGCACTCTCAACCTACCATTGTCATCCAAAGTTTGGTACACATTGCTCTCTGGTTATCATGGTCATCCAAGGTTTGATGTGTAGCCCAATTCTTGTCATGAAATTTACATAAAGCTGCTGGCACAGTGAGTTTTACTTTTCAGGCTTGCTTTGTTAAGTATGTCCCAGAGTAAAAAATATCAATTGATTTGCAAGAACACACAGATACACTGCAACAAAACAGTGTGTATGTGTGTGAAATTGTGTAATCACATTGTTCAACTGGGGGAAAAAAACAAAACAAAAGAAAAACTAAAAGATTACAGCAATAGCTAAAGTTGGCACTGAAAATGCCACAATGTCTCATTATGCTCAGCTAGCCTGAGCAGTAGCAGTATTTCAAAATACGGAAATAAAATATGTACCAGTGGCACAGATTTGAACTGGAAGAGGTGTACTAAAAGTTAAAAAAAAAAAAAAAGCATAGCAGCTATGCCTTGCTGAATCATGAGGTGTATTGCTGTAAGGGAATATCAGAACCAGTCTGAGCATGAAAATGTATGATATGCAAGAGAAGCAAATGAAAAAACCTTTAGTTATCTATTAAAGTCAACTCTTATTGGGGTCTGTGAGAATTTAGGAAACAGTTGTTCACAAGAAAACAGCTGATCTAAGTAAATAAAAATAAAATTAAAATCTATAAATAACACTGAAAGCTGCTATGGCAGCAAAGTAGATAATAGGACCACTTCAGTGGATAAATATTAGGGGGACAACCATATTACACATGAAAAAAACAACATCTCTGGATTGTTACACTTTTGCTTGATGTCCTTTTAGTTTTAAAAATAAATTAATATTTAAAGGTTATTTTATGCAACATGTGCTCCACAATATTAGCTATTTACTTTCTTAACTGCTTAAGTTTAAAGAAACACTCCAGGCACCCAGACCACTTCATCTGATTAAAGTGCTCTGTGTGCAGTGTCCGTCACCCTTAGTCTACAATGTTAAACATTACAGTTTTAGAGAACATACACTGTTTACACTGCAGGGTTAAGACTGCCTATTGTGGCTGCCCCCCAAACAGCCACTAGAGGCACCTCCTGCAGTTTAACTCAAGGAGTTAAACCAGGTCAATCTTGAAAAACAGATTCTTTGATCCTGTGGGTTTTGGCTGGAGTCCGTACGGTTGCCGGTCTGGTCGTTTGAAGCGGATCAGGCGCGAGGCAGACCTGCGGCCTACACACAGATGGTGCGGTGAACACTGCCGGTCGCTCCACCTGCTTCTGTGCTCCGCGGTTCACCCCCTACTCCATTTCCCTCCCTCCCTCCCCACTGCCAGTTGGGGTTATTCCGGCATATATTATCAGTGCTGCAGTGGGAGCCTGTCGGCATTTACAAGTAAGCAAATGCCAGGACATCCCATCCACTACAAAATGGCGCACACCACATGGATGCAGAATTCCCACGTCACGCTGTCTCCCATCCTGAAGCATCTAGACAGGCTATTTGAGAGGTTCTGGAACAGGCTCAGAGACCGCATGATGGCATCAAGATGCACCTATCTTGCCCCCATACTCCCTGCCAGTAGCTCTTCAATGCCAAGATGGGACTTCACATGGAGGGACGAATGTGCGGAGTGAAACACTGCTGAACAGAACTGGGAGACCGCAGCAGATTTGGTTGACGCGAACTCGGCGGATCTCTCGACGCAAAGCATGCAGAAGAGGGCCTAGACCCTACACATATCGGGCCCCTGGTACTTCTGTGAAGAAGAAATCAGGGCAGTAGCCCCAAATTACAAGCATTCCCTTGACTCTCTCAATTGCCCGTTGGCAACCCATTACTTTACAGATCTGCATCTTACCCTATCAGGGCAAAAGTAGCACC